GACGTATACGTTAAACAAGGAGGTGAGCAATATGGCGGAGAAGGCGTTCACGGCGACTGCAAATGTACGAACATGGACATCGGCAGCCCCATGCATGCTACACGTATGCCCTGTACTCGTCCTTGTTGCAGTCCTTGTACGGTACCTTGTGCAGACTCCTGGCTGCGGTCCTGGAGCATGCGCAGAGCCCTGGGATCTGTGACGAAGATCATGGTTATGGGGCCGCTGTTCATGGTCGGTACTTGTTCGTATGTCCTTCGTACGAGCATTGATGTAGACGATTGCTCTCTGTTAGAGAGTGCTCCGCAGGTCACCCCGTGCGGACAAGGCGTTTGTGAGTACCTAGGTATGTCCTCGAATGAATGTGCTGATGGAGAGACAGGACAGGTGGCCAACTGCGATGCATGCCACTTTTGTCAGCCGAGTCTTGTTTCTGGCACGTATTACGCCTTTTTTTGTACGGAGTAGCATTGATGAAAGTGAGACGAGACTGGCGAGCCTGATGTGTCATTTTGCGTGGAAAGTCGACAAGTGACCGCTTCGACGCATAGGTACGGAGGGAGGTATTTACTCCGTAATCGGTGAAGAATTGTTGTTGAAATAGTATCCCTTACCTTGGCCGACCGTATTGTAACAAATTTGCCTTGATAATGCCTGGTAAGCGAGTTCAGCTTTCGGCAGAGTGAGATTGGCTGCTGGCGAGCCTTGCGATACGGACGTGCCAGGTGCGGCGCCCTCATCCCAATTTCCGCCTCGTTGTTTGCTATTCATGCATATTGCGCCTCGTCGCCGGTGCTGCAGCTCACAAACATACGAGCTGGCGCTCCTGTGCTCCAGTTGTCCCGGCCTGGTATCCCTATTTGACAACTCGACATTGGACAGGGTGCTCTGTGAGCATATAGCCTAAGCAACAAGTTGCTCTCGAGTCAACGACTTGCATCCACATAATCCTGCCCAGCCCGCATTTCGTATGTACAAGAACATGTAGTCGACTGTTGTACCTGTAGCAAGTGGTTCGCTCTAAGCGCACAGCAGAGGAGTCCAGCGTATCCTGTACTCTGCACCCCATACACAATTAAGTAAGGAGTTGCGGGTTCGACGGCATCGGGAACGATCTCCATTCCATATCACCCAGTAATAATGGGCTTTTCACGGAGCATGCTCCGGAGCTCATGCAGCTGTTCGCAGCTTCAGCGCCTCGCTAAACTGGCCGCTCATTGAGCGGTGGGTGGGTAGATGGATGTCTGGAGACGATACCCTGCTCGCAACATGTCCTCTTGCTTGCTCCTCTTGCATGAAGGAGAGGGGCGCTGCGACTGTTTTGCGCAATGAGTCTGGTGATGATCGACCTCATCATGCGTCGCCAAGACGTGCTGAGCCGTACAGGATGCCCATAAACGGAGCTTCTGGCCTGCTGGCTTCCTCCCTCAACAAGCCAGAGACTCAGGCGCATGATCCTTATGGAGAACAGACTACCCGATGAGATTCGCCGTGGGATTGATTGGTCTCGTACATCCCTGCTCAGCTGTGGTTGGGGTAGGAGTACCCTGATGCACACGCACCCCGTCCATCACCCGTCGCCCATCACCCGTCGCCCGTCGCCCATCACACATCACATACCTGTGCCACTGCTAGCTCCATCGCCGCGGTGCTGCCCATGTAGCCAAGTACAGCCAAGTACTCCGTTCTAATGCCATCCTTGGGAGGTCTGGCGAATGGGGTGAGTCAGAGGAACAAGATGCAGAACCAAGCCCTGCAGCGGATGCGATATCGAGCGTTTTTGGAGCCTCGCCGTTTGATAGCCATCATCAGCTGCGCCCAGTCCCTTGTGTGCTCCGTACAGACAGGTCCATACAGGCATGCGCAGGCAGAGGGTTGGGCCCATGGACATCGGAGGAAACGACCAAGTTGGCTGTCTTGCATGACATGACGGGCGCGCGTTGCCCTCCAGCCCCAGGAATAAAAGGAACTGCGACGACAACGGGATGCAGCCCTAGCTTGTTGCATTGGCACACAGCTGCAAAGAGGGACTGCCGTGAGGGGCTTGGGTGAGATCCCCGCCCAGGGCTCGCTCTTTTGCTTCCTTTTGCACTTCCGTCTTTATTTCGGGAAGTAGGATGAGGCAGGGCTGCCGCCATGGCGTGCAAGAGCATTCCCTCTCACTTTTTGACGTTTACGCGAGTTTGCGGTGGATGTAAGCCGCTAGACCTGTTGGTGTCACACGACATGAGGTTGGGAAGCAATGGCAGAACGAGTTCTGAGGCATTGGAGCAGCCTTCTCAGCGGACACCATTCGGCAACTGTGTCAACGGCGAGCTCGACCGTTTCTGGACTGCATCTGATTTCGGTTACGGAGCCCGGCCGACATAAACGGTGGCCTCCGGAGTGTGGGCGGCTCGTAGCAATCGTACTTGTAGTAATACTGAGCATGAGTCGTGATAGCGCGGGAGCTGCTTTTGGCCTGGCACACTCTCCGATCCCGACAGCATGGTAGGCATCGCCTGGTGGGAACGGGCCGTGGCTCATAGCGCTTGAGCCAGGATCAGAGATGGACCGGTTGAGAACAGCCACGCAACCGTGTGAAAACCGAGAAACGGATGTGCGGAGCACGTTGTGGTTGATACTTGTGAAGGGGGGCTTGAGTGTGTAGGTGTGTGTGTATGTGTGTGCGTGCGCGTATCTGTTATACGATGCAATCAGGGCTGACCCCATGTGGTCTGGACACAACTAGGCAGAGGACGCCTACACGCACACCCTGGCAGCAGCGGCCACTGCGCTGGAGTGAAAGTGACAGTCATGGCCCAGAGCTGGAAAGCTGGAGTTCGTGTGTCTAACCCAGGTACAGGCCCTGTATCGTCCGTGTGCCGTAGCAGCAATGGTAGAGTAGCACTCGCTCTCAATAGTCTCCGATGTGTAACACGACCAGATGATACGGTCAAGGGAGCATCGCGCCCGTACGGGTAAGCCAGTAAGCGCCTCTCGTTCTGACAGCCTTGAACCAGCTTCCCCACGCATGGCTCCAGGCAGTCAAATCACACCTCCTGCTGGCACTTGTAGCCCCCCTTCCAGGCCAGGGTAGCGGGTGAAAGAGAAAGGACCAATCGGACCCTAGGGCGTGCTGCCATGTGAGATTTTGAGATGTGCGATTTGGGGTCTAGGGGTTCGCTCTACTCGGCCATCTGAAGATGCCCTTTTGGCTCTTTTGGCCCTAGGCGGCTGGCTATCTGTGACGTAGGCGGCGTCAGACGACCAGATCTTATTGTTTCATGGGGCCTCAGCATCGTGTAGAGCGGCTGGAGAGGCAGGACGCGGCGAACGGGACCAGACCAGACCAAATCAAGCCATTTTGTTTGCAGCTGTTGTCGCGGCCGCGCTGATGAATCGTGCCTACTGTACTTTGTTGGCTGGGCCATTGCGAGCTGCCGGGGATCCACAGCGCGGCCCGGTCGAGGATCCCCAAGAAGCCCTGTTGAGTGTGGACGATCAAGCGGCGACCTCTGGATGCAGGCGACGCCCGAGCGAAAGAAATCAAGGTACAAAGTAGGCAGCAGCTAGATACCTTTGGGGACACGGCCATGGCGTGGAGGGCGCAGGATCGCAGCATGGCCTGGGCCTTTTTGTCTCTCGAATCTCAGCGGACCGGCTCGCCAGGGCCAAGCCAGGACGGGTCGGGGATCTGGCCGCTTCCCACGGGCTGGAGGAGGGGCCGAGCTGAGCATGCCGACCGCTCTACCTGTACCATATCTTATTACCTCGTGTCTCAAGCTTGCACGAGCGTAAGTAGGTGTGTAGGGAGGTACAGAGAGGTAGGCATAACTCACTCGGATTCCCCGTACTCGGCACCTAGTATCTATGCAGCAGTTGCCAGTATGCTGCTGTTATCATAACACCGCGGCCGCCTGCAAGTTACATGTAGCGAGCCTCACGCAGACGCATCTAGCCCTGAACGGCAGAGAGCCTCGCCTGGCCCTGGGAGCAGTGGCTCGACGAGGGCCGAGTCAATGCCATGCTCTTCTACTAAGCTCCAGAGCCACGAATAGCCGTCAACCGCCTGGCACAGTCGAGAAAGCTGCATCTCCGAGGGGCTCCAGCGCGACGGCTGGACGACAGCGGCCGAGGGTCGCCGGCGATCTGCCAAAGGGGGCCGCACAGCGCGTCAGAAGGCAAGGCGAAGCGAGCCTGGGAGCAACTGAGCAAACAAGAGAAGAAGAAGATTCAGTAAAGTACGAGGTAGCATGAAGCTGAGCGAAGGTGAAACAGAAACAGTGGGCAGCCCGGGTGATTGCCTTCCATCCGTTAGCCGATGGCTGCTAATCGCACTATGTTACTACTAGCTCGTAGTACCCCGACTGCCCTGTGCACTTGGCAGGCGCAGACGCCATTTGTCGGCTTATCCGCGCCGCATCCACAGTCAACCTGCATCCTGCAACTCTACGCAAAATTCGCAGATAGAATACGATTTTCAAGCCTCCGGGACAGGCATCAGCCGAGATCCAGGGCCAGCGACAAAGAGCGAGGATCAGAGCCGACGGCCCCGAGGAATCGGGACAAGGAAGAAAACAAGAAAAAGCGCCGGGACTCGCATCGGACGAGATCGCTGCCGTCGCAAGCTGGTTTGGTCTAGCCCAGACGGATAGGTGGCGCCGCGGAAGGCGACAAGACTTGCTTCGTACAGCAAACAAACTGCAGCCAGACGCACACCGGTCAATCGGTCAGTCATACTTGTACCTTGCAAGCTCTCGACGGACGAGTCTGGTCCAGGAGGCGGCAGGAGAGTCGTCGAGAGAGAGGCCGCCGCGAACGCACACGCCCCCTCCCCCCCCCTTCAACCCTCCCCTTCTCCCTCTGACTCTTCCCTTAATTTCCCTTCCTGGGTTTTCCCGCCTTGACTCTGGCTCACACGGTTTGACGCAGACGAATCATCAACGACGACGCCCGCCAGGAGCTTCGAGACCCGCTTCAGCCTCGACTCATAGACGCAAAAACGTGAAAACGTCATAATGGCGGGCAAGAAGAGCGTGGACAATAGCAAGAAGGCCGCGGGCAACGCGCGCAAGGCAGAAAGCGCCGCAAAGAAGAGCGCAGCTGCAGACGCCGCGCGCGAGTCGGCTGAGAGCGAGAAGTGGCAACAGGGAGCCAAGAGTAACTCGAAAAAGTACGTACGTACGTGGCACGATGGCGCATTGCATGGCATCGCTTCGCATGCCTATTCCGTGCTTGTCTCGCCTGGTTGGCTGCGTGTCCCAGGAGCCCGTTTCCGCTGGCCCCTTTCACCACGATCCACACACTCATGCCGCTCCTTTTCTCCCGTGCCCACCGCCTCTGGTAGTCTAGGCCAGTTCGAATGAGCTGATACTGACATCTTCCAGGGAAGCAGAGGCCGCCAAGAAGGCCGAGGCCGCGGCGAAGAAAGCTGAGAAAGAGGCATTGATGAAGGAGGAAGAGGCTAGCCTGAATGCCCGCGCAGAGCCCAAGAAGTCCAAGACGGCTGTCAAGAAATCTCGAGGCCTGGATTTGTCGCAGCTGGATGACGACAAGCTGGGCACCCTCAGCGCCTCGGGTATCGACAACGCTCTCGATGCCCTTTCATTGACGACTGGTGGAGACGATTCCAAGATCGACCAACACCCGGAGAGGCGATTTGCTGCCGCATACCACCGATACGAGGAGCGAAGGCTCGCCGAGATGAAGGCGGACGGCAGCGGCACGGGTCTTCGACTGGAGCAGCGCAAGCAGAGGATCAGGAAGGAGTTCGACAAGAGTCCCGAAAACCCCTTCAACCAGGTCACTGCCTCATACAACGCTTCTCGAGACGAGATCAAGGACATCAAGTCCCAAGAGCTGCACAAGATTGAGAAGAGACTGGGGCACTAGATATCGCCGCATTCATCCCAACTTGAGCACTTTTTGGAAACCCGAAGACAGTAAAAATCCCTCAAGAAATAAAGAAAGATCACGACACTCGAACCCGTTGGCTACCTACCTACACTTCCAATTCTTAGAGTACGGCTTGCACAAAAAGAAGAAGAAAAAGCATGTTTATGCTGTGTGAGGATCGACTATAAAAAGCCTGGACAAATCAACCCTGATCCAGCTCTCTTTGTACAATTTTCAAATTTGAGCCCCTAATCATGTGCTTTCCTAGAATTATCACCTGTACCTTGGTTGCTCAGGTAGTACCTTAGCAGTTTGGAAGCTCTGGATGGCTTCCCCTCGGCTGCCGTCCGATCAGTGACGTCTCTCCCAACCCCGCGGCAGGTTCAACTTTTCATCATTCTGCCGATCTGTCCGGCAGAATGTTTCACCGCTTTTCTCTCACCGCCTCCGCATCCCGGCCGGCTGATTGTCCCAGACTCCCGCCGCGACTTGTGTCGGTGGAAGAATGATGCATGCGCTTCTCCGATTGAATCTATGTGATAGCAGATAACGAAACACTCGCTGGCCGACATGACTTCTCTCGCCTTGGGGCAGCTGCCCTCGCTGTGGCGACAGCACCTACTATCGGAATTGTGAGTAGTGCGCGAGCGCGAGTCGAGCCGATGCGAGCTGGGAGACGCCGAGAGCCAACGCCACGCTTGATCATCATCCAGGCTAACCAAGCCTCCTATTGCAGTGCCGGTTTGAAGCAAGCCTGCCCTGAAGGTGTATTCGTCAGCTTGACCCCTGGCGATCCTTCTCTGTGGTCGGCAGTTCTTTTCGTCCGCCACGGTGAGTTGACGACCCCCCTCCCCGTCTTGGGAAGATGGCCTACCCTGCGGGAGGCGTGCGTCTTCCCTTTCAAGCATTTTCACTTGACTGACCTCGGTTTACCACAAGGCCCATATGCCCCAGCTGTTCTTCGGTTTCAAATCCTATTCCCCGATGCCTATCCTCGAGCGCCGCCTCTGGTTACCTTTTCGACCGACATCTTCCACCCTCTCATCACCCCCCTGACGACGCACATGTACCCCACGGGTGGTGAGAACGATGGGAGCACTACCGAGAGGCCGAAGCTACCTCCTGGAGGCTTCAGCCTAGAGCACGGCTTTCCGGAGTGGTTCGGCGGCTCTCGGAGGCGCGCGGGCGGAAGCCGTCAAGGCAGTCGTGAGCGAAGAGGCGTATCGCCGTCGGCAGCGTCTACAAAGTCAGCAAAGTCTGCGAGCAGCAAGTCGCCGCCGGTGCCGCCGAAAGATGTCCCCCCCAAAGATGCTCCGCCAAAAGAGATCCCGCGGTACATGCAGACAGACCGAAAGACCATTTCGACATACTCCTTGTTAAAGTATATTCGAAGCACGTTTGACAAAGCCGAAGTCCTCGACACCGTCCCTCTTTCTGCTGCTGGGAACCCGGGCGCTTGGCATGCGTGGCGTACTCATAGACGCAAGGAAGGAAAGGTGTTTGATGAGAAAAAGGGTCACAGGCTGAGCAGGCTGAGCAGGCTCAGTATCATTGATGGATTGCCCAAGCCAGCTAGCAGCGAGCAGGGCGATGCCGCAGCATCCGATGCCAAGAGTATAGGCTCTGTGTCCACCACTCGGGAGCCTGGAGACTGGAATTGGGATGGCGTCTGGGAAGACAGGGTGAAGAAGGGTGTAGCATCTACCCTGACCGAGTCGGTGCTATATGGTGCCTCTGGGATTTCCGACGATATGGTATGCTGCTGCGACCGTCATGAATTGCGAATGTGGTTGTCTTTTGTCTTGTACATTGTCTTGCTAACTATGCGATCTCTCACAGATTCATTTCCTGGCGCTGGAAGAGGGAACCATCGAAGCGGTCAAAGGCAATCTCCGCCGAACACTGGATGCCTCGGCATGACCTCGTCCGATTCGTGCTTCTTCACCCATCTTTACGCTTTTGCCCTGCTCCTACCATCGTTTGCTATCGACCATACCCGTTGCTCGCACTCTTCCAAGGCCTTCTTACATTTAATTTCTCGCACCATACCTTAGAACGGAGAAGGGCTGGCCCTCACGTCGCCAATAGAAAGACTGTATCTCGTTTTCGGGCCCAAGCATATACCACCTTCTCACTTCCGATTATTGGACGCTTTACATACCTTAGATAGTTTATGCACGCCATTGCTTCCATAGTAGAGTCTATACTATATTGGCCTTCCAGGCAATAAAGTATTTCCATACCTCAAGGTGCCTATCGATACCCCTCAGGTCACGTTATCCCATGGAGTGCAACTGCGACGATCATGCTCTTGCTGTTGAGTTCCCACCACTGATTCCTCATACTAAGTACCTCACCTGATCCACGGCTGCAACTTTCCACAACTTCAAATCAATGTAACCCTCTCTCTGCCAGGTGCTGCCTTGGGCACTTCACATACCTTATCTTTCTACCTTGTTTGATTCCTGCCATCGCGACTGCTTTCTCCCTCCCTTAAACCGGTCAATATCTCCTTCGCTAAGCATGGAAAACACTACCGTTGCAGCTGCTCTGAACCCCGAGTACGAAGATCCCTGGATCATCTGGCAGTACCCGACCTCGGCCATTGCACTTATCGCCATTATTCTCTCCATAGTTATTCTCGTCGCAGCCGTCGTCTCAAATACGTGTCTGTCGATGAATTCTTATGGTTTGGATACCCGTATATTCTATTCAGTGCAACAGTGGGATCGAAGACGTGGTTCCAGCGCTGAGCAGCAGCGGCAACTTGAAGACCAATCGCGCTGCTTGATCGACGCGTAAGGTATATCATGATACTCGATGTTTGAGAGCCCAAGGCTTCCCCCTCACCACGTTGCTTCAGCCGTGGTGCTAACTGTTGTCTCATTCGTCTAGCATGGATTCCTTTGGAGATGAGCCTTCATGGGGCCTTGAGCTCTCAAGCTCGAGAGAGCAAATCTCTACGAAGGATAAGCCGAGTCCACTTCGAATCATCAAGAGACGTCACAGTAACGACCGCTATGAAGGGAGGACATACAAAAGCGACTACATAGCCGTTGATCCCAACGGGAGCCCTCCCGAATCTTCTTTCCTACGATCTGAACCACTACCAAGTCTGAGGCTCCCAAGGCTACGACCGAAGAGCGCGCTCGAACGGAGAATTGGTTGTGAGAGCGAGACGGCCACGGGCCTGGGGCGACCGTCGCAGAAGTTGAGCTTCGGTAACTGCTCCATAAGCAGGGATGACGACGATGAGACTTCTGGACAAGACCATAAGCCTCGAAATGCATCATTTTTCCGACACTCAGCATCGCGATTCAAGAAATATCGGCAGAAGCGCCATAGCGTTACAAGTAGCCTTGAAAATGAAGGGGGAGACCGCAACTTTTCCGCATGCACCCTTCCTTCGGAACGCAACATATGGCTCGATCCCTCGTCTCGAGCAAGCTCTAGATGTACCAATTTCGACCTGGAAGACGCCCGTCACTCGGCAAATCTGCCCATCCTATCGAATGTTACACGACAAAAAGAGAGCTCTGTTGTTCTATCTCCGCATATACGTGTCATATCAGAAACGATTGGGGTATCCTTCGGCCAGCAGCACCTTTGGGCCGCGGTCGAAGTAAGTGGTAGGCTTTCTCGGGCAGGTGACGGACCAGAGCTTGACCCGGAGAAGGTGGCTTGTTCAGACAAAGGTCAGCCCGTATACTTCTTATTCCCGTCTAGCTAGATGCTGCTGTCGATGGCATGTATTCCATGTCACAGCTCTGATGAATCGAACAGATACCGCTGCCAAGTTCGGCTACCTCTACGATGTCGTTGTGGACATACTGCCCACGCCACACTCATCGATTCTTCAGATCATATGCCAGCAAGAATTTCCAGCGTACGTTCATCTTTTAGACCCCATAGAACGCTCCGACTCAAACTAACGGAAGTCGATTCCATACTAGAACTATATTCCTTGGGTCGAGCGTGCTCCTTCTTGTTCACGTGGTATGCTACTCCGGAGCAGCCTCATCTCCCCACCGGCAAAGCAAACATCTAAGACAAAGATCAGAAGAACTGATGGAGGATCTTGAGATGCAACTCGGAAGTTCTTTCGTGCCTTATACGAATATTCATGTGACTTATTCACACTCTGCATTCCCTTCCCATTCGGCCTCAGGAGGAGTTGAGATGTCTTCACTTTACACCAAGCTCAGGACAACTGCGGAAGCCACTGTCAAGCTGCACAATGCTCTCTCCCCATGGTCACCGCACTCAGTAATGGCCAAAGGCAGGTTGCTGCCGTTAATCAGGCGCCATTGGGGGGCCCAACGGGCATTCGAAGTGATGCAACAGATGTTGGAGCAACGTTCTGTATCAGATCCGGCCCACTCTGGCCAACTATCCAAGAGATATTTCCAGATCATGGCACAGCGGCTTTTGGATCACACCTACTCCCCAGTCATGTCTTTGAGACAAACGAGTGTCGAAGGGACACAGCAAATGACAACTGAGGCAGACACCACGGCGGAATCCTCACCAGTCATGAGACTCTCGTCTGACTCGGGAATCGGCATGCGAGGAGTATCCGGGGGAGAGGCGTCTGTCACAGCGACACGAGAGGAACCTCGTGAAGGAGCGAAGGTACCAGGTGACACTGTACGCCGCAGACGCCCAGTGACGCCCAATGTCCTCAGGAATCCGACGCCGACTTTCGCGGTCAATAGCAGCGGGGATCGCAAAAAGGACGGGGAAGATGATAAAAGCGACAGGAAGAAAGACAGGAAAAAGCAGGGAGCCACCGGAGATGATGAAGGGAAGAGGAAGTCTGGCCTCTGGACCTGGGCATCATGGTTTTAACCCTGTCCCCGGCCTCATTTGATCAGGCCCTTCATCCACTGGCCGACTATCAACAGTAAGTAGGTAGCATGCGCACGTACGGCCAAAGGATAATCTTGGACTTTGCTTGCTTGTTACAGAAAATTCCATTTATGTGATATTTTTTTTCTCAGGACTGTATTGTTCAATTGACATTTCATCTAAGCCAAACTAATTCAGCTCATCTTTCCAAGGGATAGAGACTTGGGCTCCCTTGCGAGAGACGGTAATGGCTGCAGCCCGGTTGGCAGCTTTGATAGCGGTATCGATGTCGAAGGCGCCCGATCCCGCGCTGACGACAGCCAAGGCGTAGGATCCGACAAAGGTATCGCCCGCAGCGGTGGTGTCGACGACGTTAGCCTTGAGCGCAGGTACCAGGGCCGACTTTCCACCCTTGGTGGCATAGTAGACGCCCCGGCCGCCGAGAGTGATTATGACGTTGCTAACGCCCCGTTGGATGAAGAGGGCACCGACGCGCTCCAAGCCGGAGACATCGTCGAGATCGGATTCTCGGCAGCCAGATAGGATGGCGGCTTCCGTTTCGTTAACGACAAGGTGGGCAAGGTTCTGGTAGGCCTCGTCGGGGAGTTCCTTGGCGGGCGCCGGGTTGAGGAGGACGGGGATCCCGGAGGCGTTGGCGGTGCGGAGAGCCTGCAGGACGGTGTCAAAGGGGATCTCGAGCTGCATGATGAGGAGATCCGGACGGGGACCGGGAAGGGTGGAGAAGTGCTCCGGCAGGAGGGTGTGGTTGGCCTCTGCGGAGAGGATGATACGGTTTTGGCCAGTGGGCTCGTCGACGATGATGATGGCGATGCCCGTCTTGCTGTCTTCACGAACGGCAACAGCTGAGGTGTCGACGCCATATGAGGTCAGGCTGGAAATGAGCTGCTGGCCGTATGTGTCGGAGCCAACGGCGCCGATCATGGAAACATCGGCGGCCGGGCTGGAGAGGTCGGAGGAGCGAGAGAGCTTGCCGCAAGCGACGGCTTGGTTGGCGCCTTTGCCGCCGGGGGAGGTGTTGAAGTGGTTGGCGGTGAGGGTCTCGCCTGGTAGGGGGTGGTGAGGGACATAAGAGACGAGGTCGATGTTGAGGGAGCCGAGGACGGTGATTCTAGGGCGAGCCATGGTTGCTGAGGGTGAGGCTCTGGATGAACTCTGATTGATCGTTGGCGGTGGTGCGGAGTTGAGAATGTATGAAGAGAGTCCAGCTGTTGGCAGTGATACGGGTGACAGTGGTCTCACAGTTGCCAAGCTTGTTCGACCTGCAGCCAAGCACTTTGAAGCAAAGTAGTGTAGACGATGTGGAATGGAACGGGCACGTCTGGGGAAGATGTTGAAATTCCCCGCGATGGCCCTCTTTTTGTTTGACACGAGTTGGGTCGAAATATTTCTGGTAGTAAGAAGATGGTGGGGTGTCCGCATGCAAATGATCCAGCAGCTGCCCCTCCACACCTCGAGGGAAGCCCCAGCTTCTAGAACTCTTTCGGCCGCTGCCGAGTCATGCAGCCTTTTCCAGCACCCCGGTTTCCTTCTGCTAAGCGTCATGGCGGTGCTTGGAGAGTGTCTCTTCGGCGCTTAGCATTCCGTATTGAGCCAACTCCTCGTGTGTCCCTGGTCGCGCACAAGCTACTTCCTAGCGGCCGGGTCCGAGGCTGGCCGGAGAGAGCCGAGTTCGCCATCTCTGATTCGCATCTTTGTGTATGTATGAGTCTTGGCCACCAATATCATTCAGCACGCTTTGTCTACCATGTATCAAGTTTCCAAAAAGGCAAGCAAACAGATGTATGATTTCCGTTCGTGTGTTGATATCATGTGCCATACCCGGAGTTGTTACGACTTTATTCATCCAGCTGCTCTGTCGTCTTGCTCTTCTTGTCTACTCTTGGAGCGTGCCGCACAGGACGACGTCATCGCCAAAGGGGTGCCATGACACGTGCGAGAGCCTTGCGACCGGGAAAGGGACTCCCGCGGAGTCAGTGACTCGCTCTGGAGACACAACCACGCCGCCTTGTCCCAGCCATGTCGGCGCGATGGTCACGATGACCGAGTCAATCAGCTTGTGGTAAGCAGGATCAAGGAGCGAATTGATGATCTGGCCGCCACCCTCGACCATGACGCTGGTCAGATTTTCCGCCTGGAGCGCAGCAAGAATATCGTCCCAGCTGAAGCGAAGCCGACCAGTTGCTTCAGATCGCGTGCTGGGGACTCGGATGTATTTGCCTCCATGCTCGTGAAGTAGCTCCACGCTCGCAGCAGGCAGGTCGGAAGCATCCGCGCCTGTGAGGACAAAGGGAGCGAGTCCGGCACCCCTCCGGCACACTTCAAAGACCTTGTCCGAGCGCCGTGGCGTCCATCGGAGGTTGGCATCAATGATGATTGGCCGTGGCTGGTGAGAGGCTCCTGCAATCCGACAGTTGAGAGCCGGATCATCTGCCAACACGGTAGCGACACCGACGAGGATAGCTGCATGCCGGGTCCGTAGGTAGTGGGTCATGGCCTTGGAGCCCGGGCCCGAGAGGCGAGTGCGGACTCCAGGCGCCAGGGAAAGGCTGGAGTCGAGTGAGGTTGCAAACGTCAATGTAACAAAGGGGCGCGATCTCGAAGCATCTTTCGATTCCAGCTTGGGAGGCAGGCGGGGTTCGAGGACAGCCGCCGACTCGGCTGGAAATGTGAGTTGCTCGGCCATGCTATTATTTTGAAGATTCTGGAAGGATGGAAGACTTTTCCAACGTTGAGATTCAGAAAATCTGCCGAAACTGGGCAAGATCGCGCTCATGTGTATGAGGTGGAAATTGACGATGGAGGAGGGTTGGAGGCGCTGGTGCTACTTAAGTAATTGACCTAATGAGGAGCGTGAAGATTTGGTGTAAGCGCCGAGTGGGGCTAAAGCTCTCACGGCGTTTCCATCAAATATTCGTCCATAGCTTTAGAATGGAATGAGTTTCCGCGAAAGCAGGAAAAGGACTCCACTCGTATCCTTGGATATGAAGATCATTCTTCTTGGTCGGGACATGAGCAAGCTCGGGAGACTTGGCCAGAGGTCAACCTCTGCAGCGTGATATTATTTTGTAAGTCCTCGTTAGGGCACGTTTGTCAGGGGAGCTTTGTCGTCGTCGTCGTCGTCGTTTTCTTCTGTATAGGAACTCCTTCTTCGTCAAATTCGGCCCATTGGAAGAACGAACACCCATCTTTATCAGGTATCGCGTTTGCATAGCACATCCAGAAGTACTTTCCATGGTTTTCCTTTTTTCGTTGCACAACTCGGAGCACGCAAGGAATGTTGCAGTGGCATCTGGGAGTCAGGGACGGATGCATCTCTGGGCGATAATCTCGGTACGTGATGTTGATCCGCTTGTTTCCAGATATCGGATGCGGATCAATGGATAAGGCTGGCGAAATAGAATGCTTCCACTCCTCTTGCATCTCGGCGTGCATCACCAGGAGTGAATTATGTGGCAAGTGGATGGATATTTGGCCTTCGCCGTCTGGATCGTCGGGACGTTTTGTTTCCGCATCTCGCGGTAGGATCTTGCGCACACGAAACTCCCGTGCGACGCCTAGGGAAATGGATCCGATGACAGCTCGAGGGCCCAGGTATGTAGGTTGATCGCTGTGCCATCCCACGCTCTGTTGGGCTCCGGTGTAGCAATTAACAAATGCAGCATTGGGCGTCCACGGCCTGGATGGCTGATGTCTCAGTTTCTTGCCTCCAGGGTAGTGAGTCTTGATGCGGGTTTGGATTTGCTCGTTGACTGTCTCCTGAACGATGGGCTTCACTTTGGCGAGCGTCGGCGTGAGCTTGCGTACATCCTATAGAGCATCAGCCGTGTGTCCGATTGAGTACGAATAGCATACGGGAATCTCCAGCTGATTTGTAATTGTGGGGGCTGAGAAGAAAGCAAGACTCACATTCAGCATGCCTCCGTTGTAAAAGTAATTATGTTTTTGCTCCTGGATCTCCTCCTGCGATTCGAGAAACAAGCACGAAGTATGCGGGCTGGACACGATGTTGTCAAACAGCTTGAAGGTAATTTTCTCAAACGATTCGGCTTCGTGTAATAGTTCTCTTAAGAGCTCATCTGCCAGCTCGGCCGGGAGAAAATTGTGTATAATGGTACAGGGAGTGTGTTCTGCCACATCTTCTGGGTCGTACAAGTGCAGTGTGCTGCCCTTCTTTGATTTTGCCCTCTTCTTGGGCGATGATGACAATTCATCACTTCCCGTGACAGCGGGTTTTGTGTACAGCCTTAGGGATCTTTGGTGTCCTACAACGGCGCTTTTCCTCGCACCCGGGCGAAAGGATTTTAGTGACTCTGACGCTTGGCTGACAGAACCATCGTGCGCTAAGAGGACATCCAGGAGAGTTTCCTGTTCAATGTGAGGATGTAGTGAGGATAGCATAGCGAGTTTGATCTCTGTCGATTCTTCGCCCTCTTCCTGGGACGGCGCCGGTTCTGGGGTAGGATTAACATGGGTCGATTTTCGCTTTGGCCCCGTGAGAAAGGACTCCATGAGAGCAGCTGAGAGTCGTAGAACTTTGAGAAACTTTATTGAATGAGAGCGAAATCAGAGGAGAAAGAATTGATCTTCATGGAGCTGTAAAGGATATTTATAAGGATGCATCAGAGAGAGAAAGAAGAAAAGAAAGAATGACAAAAGAAAAACGCCGTCAGTTCACGGCGATTAACGGCAGGCGCGATTCGTGAATTCGTGACATCCAGAGCAACACGAACTCACGTGATCCACTATGTCCAGATGAGGCAAAAAGATTACATGTAGATTGCCTCGATATAAGCATCAAGTCGAATTGCATACCTTGCTTCATGGCAAGCATGGCATCGTTTTGCCTGCTGAATCATCAGCGAACTATTGACGTCCTTGGGGATGACGATACGCGATCCGCATGAAGTATTCACATACATGAAGAGTCCTTGGAGAGCGGGATGTTCCGCCATTAGAACATCAACAGCTTCAAGTTCCTACGTAGGTTCTACCTCTTTAGGTCTAGTTCCACACGGGGACAGAATATGGGGAACCGAAATGCGGCGGCCGATTTCAGACCGAGGCACATGTCAGATTAAGCGGATCGCAGCAACACAAGCCCCAAGCTTCGACATGCAGAGCCATACCAAACCAGAGCTCGCGACTGACAGCACGAATAGCTGACGGGGCTTTTTACTGCTGGCCTCGCGATACCATTCTACTGTTCTTCTGATATCAGATGCCCATATATCGTCTACTTTTGCAGTCCATCTTCTAAGTCTGCCCCCCCTCGGCTCGGATGCGCCTGTGAGGCGCTGTCCTCTCTCCTCTCCTCTCTCCTCCTTCGCTCTCCCGCCCATTCTCTACTCCGTACCCAGGCAAATCATAGCCAGCGGCCATGGCTGCAATGCTCGAGTTCCGGACTCAAGGGTTCAATCCCTATGCGGTCAAATACTCGCCATATCACGACTCCCGCATCGCCGTCGGAACCGCCGCCAACTTTGGCATCGTCGGAAACGGCAGACTCTTTGCGCTTGCGCTGACAGCGCAGGGAATCCAAGTTGAGAAGACGTGCGTCTTAGCCCTATACTTACAACTGATTGCTGTGGATGCGTCCATGAAAGCGCATATCCATTAGTATATGCTTGAATGCTGACGAAGGGGACTCGAGCGCAGATTCGATACGAACGATGCAATCTATGATTTGGCCTGGTCCGAGATCAACGAGAACCAGCTCGTGGTTGCTTGCGGCGATGGCTCCCTCAAGCTCTTCGACATTGGCGCAAAGGAGTTTCCCGTAATGATCTTCCATGAGCATAACCGCGAGGCCTTTGCCGCCGCCTGGAACCCCGTCACGAAAGACACTTTCATCTCCAGCTCCTGGGACGGAACGGTCAAAATTGTGCGTTTACAACCGGACATATGCGCTATCCTCCCCCCTCTTTAGCTCTTCATATACTTACAATGCATGCCGTCTTTGCTTATAGTGGTCGCCTACTCGTCCCTTCTCCATCAAGACCCTGCCCATCGGCAGCTGCACGTACAGCGCATCCTTCTGCCCCTCCAATCCCGCCCTCATCTCCGCAGCCTCATCCGATTCCCACCTGCGGATCTTCGACCTGCGAATGCCCTCGTCCGCGAAATACCACCTCGCCGCCGCCGTCCCCGTGCACGCGCCGCCCAGCCACCCCGGGGCCATGCCCGCCGGCGGGCCGCCCTCCGAGATCCTCACCCACGACTGGAACAAGTACCGGGACACCGTCATCGCCACCGGCGGCGTCGACCGGCTGATTCGGACCTTTGACATCCGCAACCCCAACGGCGGACCGCTGTCCGTCATGCACGGCCACGAATACGCCGTGCGCAGGCTGGCGTGGAGTCCCCATGCGAGCGACGTTTTGATCAGTGCCAGCTACGACATGACGGTGCGGCTGTGGAACGACGCCTCGAGCCAGCCGCAGGGACCTGTTCCTACTGCTCAGCCCGGCGCGCAGATGGGTATTATGAATAGGCATACAGAGTTTGTCACCGGCGTGGATTGGTGTCTGTTTGGTGCTGGCGGCTGGGTGGCCTCGGCTGGTTGGGATGAGAGGGTTTTGCTGTGGGATGCTAATCTCTTGATGCATCCACGGTGAGGAGGGGGATTCTGCATTCAAAAGTAACGGTATTTCTTGCATCTTCATTTGTATGCATCTCCTGTGGGATTACAGGGGCGTATATCGATGAACAGTATTGGTGTAAAAACAATGATATCCTTGTGTAGAGCGTCATGTCATGGAGCTGCCATGATTGGATATATACAGACAAGCAACATATTTACATTACAAGTCATCATCAAAGAGCACTTCAGCAGACATCGATACTGCGTCAAGAATAATTTACATTTTCTTCCTTTTTATGGAGGAGATTGTTCTGATTTGCGATTTTGTGTGTTGATCCCATCCCTCGCCTTCCAAAAGCCAATAACACCGTAGGTAATAACTGATAATGTACAAAGCCGTCTATATAATCGAGGGAGTTTTGAAAACATGTAGTCCGTAAAATACCACGCCTGAATCCAGCAGAGCCATCCTCCCCTTGAACATCTAGATACCGAGCATCAAAAACGTTAGAAGAGAAAGAGTTGCGCTGCTCCTTTTTTGGTTACAATCATGTCAATGCAGTCTTATCGTTTCCATCCCTCCCCAAAAAAGCGTCGTGTTAAGAACAGAAGAAAATCACTTTTGTTGTTTACCATGAGGACTCGAAGCCTCCGCCTCGTCGGCCGCGACCCCTGGAGTGCTGCTGCGGCGGTCCATCACGTCGCGCACGCTGCTTCATCTCGCTGAATGGGTCTTGAGACGCACCACCACCACGGCGATCGAAGCGGCCGCCGCCACGACGGTCTCCGCGACGGTCGCCGAAACGGTCGCCGCCTCGCCTCTCATCCCGGTGCATCCGCTCATGGTGGCCGTCCTGGATGTTGAGTCCGGCGTTCATGAGGCCCTGGTTCCTCGCCCAGCTGGATGAGACCGCAGGAGGCTCTGGCCAGCCCCAGCCCTTGACAGCCCAGTCGTTCAAGTCCTCAACAAGATGTTCTCTGTCCGAGACCTGTCCGCCAAATAGTGAGGTGTACGCGCCAGCCAGCATCTTCCTGGGGATGGCCTGGATGAGGGTCTTCGTCTCCTCATGGTAGGCGGGCAGCTCCTCCACTGCGTTGAGGTCGACCTCGGCGCTCTCAAGGGTCTTGTTGGGCTTCAGGGGAAGGCCTCGCAGCAGCTTTCGAGCAGGGTTTGCCGACATGGGGGGGATGAAGAGCCAGCCCTCACCACCCTTGTCCTGTCGACCGGTACGACCAAGTCTGTGGATGTAGGATTCGCGCTCCCTGGGAGCATCAACCTGGATAACGTGGGTGACGTTGGGGAAGTCCATGCCACGGGCGGTGACGTCGGACGAGAAGAGAATACCGCTCCTGGAGTTCCTGAACATATCGGCGGCCTTTGTCCGCTGCTGCTGGCTGAGCTGAGACTGGATGGCGAATGTGGGAATCCTCAGCTGGCCGCTCTGCCTGCGCTGGTAACCCAGCTCGCCGGCAAGCTCCACCATGGAAGTTGTGTTAAAGTAGACGATGGCCTTGAAAGGAGGGACAGTGGGATCCTCCTTGGCAGCCGCAACCTCACGGTCGACCAGCTCAAACAGCGAAGGGAACACATTAGCCCAGCTCGAGACGGTGACAACGTGCTGGGGGATTCTGTCGTGGGTGAGGGTGTCGTTCTCGGGAATCGTCTGGACAAATTCGAAATCGTGAGGGCGAACCATCTTGCGAGCAAGCTGGATGACATTATCGGGGATGGTCGCAGAGACCAGGATCGTCTGTCTGACCTTGTCCTTGGGCAGGTAGCTCTGAATGGCGTTGAGCTCCTTCTCAAAACCGACGTCAAGCATCCGGTCGGCCTCGTCCAATACCAGCGCCGCCAGCTTAGGGGCGTCGATACCACTGTTGGGATCCTCGAGGAGGTCGTTCAAGCGGCCCGGGGTGGCGACCAGGAGGTGGCATCCCTGGCGCTGTGTCTGGCGCAGCATGGCAGACTTCTGAGTACCGCCGACGGCAGACTGCACGACCAAGCCGGTGCGCCTGCAAAGTCGCCTCGCCTCGGTGGCGATCTGCTCGGCAAGCTCACGGGTGGGCGACAGCACGATACCGCGGATGTCGTCCGATCTGGCGGTCCGGGACGCCTTTCGGGTGGCCAGAGTTGGGTCTTCTGCGATCATGCGTTGTAGGAGAGGGAGCAGGAAGGCAATCGTCTTTCCTGTGCCGGTCTTGGCTTGAGCAACACTTGATGAAACGGTCAGTATAAAATTCTTCGAGCGTTCGCCACTCTCGTCTCTGCAGGATGGCGAGCCAAAGGAAGTTTCTGTTGAACTTACATGTCAGTTCCCTTGAGCGCAGGAGTGATCGTCTTCGCCTGGACAGGCGTCATAGTATCATATCGCATATCCTGAGTGATTGCGTCCAGCAAGTTGCGATGAACACCAATCGCCTCCAGGTCCCGGAACGAGGTGATCTCGCCGACGGGGGCAGCATTTTCGGGAGTGTTTTCCTCCGCGACAGCAGCATCGGCGCTGTACAGGCGGTTGAACTGCGCAAAGCTCTTCAGAGGCGCAACTGATCGAGACACAGATGCGGCTCCAGAGAAGGAGGCCGGGAAGGCTGCGCGGGCGCTCAGCAGCTTGGTGCTGGTCGTCGCAACGCGGGCCAAGGCGCCGCATCGACGAATTCCGGTCCGAAACATGGCGAATTCTGTGATGTCTCTGCTTTATAGGAATCCAATCAATAAAGCTGATCGAGTATGAGATGGAAAACCGACGACACAGTCAAGTGCCCTTCGGAGTAAAAGAAGATGAGAAAAAATCGACGGAAAGGTCGCGTGTATGTTCTCTCCAAGTGCCGATGAAGTTTGCTGGGACTTTTTTTCTTCTACTTTTTTCCCGCCTGAGCCCACTTATCAGCAGAAAAAGTTCGACCCCTCCAGCTGCTGTTCCTAATTGGGAAAGCATATCGATAAGATTAAGGCACCGCTAGGCCACAGCAAGGCTAGCCTCATTTGGGCTGTTCAACTCCACTCCAACCAAAAAGCGAAGTGCCGAAGTCGCGAGGTCACTCCATTGCCATTCATTGAAAGGACATTGGATATCACAGTCCACATCAGTTGTGTCTGGCTTTTATCGCAACTTAATCATCGACAATCCTTTGTGATAAATTGAATGTCTAAACAAGCTCTTTTCTGCAGTAATAACAATTCATGTCGTTCCCAAAACGCCAGCCATCATGTCCGCATAATGCCACCGTCGTCCGATTATGCAATATGATTGTTCCCCCCTTTATGCTTGTGTGAACGATAACCCAACTCCGTAATCCAAATTCTCGAGACTTGATAGCCACAACGCCCGCAAACCCTTGGCCAGACCGGTCCTTGCCCGTAACGTAATGTACAACCCCCACCCGATTTATAGCATGTCCTTGCTCATCTCATAAGACCAGCCACCATCTCGCCGCAGCTTGTCACGAGCCGCCATATCCTTTCTGATGTCATCTTCAGTCAAACGATCGAGGCCGCTCCAGTTGGCACTGGATGTCCTCTGGCGAAACTTGTGCCACTTGTCTTTGCTCTTGTTGAAGACTTCTTCCATGATCAAAGGCGCCGGTGGGCCAAAGATCTGTGTCGGGTCCATCGACTCTTGCCTCATGAGTGCCCGGCGCAAGTCCGGGGAGTCAGCCCACGCCGCCACGGCCATGCCTCCGCCTTCGTCATCGTCGTCTTCATCATCATCAGTCTGAATTTCGGGAAGTTCAATCGAATCGCCGTTCTGGAACCGCGGCGAAGCCTTCCTCACACTCCCCTTGACACTTGCCAGCTGTCCTGGCCGAGCCGGCGTCTTGTGAGAAGACCCAGCAGCATTGGAGCCAGGCGCAAAAGGTATGGGGCCCTTGGAGATCTGCGCCATATCGAGGGGGTGAGCTGCTTTCATCTGGCTGTGATGCTGAGATGTGACGGCAGCCTTGAACAAGTCTCGAGAGGCGCTCTGAGGTGCAGCCGCGTATCCATTCTGGAAGGCAGATTTCGTCGGCAGATCCTGCTCCTTGTTAGTCTTGGACGAACCATCAGTGATGGCATACATCGAGCGAATTTGTCGTACCTTCTTGAATCCGGTTGACGGCCTTACTGGCGCACCCTTGATCTTAGGAGCACTGTCCACCTCCGACTCATCATCGTTGTGTTCACTGGTCCGGCGCCGCTTGGAATCCTTCGTCTGGTATGCCGGCCCACCTCGAGAAGGCGGGGGTCTTGAATACGTCTCCTCAGTCGTCTCCGGCCCAAAGGTACGTTTTGCGCCTGCCTTGGCGGCGTTTGACAGAATGGCATTGACCGGCCTGTTCGGATCATCGCGCATTCCGGCCAACCGAGAAGGCGGCCGAGCAGGCTGGCCCTCGGCTTTTGAAGATGCTGACTTTGGCTGAGGCAAGGCTGTGTCGGACGTGCCATTCGGTTGTGATCGTGCTGCTGGTGGCGGAGCTCTGGTTTGCTTGGCCTTTTCAATGGCAGCCTGCCTCTGCGCACTCTTCTTCTCTTCTTCCTGCTGCCGCTGCCGCTCCAGTTCAAGGCGCCTTTGTTGGTCTTGTTTCCGCTGCTCCTCTTGAGCTGCTATTCGCTTTCTCTCCATTTCTGCCTTGGCTTCGCGACGCCGCTGCGATTCCCTTTCGTCCTGCTCCTTTTTCCTGGCCGCCAATTCTGCCGCCTTGGGTCGACCAGCAGAAGGAGGGGGCTTCGTGTTCGGTGCTGAAGACTTGGCTTGGTAGATGGACTTGCCGGACTTTGATGAAGCAGTCGAATGGTTAGAGTTCAAGGTATCATGAGACGCGGTGGAGACGCGGCTGCCAGCAGGTTGATATTGCGAATGCTGTGAGCAGGTATTGACCCTGATGACAGTAGGGGGAGCCTTGATTTTGGAAGCCGAATCCTTGATTGGCTTCACTGGTCGCTTGCTGTCCTTGCCACGTGCCACTGGGCCGGGTAGGGTAGGTTTGGTAGAAGAAGGCGGAGGCATGGGAGGCTGCGCGTCAGACATGTCGATATCGCGGTCAAACTGTCTGGACTGAGGTTCTTCACCGGCTCTCATCTTGCGGGGACTAGGAGGGCCAGCCTTGGGGGGGTTGGGGGTTGCCTTGGATGCCAGCCTCTCGTCTTGTTTCTTGGTAACCACCTCCTTTTCCATAGTGGCCACCTTTTCTTGCTCTTGGGTGAAAGCCCGAGCTTTTTCGCGCTCCTTCTCTCGCGCCTTGTCAAGCTTGTCCATCTGCTCCTCCATGCGCTTGACTTCATTTTCTAGGCGCTTTTGCTCCTTCTCTCGCTCTGTAGACGCCCTGGTGCGGCGGGCTACCGGCTTCGATGGGCTCGTAGGATCCATAATTTGAGGCTCAACATCTTGAGCCCTCAAAGCGAGGGAATCTGTAGACGCTCCAGCATGCAAGGCCAGACGAGTGGTGGAGGGTGACATCAGGGCCTTACCGTCAGCATTGCTGGCGAGTAGACCGCGAGAGCTCTTTAGAATGGACGATAACTTGCTCCTGACGTGCTTCAAAGGGCTTTCCCGCCGAGAAGGCGATTTGAAGGGGTTGTCAGCCAAGTCATCTTGCGAAGCCGCCAGGCTGGCGAAGGAAATGGGAATCGCCTCTGATGGAGCGGTAGTGTCTTTTGCCAGTGCTGATGGATCCAGAGGCATGGTTGATATGGATGATGGTTTGAAATGGTTGGAAACACTGTGAGAAGCGCGTTCAATGGCTTGATGTGGATAGCTGTCGTCTTGATCCTGAATTCCTTCCATGATGTCGGTCGTATGGCTTTTGGTGAAAAGAGGTCTCGATTCTCTGGCCTTTTTGGCTGTATTCGGCGATTCGATCCAGTCGGCATCTTCATCTTCAGGAGAAGCGCGTGGTGTCGTAGAAGCCGGCCCTTTCTCCAGAGAAGCGAGCTTTGGGCTCGTAATAGACTGCGCTTGGGCGGGCTCTTGCTGAAGCGCCGCCGCATTGGCGATCGCTTTGGTTTGCCCAAAGCCGCCCTGCGGTTTGCTCAACATGCTGATTTGATCTTGCAATCTCTGTGTATATGTCTTCGTGTGATTCACGCCCGGCCGGTCACCCTCGGAGGATTCCTGGACAGGGGAAGCATCCTCTGCCTTCGGTTCCAATCCATCTTCCTTCTCCTCGTGTAAAGAGTCGCGCTTAGCGAGGTTTCCGAGGCTTTTGCCGCCCGTTTGCCTTTGGTAGTAGCTGGTTCTGCTGCTATTGCCGGTATCGAAATGGCTGTTCCGAGATTGTCTTGCACCGAGGCTCTTGCCCGAGTTGAGTGGTTCCCTGGCCGGCAGGGAGGCGAAGTTCAAGCTGCTTTTTCGAACAATGGGTCTGATGGGGCTTGACCCTTCGGACGCTGATTGCTCGTCATCTGAAGACTCGTTCGATTGCTCTCCAGAGACGGGTGCATTCTTGGGGGATCGAACTGGTGATCGAACTGGGGATATCACTGGCGCGTCGGAGTATGCCTCGTCCGAATCGAAGTCCTCCTTGGCTGACGTTTCTGGTTCATCTAGCGCCTTGTTGAATGGTACATCTCGTAGATTACGTGTCGTCGAGTCTTCTTTCGGTGGTTGGAAAGTCTTGCTTGGAGACACAGGAACGATTTTTCGGACTGGGCTTCTTCTGACGGATGACCCGCCGGGCGGCAGCACTATATCGCTGTAGGGATTTGCAAAACCCTCAGGCTCCGCGAGCTCGCTTGCGTCAGTCGCAATATGGTCCTGGCTCCCATAATAGCCAGAATCTTGCATGCCTCGAGGGTGGCGCGGTCGCGATGGCGAGAACAAATTTCGCTGGGGAGAAACGGGCTTGGTGACTAACGGTACCGCCTTCAGGGCGACCTGATGTAGTTGATGGGACTGAGAATGGTTGGCTTGGTCCGAGGGTTGGTTTCTCGAGTCGGTAGGTGACGTTGCGAATACATCGGACAAAGGCTGGTTGTTGCATATTAGAGTGACATCCGAGACGGCACCTTCAGGTAAAACTCACCATTCGCGACTCTGCTGCGTTGCCCTTTCGAGCTGCATAGGGTGTTTTGCCCCTAAGTTTGCCTGGGGTTTTAAATGCTTCTGTGATATTTCTGGAAAAGGGAGTCAGCATGGACCACCCATCGTCACTCGCAGCCGCGGGTGGTGAGTGGTGGATAGGGAAACAAACACTTCGTTCCCGTTCAGAATCGCAGCCATGTGCTCGTTAAGCCACTCGACCTCATTGTGGGCAGAGTACGAAAACTCCTCGACTTCCGATTTCACAATCTGCAATGCAGACGCCCGCTCTTCGCCAACCCACGCCGCGGACCCGACCTGGAGACGCGGGCCTCGCATTGCCGTCATGGTGTCGCGCGTGAGCCGCTGGGAGCGCGATGTCGTGTCTTCCGGTGCTGGCTGGATAAGGATCGTCTCTGTCTCTTGTCACGGCATCGGCGACTGCGACGGTATGATTCGGCGTGAACTCTGCTGTCGGCGGAGTCTGTAGGGCGATGTTGATGATGGCTGATATGAGGTAGTGGTGAATGTACAAAGTAAATAATAGGCTGGGCCCCGTTCACCATTCCAAGGTTGCAATGTTTTGATGCGCTCCAGATCGGGTTAGCGCCATCCTGTGCTAGCTCTAACCTTCCTGCCTCCCCTCGCGTCTTCACAGGGGGGAATCGAGCTGCACTTGATTACGTCAACCATCACGTGGAGATACGGCTTATCAGAAAGCAAACACGGAGGGGGTTGTTTACTTTACACTTCTGGGGGTCGTCGCGTCCCTGGTTCATGGTGGAGTTGATTGTGCATTAGAGGGACCAAGTTTGTACGATCCGCATCAGCATCTGCTTCGCGGCTTCATTGGCGCTGCCACGATGAGGGTGATTGAAGTGATCATTGACGTAAGTGCTTCCAGCCGCTCCTCGCGTTTGATCTTGCTCTGCTAACCCCTTTCACAGGGCTTCAAGTCCTATGCCGTGCGGACTGTTATTTCGGGATGGTAAGCTCCGACTGCCCGACGAAGAATGTGTAACGTCCAGGCTTGCTGACCAGCCCAGGGACGAGAGCTTCAACTCAATCACCGGCCTCAACGGCAGCGGGAAGTCGAATATCCTCGATGCAATATGCTTTGTTCTCGGAATCACAAACATGTCCACTGTTCGGGCGCAGAACCTTCAGGTATGCCGGCTCAACACTGCCTGGGTCAGCACGCGATCGATTAGTAACATGGGATGCAGGATCTGATCTACAAACGAGGCCAAGCGGGTGTCACGAAGGCCAGCGTCACGATTGTCTTTGATAATAGGGACAAGAAGAAGTCGCCGATCGGATTCGAAGAATATGCCACCATCAGCGTCACTCGCCAGATCGTCCTGGGCGGCACGTCCAAGTACCTGATCAACGGCCACCGTGCACAGCAGCAGACGGTTCAGAACCTCTTCCAGTCCGTCCAGCTGAACATCAACAATCCCAATTTCCTCATCATGCAGGGACGGATCACCAAGGTCCTCAACATGAAACCCGTCGAGATTCTGGCCATGATCGAGGAGGCCGCGGGAACAAGGATGTTCGAAGACAGGAGAGATAAGGCTCTGAAGACGATGGCGAAGAAGGAGACGAAGCTTCAGGAGCTCAGTGAGCTTCTGAGAGATGAAATAGAGCCCAAGCTGGAGAAACTTCGACAGGAGAAGAGAGCGTTCTTGGACTTTCAGCAAACGCAGAATGATTTGGAGCGGCTCTCCCGCGTTGTGGTGGCATACGACTACACCAAGTGTCAGGAGAAGCTCAGGCAGTCCGCAGCTGATCTCGAAGCCAAGAAGCAGCGGCAACAGAGCCTTGAAAGCTCAGTCGCACGTCTTCGCAATGAGATATCAAATCTTGAAGAAGACGCCAACAAGGTGCGGGCACAGCGCGATAAGGAGCTCAGAAAAGGGGGCAAGGCTCAAGACCTCGAAGATAAGGTAAAAAAGCACGCCAACGAGCTGGTGCGGCTCACGACGGTCATGGACCTGAAGAATTCGAGCTTGAAGGAGGAACAGGAGAAGAAGGCCGCTGCCGAGAGAGCGGTGTCGGAGTTGGAAACTGCTCTCATGGAAAAAACAGCGACATTCGAAGACGTCAAAGCGAAGTACGAGAAAGCGAAAGATGACCTGGAAAAGCAAAGCAAAGAGGCCGAGTCGAAAGAAGAGCTCCTGCAAACGCTGCAGACTGGAGTTGCTTCGAGAGAAGGACAAGAAAACGGATACCAAGGGCAACTTCAAGAGGCAAAGAACCGCGCCACGGCTGCCGCAACCATACAGGAGCAGGCAAAAATCAAGATTGCACATTTGCAAAGCCGAGTCAAGGAAGAGGAGCCTCGAGCTCGGAAAGCCAAGGAACAGAATGCCCACTTGCTGCGCGAGTTGGACGGTCTGAAGTCACAGGAGCAGAGGCTGGAAAAGGAATTGAGCAGGTTTGGCCTCGAGCCTGGCCAGGAAGAAGCAATGTACAAACAAGAGTCCAGCTTGCAGCAGACGGTCCGAAATCTACGGCAAGAATGCGATTTCCTGAAACGAAAGGTTGCCAACATCGATTTCACCTACTCCGATCCCGTGGCCAACTTTGACAGGTCAAAGGTCAAAGGCCTAGTCGCGCAGCTGTTCACAATCGACGAAGGAAAGGCGCAGGCTGGAACGGCGCTGGAGATTTGCGCTGGTGGACGACTGTACAATGTCGTGGTCGACTCAGAAGTTACGGGCACACAGCTCCTCCAAAGGGGCAAGCTTAGGAAGCGAGTGACGATTATCCCACTGAACAAGATCGCCGCATTCAAAGCATCAGCACAGACCATCGCGACGGCACAGAGAATTGCGCCTGGCAAAGTCGATCTCGCTCTATCCTTGGTTGGCTATGACCACGAAGTGGCCTCTGCAATGGAATACGTCTTTGGCAACACTCTAATTTGCGCGGACGCTGAAACGGCGAAGAAGGTTACATTCGATCCCAGTGTCCGAATGAGAAGCATTACGTTGGAAGGAGACTCGTACGATCCTTCTGGAACGCTCTCAGGTGGCAGCGCTCCAAACTCCAGCGGCGTGCTGATTACATTGCAAAAGCTCAACAACCTCACACATCAACTCAATGAGACTGAAAGGACGTTGAAGGAACTACAGTTCATGATTGCCAGGGAGAAATCCAAGCTGGATCAAGCCCGTCAGGTACAGCAAGAGTTGGACCTGAAGAGACACGAGATCAAGCTTGCTGAAGACCAAATCGGCGGCAACTCATCATCTTCCATCATCCAAGAGGTTGAAAATATGAAGGCGACCATTGCTGAGCTGCAGGCGAGCATATCCGACGCCAAAGCTCGTCAGACTGAGGCCACCGCTGACATCAAGCGCATCGAGAAGGATATGAAAGACTTTGACAACAACAAGGATGCCAAGCTGGTGGAACTTCAGAAGTCTCTCGATAAGCTGAGAGCGAGCTTCGACAAAAATTCAATAGCTGTTAAGACGCTGCAAAAACAGCTGCAGAGTGCTCAGCTCGATCTAGAGCAAGTTGGGGGCGACTTGTCAGCGGCACGGGAACAGCTTCAGGAGGTGGAGGTCGGTATCAAGGCTCAGCAGCGGGATATCGAAGAGTTGGAAAAGCAGCAGGCCAAGGTGACAGAAACCCACGCTGCCGTGCAGGCCCAGCTTGATGAGGAGAGAGCCAAGTTACACCAGTTTGACGACGAGCTTCGCGCCTTGGAGGATGCCACGCGCTCAAAGAATGCACGAATCACGGAAGAAGGCCTGGAGATGCAGAAGCTTGGCCACCAAATCGAAAAGTTCCACAAGGAGCAGCAGTCCGCGGCGGAGAATGTTGCTCGGCTCGAGGCTGAGTACGAGTGGATTCACGACGAGCAGGAAATGTTCGGCCGCAGTGGCACGCCCTACGATTTCCAGCGGCAGAACATTGGAGAGTGCAAGGCTACCCTGCGGAACCTGACAGAGCGATTCCAGGGCATGAAGAAGAAGATCAACCCCAAGGTCATGAACATGATTGACAGCGTCGAGAAGAAGGAAGTCTCACTCAAGCAAATGATCAAGACGGTCATCCGCGACAAGCGCAAGATTGAGGAGACTATTGTCAGCTTGGACGAGTACAAGAAGAAGGCACTCCAGGAGACCTGGGAGAAGGTGAATGGAGACTTTGGCCAGATCTTCTCCGAGCTTCTTCCCGGAGGCAGTTTCGCGAAGCTGGATCCTCCCGAGGGCAAGACAATCAGCGATGGTCTCGAGGTCAAGGTTTGCTTGGGCAAAGTGTGGAAGCAGAGTCTGACAGAACTAAGTGGTGGGCAGAGGTATGCGTCTTCACCCGTCCATGTTACTCCTGACATGCTACAGTCGTTTCTATCGTGCATTTACTGACAAAAGGGTCTTCTCAGGTCACTGGTTGCGCTCTCGCTCATCATGGCTCTGTTGCAGTTCAAGCCTGCGCCCATGTACATTCTCGACGAGGTCGATGCCGCTCTCGATCTTTCTCACACGCAAAACATTGGACGTCTGATCAAGACGCGCTTCAAGGGCTCGCAGTTCATCGTCGTCAGCTTGAAGGATGGCATGTTCCAGAACGCCAACCGTATCTTCCGGACTCGCTTCAGCGAGGGAACGAGTATGGTTCAGGCGCTCACGCCTGCGGACTTGAAGTAATCGAGATGGTTGAAAATAACGAAAAAGGGAAGAAAAAAAAAAAGCATAACAATATTTTCCGTATATTCTGTCTACCTAGGTAATCATAGGGCTATGTGATACGATGTGACGAGACGCACGAATGGGTTTGCCGGGCCGGTGGAATCTGATCTGACAACGGGATGAAACAAAGACGGGAAGACAGCAAGGAGAAAGAATAATCACGAGCCGTTCTGCCTTTTTGCCCCTGCACAATTTGTTTGGATTCTATTTACGTCAGAGGACGCCTTTGTTTTTCGATACTTTGGATGAAATTTATGAAAGCATCTTGACCCGAAGACGCCTTTGTTTTTGATATTTGGGAACAGTGAAAGCGTCTTTACTCGAGGACATCTCCATGTTACGGCTCGCTGACATCTGTTTTGTGCTTGCTTTTCCTTTATTCTTTCTTTTTGCCCCTTTCTATTATTCTCTCCCTCTTTAGTTCGCCACCACCACGTCAACAAAACAGTTGAGCAATCTTGGCAACCTATCAGATACAAGACTTTTTTCAACCTACTCGACGTCTCAAACCAGACGCCTACAGAGCCAAATGTGGCCCCCGTTGCAGAACCTTAAGCTCCATACCCACCTCGAGCGACAGCGCCAAGTCCTCCTCCTCCTCTTCTTCCGGACCGCTCATCGCCTTCGTCTTGGGAAAGATGGGACACAGCTGCATGCCAAAGCAGCCGCTCTTCGGAGCGCCTTCGTCAATGTTTCGAAACTTCCTGAGCGAATGGTCGGGCTCCACCTTGTGTTTGATTCCCGTGGCAGGATCGACGTTGGGCAATTTGCACCTGTAGGGGAAAAGGGGTGTCCATTTAGCAAGCGACTTCACGGAAGGGTAGGTATAGGGTAGTTTCAGTAGAGTGTTGAGTGAGGTAGTAGGTAGGTGGCAGTAGGTGGTGAGAGTTGGATGACTCAAGAGGTAGGTTAAGGTAGTGGCATAGCAAACCGCCATACCCGACGGTAGGTGAAAGGTCTCCTTCAATGACGGACAGGGCCTCCACATGAGTAGCGTGGCTGATGCCTTTGTTCTTTTGCGCCGTCTTTGTTCTTTGTTGCGGCATGTGAACAGGGCCCTGATTCGAGGGGGGGCGAATAAGGTTTTCACAGAAGAAAGAGCGTGAGCGGTCCGAAGACAACAACAAAACTTACCGAACTGTGCGACAAGAAACGTCGAACCTCGACGGCGACTCCGAGTCCTTGGCAGTTTTGCCTGCCTGGAAGGGCCGGGAGAATTCAATGCTTCGCCAATCGTCCTCGTCGTACTCCTTGAGGCCAGATACTAGTCACATCAAGTTAGCTGGAGGGTATCTTACGGCTGCCGCGGAGTCGAGGGGAAAACTCTAAGTGAGGTACTAGGTTCAAACCCATTTCACATAAGGGCCCCAGAGAGAGAAATGTCCGAGACGTACCGATGATGTTCGGGCGAAAGCGGCGCGCGTCCAGGAACTCTAGATGTTCGTCCTTTTGCACCTTCGACTCCAAGGCACGGACGCTCGTAAGGCTTAGAAGGTGTAGTGGATACTGCAGATCTTATTAGATGCAAAGAGCCGATGCAAGGGGAGAGGCGTAGGGCTTGAACTTACTGCATCCTGAAAGTCAATGACAGGCTGGTAACCAGCATCTTCCTTACGCGGCGCGTTCCTGAAGACTTCCCTCCGTCGGGCCGGGTCTATCATGAATATGCTCACTGGCGCAGTTACTCCCAGGTAGAGACCCAGCTCCGGCGGCACCTCGTTCCTGAGGTTCAGTGCCTGGATGGTCTTGCTGAAGAACCGTGTATCCTCGTAGCAGTAGCCCGCGGCTTTGATCTCCTCCGGGGAAGGGAAGTCAATTGACAGCATAAATTCCTTCTCCGGAATCCCGCCGAGGCCGCGGCTCAGCTTGGCAGATATCCATTGAATCACTCCTTTCAGGCCAGGGTCCCTCCAGGGGAACCTGATGACGACGAAACGGCCACCAACTCTGCCCAACAGGCGGCTCGTCCTGCTCGCATCCGGAAGCCACAAGTCCACCTGGACATTGGCGAGCAGCGGCACTTGCCTCAGCGTGAGAACTTCCCATCGCGCCCGTTGGGTTTCACCTTCTCCAGACGGCACGACAGCATCTTTTGCCTCCGGCTTCTGCCGTGCGAAAGCAAACAACCGGTCAAACTCGAGGCCCTTGGGCAACACTCTGCTCTGTTCAACCTCGATGCCCCGGCACGACTTGACCGGATAGATGAATAAGCTTTGTATCCTGGCGGGCTTTCCCGGCTGGTGGTTGTGATCCGGCGATGTCTGAGTCCGGAGGTTGCTGTGGGATGGCGAGATGCCGACCTTGGAGTGAGTCTGTTGCAGCGCATCACTGCGTTCCACTGGTATCGGCGGGAAGAGGATGAAGACGGGGATTGCGAAGACGACCACGGTTGTGAGCAGGAGAATGACTGCGACGGGGTCAAACAGCTCGATGACTTGGGCAACGGACGGCATTGCAGCAATTCAGCGTCAAGGGCCAGCCTTGAGTGAGAAATCCGTGCTGTGCTGCTCGCGACTGATGAACGCGAATGGTACCGTGATGGCCGACTTGCACCTGCTGCCGCCGCGAATGATCTTAGCAGTACACAACAGCAGGGTGAGAGATGTGTTCTCTAGTCCTCCATCTCTAGGAGGCGTCTGACAGGTCCGGCTGACGATTGGCTCGATCATGAATCTACGGGCTGCTCAGGGTTGACGCTGCCACGGAGGAAGAAGCAGGATCGTATAGTATTACGTGAGCAGCGCCGATATCAAAGTCAGAGGCCATCTGATAGAACGATAGCCCCATCTCTAGTGCTCTTCGTTTGATGCTACAAACTTCGAACGCGAAGCAGCCGGACAAGGCTGTGTCGCATATCGCTGGCCTATGGATTCCCTCCTGCCGGGAGTCTCGTGTCACAGCCTGCGGAGCAGGAGAATTTCTGTTGTATCAGAGTGTCCATGTCTTCGAGCGTTTCAGAAGAGCGGCTGACCTCGCATGTCCTCCAGGGTAGGTAGGCCGCATCAGCCGCACCAGCCGAATATTGGTACTAGTATTGCTGCTGTGTGATGAGACGTGTACGAGGTACACAAGAGTAAACACAAAATCGTGCGGTCAATCTGGCGCAGTTCGCAACTGAGCAGTGTCCGAGATACATACGTAAACTTATTCGACCTGGTTGGCTGCAGAGGCAGAACTGGCTTGGAGTTTCAAGTCCCAGCCTTGCCTCTGACGGAACGAAATCCCTGCCAGGAGAGACTTCCAACACTTGGCGCGCATTACTCGTGCTGGGAGACACCACTGATGAGATGGTCTCTGATGAACGCTTCTAGCCGTACGTCGCATGGTTGCAGTGGCCCCGGAAGCTGAGGCACCAAGGTGGGGGTGAAAGGGGTTTGAAGGGGGTCATCTTCTTCGTTAGAAGACAGCTCGTACGACTATTAGGTGGACCGGGCATTTTGAGGGGGGCTCAGCAGCTGTGCTCTCCGCCGTTGTTCACAATGGCAGTGCGTAGCTGCGCTTCTGGCTTATCCTCAGCCAATATTGTGCGCGATGGGGATTTGAAGAAAGAGTCCCGAGCAAAAGATGTTATGGACATCGACTTGCGATCCACCCTCGATTCCCCTCTCCTGGTGAGAGCCACAGATCGGACTTAACCTGGCCAAGGTTAAGAAAAAAGAGACCATGCAGTGTTTACTCCGTGGTACTTCATATTACTGCATATGCAGCCTTGTTGAGATGAGCCGCCGCCACCTCAGGCTTCGCGCCTGGATCGAGAGCATGGGCGAGGGAAGGAAACACGGAAAATAAGAGTAACCAACCCCCTGATGGAGAGGCGCGACCAGCCCAGTGCTCGGTGCTGATAGGGAAACCCGTTTAGCTCCTCTGAGACTTCGGAAAATAGGGTGAGTGTAGCGCCATCTGGAGAACCGGGGAGACGAGTTTGGAAAAGCAAGCACTGGCTTCCGGCAAACTGCTCCCATGGGCCAATTTGAGTAAAACTGACTGCTGGCTGCGCCGCCGACGCAACGAATGGACGACTGCTCACCACCACAGGTTGATTGAGCGTACTTCTGGACTGCCCGATGCTGTGGTGCGGGTTTTCCCTCCTGTCCCCTCCCCGGCATTGTGACATATGATCCGGAGATCTTGTTGGTTCGTCATCCCCATATTGCTGCTGGGGTTGTCTTGGTCCTCCGCCAACCTGGCCTCCTGTCTCCCACTTTACACCGGCCCGAACTTACTCTTCATGACAGACAACTGTCACCATACCTAGGTCAGCGGATTAGTGTAGATGAAAAGTGGACGAGCTTCGGTGCCTTCTTGTATGCATCAAAGTCGCAATCTATCATAGGTATACTCCGTAGTAGCGGGGGAAATTGCGAGCTGTAAGATCCAACCTTGAGAGTGAATCTTCAACTCAAGGCACGGGCCAGAGCTAAGCCGAAGACACTCGGCGTAACGATTGCTCAGAAGACATGCGCAAGCTTGGATTTTGTTGAAAAGGACATTAGCTGACAGTTGTTGGAATGAGTTGAAATGAGCAATATCAATGCTTCTGCTGGCAGGGGGGCAAATTGAAGCCGCGGAAATCGTACCTTGGATTGATTACACATGCAGTGGATTAGCTGGCAGCCTCCTTTATTAACCGTTTGAGGCTCCAATTGACCATGAATGTAACCAGCGAATACCATGTGGTAGTAGTCCATCGCCGGGCTCTCCCTCTGATGAGCTCAGAGAACTTTCAGCTTTTCGCAAGGGTCTTGGACCTGGACGGACCGGCTCGCCAGCGTAGCGTTGGGCCAAAATACGGCCAGTTTATCCTCTGTCTTGTTGATGCAGTACAATAGGCACAGAGTTTTGGTACAAGTGCTGCCGCCAGCCTCAACGATAGTAATTGGAAGATTTCACGTAGCCGGACGTTTTCCCGTTCTTCGCTCGGTGCATGATATTGCTCATGCAGGACGGAAATTGCAACCAGCAAGGCCAGCTCTTCTCAGCATCGAGGCGTGTAGCTATGTTTCCGTTCAGACGTTCCCAGTATTTGCGCACCGTATGGTTGCGATTGATATTAGCTACCTCACTTGTAAGGGATGTGTGCTCTGGAAACCTAAACTTCCGGCAGTTGGAATTGGATGTGTGGCCTCGCAGGCGTATTCTCCAGGGCATGCCGCTCTTCGGGTTTCGCATGAATCGTGCTTCAGAAGTACGAGCATATAAATAATGCCCGTACGAGCAAGTACATGTAGTATCAACTGGGCCTCTCCGGTATATATGCCCCCATGTGCGCGCTTATCTGCGTGGTCCGAGTGAAATAGTGTAGTAGTACGGTAACATGTACGACATGCTGGATGTCCGTGCAGCGCAAAACGGTCGGGTGCCTCTCCTAGCTGCCGCGATGAACACTGGACGGTACGAGCATTTAGAGTTATTATCCCAGGACGATTTGAACCGAGACGCCACCGTCAGCGCCGTTATTCATGGATACCTTGACCAAGCCGAATTTCGCTCCTCAAGTTGTCTCGGGATCATGGCAACATGGACATGCCAGGCTGCTGTTACCTCGCTGGCGGTTCAGGAGCTTGGGACGGTGCGCCGGGGAGAGCATTGAAGGTGCCTGTTGGACCGGATTCGATCAGCGAGCTGCAGCACCCCTGCCCCTGGTATTGATGCAGGTTGATCCAAACTGCGTAAGTGGGCTCCCAGCTCTCGAGTGGTGTGTTGGGAGGATCCTTTCCCGGAAATCAGAGCCTGCAGCTCTAGTGCCATTGGACAGAGATGGCGTCGAGCTAGCATGTAGTTTGTCGTTGTGGAGGACCACCTCAAGACTCGTCACAGTTCGTGGTCGTGGACGTCGTCGTCTTGCGCGTCTCCCTTCTAGAACCCCGGCCACCAAGCCTTGATGAGGGCTTAAAGTCTGAAATACCTGCCATCACTCCGTGCTAGCACGGAGTCTGGACCCCTCAACGCTTCGCGGTGGGTTAGCCTTAGACCCGATCTTCATCCACATGAAAAGCCAAAGCCGGGCCTGCTCAGATTGTTGCTCGCGGGCGGCTTTGCCCTATGACTGACGCTGCTGATAACAACCTACGTGCCTAGCTCCGTCAGTCGTGAACCTGAGGCTGCTCCCAGGTACGAAGCACATACAAATTGCCGGTTATGTTGTCATAGCAAGGCATGTACAATCTGCATTCTCGCAGCACGCCGTATCACCACCTACATCGACCTTGTCAAAAACCCCGAGATCATGAGGTTGGCGCCGCCATGTGCTCGGTAACAGCGGACTATTTCGAAATGAAGATTTGGTGCACACATCCGTCGCATGGCATGGGGTTTGGGCCTTTTGGCGGTCGATTTGCCTGTGAGGCATTATTGAGCAACACATGCAAATTTCCAGGCAGTGATATTAAGACATGGACTGGTTGTCGCTGGTTTGCAACAAGTTGCAAGTACCGTATACTTTGATGAGTCCTAGGCGGAGGAGTTCCCTAGAAGTGCGTTAGTCCTCCGAAGAGGCCATAACACGGTACTTCGTACCGGCGTGCGAACTGCTCGGAAAACGAGGCTTTGATTGGCTGAAGAGGGCGGTGGTCCTGCATTGGCAGAGAGACTGCATTCCAGTTCACAATGCAGCAGCGTTTGTTACCGTGCCTTAAGGACCGACAGCCGCTTCCTTGACCTGGCAGGCAATCCGAGGGACTCCGGACTCCGAACGAAAGCATTACTGTCAATGGAGTTGGACAGTCCAGGCGGCAGTACTCCGTCAATGGCTCGATCTGCGGTTTTCGAGAGGTTGAGAATGGATGTGGAACCAGATGTACACAAGTAGGTTAGTAGCTGTGCAATATTACGGAGCATTGTTCAAATAAGAGTGAATGTGAATGCCAGATGGAGAATAATGCCCGGGGCCTGGATCTTGGCTCGCGCCTACTTGGAAGAGTCAAACGGTCAGACCCATGCCCATGACTCTGCCGAGCCGCTCCCGCGCTGCCAATATACAAGTACTAGATACTATCGCGGTTCGATAGGAGAGCACTGTGAGGATAGAAGTATCAGACACCTCGTACGTGCAACGTCGCTGCGCATGTAGCAAGCTGGAGGGAAAGGAGCGGTCTCCATGCGTTGCAGTGCCCGATGGCCGCAGCTGTGCTTGCACAACCACCCGTGCCTGTTGCGATCCCGAGTCTGTACTGGTACGTGACTGAAAGGTGAACGCATGGCATCGAGGTTATCGGCGAAAACGATTTGGAGAATTGCGGATCCGGTTGACGCTGCTGACCCCATGCAAGAGGCCGGGGAAAAGGCCAACCAAGCGCGCAGTCTCCAGCCCACACGCGCATCTAGCTCGATAAGTTGAAAATGCACGTCTAGCTGCATCACGGGCCTGGCGATTCATGCCTCTCGCTGCAAGCCCATCTGTGCGAGGCTTCTTCTGGGATATTCGTGGTCTGTGCACGGCCGGCTGGTGGTGTGCTGCAAATTGAGCGGCGCCGGATCCTGTTGCCAGCAAGGGTCCACACGCTCTTTTGGCTCTCACCGTGAAAGCAAAGCAAATGTCAATCTGGTTGTTGGGCTTGGCTGGGCCAGGGCTGTGACTGAGGGATGAATGGCAAGGTGACGGCCGTAGTTCTGCGTTGAAAGGCATAGGATGGTAGTGGTGATGGTGGTGGTGATGGTGGAGGACAACGAAGCTGATTGAAGAGGAAATTCCCGGACCGGCATAATTCGAGCGTCAGCTCGTATTACATAAGCAGCATCTTGCCGCATAAAGGAGCTTGGGGAAGGAGCAATCCCAATGACTTTCTGCAGGCCAGGCTCACTGTTCTTCTCCAGAGGAAGGAGGGAGAGACCGCAGGGTGCAGGGGGGAAGTAGTACCCGATACTTTCGTATCTCCGGTGCTGCAGAGACGATGCTTGCGCCTGTCTACTGCCATGTGCGTATCTGGTACTGCCCAGAGTAGGTACTTCGTGCCTACTCCGTGTGCGCTCAACAACCTTCCATTGGAAGGCTGAGTAGGTAGGTAGGTGCCTGGCGACTGCCCAGTCGCAGTCGCAATCCCAATGAATTGAATTGTAGTTGTAGGGCAGGCCAGGGCCAGCGAGTTGCAGCAGTAGCTCCTGCTCGTGCAGAAGTTAGTATCGAGCGCCCCATGCTCCTTCTCTGGCCGCGAAACGCGGAATCGTCAAGCTTCGAGCTAGCAGCCCCAATTCCGTGTGCTAGTACGGCCATGTAGGAGTGACTCTATTCCTAGTAACACCCAGCGCTCCTTCGCACGTACCGGTACCGACCCGTGCCTGTACCTGCGCTTGCTGACTTCGTGCTAACTTTTACCTCCCACCGCCAGCTCGCCATTTGAACGCCATCACGGCATCAGACAAATCGCAGAACTGGAGCGCAGCCTAGAATCGCTCTCGAGGCCCGAATGAGGCTTGAAAGAGACTTTCGCACCGTACGGAGCAACGCCTGGACGGCCGGAGACTAAACATCGTTGAACCCCACGCTACCAGTCCGGTCCAAGGCCCGGCAGCTCCTCCGAGAAAACTGTGCAGCTCTGGACGGCGAAGGGCTCGACGGTACGAATGACCTGATGTCTGCTGGTTCGATTGCGTGTACGAGTACAGTACCTGTCCGGATGGATCGCGATCGCCCAATGGCCTCTCCTTTACCGCTGTTGCTGGCCCTGCCTTTAGCACTGGCATGTGCGGCAACGAGTACAGGTACTGGGACCGTCATTCTGTGCCGTTGTTATCGCCGACTTATTTTGCAAGGGGACGAGGACGGGAACAACGGAGAGTGTCCGGTCGGCCGGCCTCGCTTGTCTCATCGGACTGCAGCCCGGGCAGCAGATGAGAGGAGAAGGCGAAAGACAAGACGAATGACGAGGTGAACGTGAGAGATGAGGAGAGGGACGGAGCGAGAGCATCTCTGGCTCCGGCCATGGGCGGCATACGAGTAGAGGCTGCGTGGATGGCTTGGGGTTGATCAAACCACCGTGTTGTATTTTTTCTCCTCCCAAGCCATGCCGCTCCCAGGTCCTACCTAGGCCCATTGAGCCTCTCCACCACCTCAAAAGTACGAGTACAGGGTACTTACAGGCCGCGACGTACCGACCAGCATGGACGGGACATACTGCTTGTCCGCTCATTTGGGACAAGGTGCTGCTTTTAGGAGTCCCAAAGCTGCCAATGACATGCGCGCTTCTTTTGCTCTTCTCACGCGAATGACCTTGTATGTGTCAGGCCTGCTCTGGTTGAGCATCTCTCGATCCGGTGAAGGTTGTCGTTCAGGCCGCGAAGCACACGGTACCGCCATACTGACGCGAGTATCCGTACTCCATACCCAGGTACGGACTTTCCTCACCTTCAACGTTGTGAGTAAGGCAAGGTACCTTCTCTTAGAGGATCAGAGGAGCCATCTCCTGGCCGAGCTGCTAGTGCCGCTGCTAGTAGGAGGAGGAGGAGACCGGAGGTTGGCGTGGGGTGCTCCAAACCCGTTGCAGCAACCCTGGCTTCTGCTCCCCGTCATTTTGCTGGGCTGGCCGCCGCCACCTGGCTGCTCAGGCCTTGTGGAGGCCCTCCTTTGGAGACTGGATTCTGATTCTACAGTTTACGAGGGGTAGGGGAGGCATATGCAGCCTTGGCTTTGTTCGCTGGGCCTTGGTGCCTGCCGCCACCCCCCCCTTCGAAACGTTATTCGTCGTCCGCAATGCATCAACAGAAGTGACACACCCAGTACAACTAGGATCACTGTGAATACTTGTTCGTCGACGTTGCTCTGGTCACCTTACTGCCTTTGGAAACGGTACCAAGGAACGGCAGGGCGGGAGCACAATGCCTGCCCTCCTATCAAATATCGCCCTGGCACGCCTTGTCATTTGAAGAATGAACAGCCTCTTGTTACTTGGGTACCTTGCAAGAGCCTCCTGGATGGACCCGAGTGTACTTCCCATTGAGGGCGCGTATATGCTTAAGTCGATGGCCAAAGGAAAAGATACACCTGGCCTGGATCTAAGAAGCAGCGGCGGCGGCTGCGGCTTCAATGTCACCCCATAAGTTATCACTTTCAGATCCAGCCCGCCAACACTCCCACTCCCACCACCACCCCTCGATCACCGCTGCGCTGAGTACACGCCTGCCCCAGCTACGAAATTTGACAATTTTCTCTCTGCCTGTTTTTGCTCACTGTCGAGTCACCCTGTTGATGACGGATGCTCATCGATAGATTTGCGTCCCAGTTGGAGCCAAACACCCGGCAAGACCCATGTGTATTGCCGCCCAGGGGGAGCCGTCTAACCGTCTTTCTTCTGCCCCGCGCCTCTGCTCCGTTGCCAGAGCTTCATCTTCTCCTGGCCCAGTTCCCAATTTTTCTCTCCCCTTGCGGGATCCTCCATCGACGACGAAGTGTGGCCAGTGGGAATGTGCTGGGCCAGTTCCCACCAGTCGTCTCCGCTGTGGACCAGGCATTGATTCCCTTTCGGAATTCACAAGCTCAAATGGTATCGACCGAGCATTGATGCAGGTGATTCGTCTGGTTGATCCTCCCTCAAAGATCTAATCTTGTCAAATCCAAATTCTCCGGCGTGACTTCGTCCTTGCGTGTTCTCGTCATTGTTGGGATCGTCTTGGCTTGTGAGCGGGAGAGAGAAGAGACGAGTGGAAAAAAAAGGGGGTGGTTCACAAGAGGCAATCCCCATCCCGACTTCTTCGCAAGCAGGCATCTCTACCTATTCGCCTGCTCATGGTACCGAAGCCACTTCCATGGCCAAGCGAGAGACTTCAGTACGATAACCTTCTTTGCGCCTCCTACGCCAAACACGTTTTTCTCCTCCTCAACGCCGACCGGTCTTCCCTTGCTCGAAGTCTGTCTGGGCTGCGGCTACAACTCGCAGTCATTGCCGTCTACGTAGCGAAGCACATGATACATCTTCACGTTACAGCCACCCTTCATCTACTAGGTACTCCCCAAGCAACAGTTGCGTGTCCAGATTGGACTGGCACCAGCTCCCCGCAGCGTTGGGCCATACATATTGCACCGGCTGCTGCTCTTGCTGCCTTCCGGCTGTCGCTGCATACCTGTACGCTACCTAACCGCCGCAGCCAGAGACCGATCTGGCGAGACGCAGTGACAAGCAGCATTCTCAAGGTCGAGAAGCTGTGCAGAGCGGTCCATGGTCGTTGATACCCACAGCCTCCTCATTGCGACTATTGACCGGTTCGCGTTCGTCTCATCCCCTCCTGAGCGGGCACAACAAAGAAGCAACTGCCATCAGCGGACCTGGAGAACCGAGCCCGTAACAAATCACCACTGCTGCCGCCCTTGCCGTCCACCTACGATCTCATCGGCGCAAGAATCCCGGGCTCGTCCGCAGGCCAGAGCCGTGCAGTGGTCTGGTGTGCCTCCTCCCCCGTGTTCCCTGCCAACTCTTCGACCGTTCACGACGCGACTTCCCGGTCCCTCTTCCTGAACTGACCACCAATCGGACCTCGACATCTTTGGTTCCTCTACATCTACTTGGGTCCTATCAATACTATCTCCGGATGCAACTTGGAACGAAAACCATTGGTTGAGCTCGGCAAAGACAGCCAAATCACGACGAGGTTCGATTAGCAATACGCAAGTCTCTATTGACGGCTTGACAACTCGATCGCTTCTCCTTCCTCACCTGCCCGTCCCCCCTTCCCTTCATGACCCTCTACAGCACAGCAGGACGGCCCTCCTGGTTTCGGCAACAAATCCTTTCGTAACACTACCGTTTGCTTGGTGTTCGATGCGACGACCCCGACTGTCATACTCCTTGAAGTATCCGCTGAGCATGCGAAAAGTCGGAAAGCTATCAATCATCATCAACAACAAACTTCTAGCGGCGTATCCTCAAAACACTCTTAGCCACCTTGGTTTTCCTACATAGTTGCCATCATGAACGAGCAGTACAGTCAGTTTCTTCACACAATGTCATCGGCGGTCTATCTGCCCACGAGCCCCGACGAGATGGGTCCATACTTCATGCCCGGACTTCCCCTACCATTTTCAACCCCTCCAATGCAATCTCCACATCCCTCGCATGGAAATGGATATTTCGCGGGATACACCCAAGGCTCTGTTATCAATGTGTCCAAGCCAAGCAAGAGCCGGCGGCGCTCAGCTGCAAGCCAAGGGGGGAACGCAGACCAGGTGAAGCATCGCAGGACACGATCCGGCTGCTATATGTGCCGGAGCCGCCGAGTCAAGGCAAGTCAAAAAAGCAAAAGTCTGGACAACCGACACGAAGTCTGTGGCTGACACTTTGTAGTGCGACGAAACTCGACCGATCTGTGACCGTAAGCCTTCGAAAACCGCAATGTGAAAATGCAACACGACTTGTATCTCTCATCAAACTAATGACTTGCAGGATGCAGGAAAGGAAATCGAGATTGCGTTTACCCCGAGCCGTCAGGATCCAAAGGGGCCTCAGGCCATTCAACGGCTACAAGGCCAAGAGAAGGGTCATCCACCCAGCATATAAGCCCCGCATCTTCTAACGATGTTGAAGAAGAAGATACGGAGCAAGAAGCAAGGCTGGGGACTATTCCCGATGACGACGAACCCGATGTGCCGCCCAGGCGAACGTCGATGTCTGTCCTACCGCAACTCCGAAGAGCAAGTGCAACATCACCCAGCATGGCCTTCACGAGCATCTTCCAGACCTCCGAATCGCCTTCACAGGAAGGCCACAAGAGCGCATCACCCTCGACCTCAACCGCAACGACAGGAAGCTGGACGCCCGCTGGCTACCAAGGAACGGAAACGACTATGCTGGGGAGCGGATCTTCGTCCGCGCCAGGACTGCCGCAAGATCTTCGAAGTTATCTCCTGTACTTCAGGGAAAATATGACAAACTACCACTACGGTCTGGCGGTTGACGAAGACGACTTTTTCAATAGTGAGCTCCCAACTGTCGCACTGCAATGCGAGCCACTGCTCAATGCTCTTGTTGGGTTTGCCGCGTATCACATCACTCTACGAAATCCAAACGGAGAGCTCAAAGACTTTCTCCAGTACTATAACAAGGGCGTGACCCAGTTGCTGAGGCTTTTAAAGAACGGGACGTGCAATGTCCACGTGCTGTTGACAATATTGCAACTCGCCACTATCGAGGTAGGTTCTTTGAAATTGGAACACGAGACGATGGTCATGAACGGCGCCAGCTAACTCACCTCGTCACAGGAGTACCTTGGAGACTGGGTGAATCTTATGGGGCACCAGAAGGCCGCATATGAAGTTCTAATTCAGCTCTACACCCCACAGACGGTGATGGCGACCTCGATAGGCCGAATGTGCCTTAGCTGGTACGCTCGATTCGATAACATCGTTGCTCTGATGGGTCGAATTCCCACCGAGATACCCCGCGTATGGTTCACAAACATGATTTCGTATTATCAGACTCAGATGGCGTCCCACCCCAAGGAATTGCGTTGGAGGATCGAAGACCGCTCTGCTCGCCTGCGCCTCATCTCTTGGGACATGTCCAGCTTGTATGCGCGTGGGAGCGCACAAACAATCTCGAAGGATGATTACGCCAACGAGCACAACATGTTGAGCGCGCAGCTTGAGGAATGGAAGGCAAACTGGGATCCTTTACTTTGCGACCAGCAGTTTCTCGTTACCGACTTCAACTGGCGACTACCGCTGAACTCGGATGACATAGTTGATCCATACCGTCCCGGCTTGCTCTACGACCATCCCCTTTTCAACAACACGATCATCACAATGGAGTGGCATAGCATTGTCATTATGCACAAAACTCAGTCTCCCGACATCTCCAATCTGGCTGCGGACCTGGCAACTCACTCGTTTACCGTGTGCGAGATCTTTGAGTGTTTGGAATTCTGGCCAGATCTACCACCCGGAACATTGATAGCGGTGCAGCCCTGTTTGGCGATTGCAGCGCTTTTCTTGCCACATGAACCGAACAATAATATGTGGCTGAGGCGGAAGTTTGCCCTTTTAGAAACTCAGGGGTAAGTCTAAGATCTACCATCCACCGCTGCCTACCATTTTGGAACTGTGGCCCATACGACCAGCGGAATTCGCACCAATCAGCGTTCTTCTGCCTCCGATCCCCTTTGAGAATCACCAGCCCCTCTCATATGCGAGGGGAATTCATTGGACTGTTTTGACGCCCTTCTGACTTGAGAAACGCAGACATATCAACCCTGTATCTCGCCGTGAGAAGATGGCCCAGGTCTTCAACGACCCTTCGTGCGTCCGGTGGTGGCTCCCTAACGACGAATTCTTCACGCCAATTCTTCAAAGTATCAGGGCCTTTGCGGACGATCGAAATGCCAAGGCGTTGAACATGCAGCAAGAGTCAATACGCGAGGTGAAACACCTTTTTGATAAACTCTCCCTTTAACGGCCGAGTAGACGAACCGAGCGTCAGAGAATGAACAGAAATGGGAAGGCAATTTCCGTTTCTCAAATGTTCAACATTCTGGCAAGAACCCGATTACAGCTCTTTGGGCCACCCTGTCGAAAGATACCCGGAGAACGATGCGGACGAAAGGATAGCGTGAGGAGGTAATCATAATTTTAATATTTGATTTCGAAACCATGAATCAGTGCCGCAAGCGACGGGCTGCTGGGGCTTCATGGCGGACGGAGATGAGAATTTGAATTTTTTCGACTCGAGCTGCCTCGTTTGGTCCTGCCAAGGCATGGGAAGAGATGGCGAGCCTCACCAAGGACCACGGAACATGGTAGTAGATCCCACAGAGGCATCACGAAAGAGAGCGTCTAGCGTTTTCCAGAAGCATAACCGCTCCGCAATGAGATAATTGATGGGGCAAGCGAAGAGTGAAGAGCGGTTAGGCATCTTGGGCATTATGGGTTTTATCCTGCTTGAATAATACCTACTTCCACACCCAACTCTGGTCTACCATAATAAACGCTTGATCGCAATCTGCAGAGCTCCTTTTGTTGTTGTTGATCCATTGATGCTTGGCTGGCGGACTAAACGGATAATGTCTTTGGTTGTCCTCATCTGCAGTTCGTGTTCCTTTTCTTGATATCAACGCTATACAATTGCTTCATTCGCCTGCTTGTCTCTCGCCCAAACTACCTATACCTATATCTAACTTATGCACAATGAAGTCCACCGTGGACAGAGTCAAAACGGGCTATCCAGGCCCGGACATTAAAAACTATGTAGTCCTTGAGCTCGTATCTCTTTTATTTTCTTCGTTTTCTCTCTCTCTCTCTCTTCAACCCATTACAGGAGCAGAGAACGACATTCGAGACGTCTACTTTTGCTCCTCTGGGGCCCCTTCTTTTTCTGCCGCATCTGCAGCCGGCGTCGTGTCTGCCTCGGTGGACTCTGGTTGATGCGATTCTGCTGCCTCTTCACCAGAGGGTTCCGGGGCATGCTCGGGTGCAGATAATTCCTCAGGTGCGGCGGTCTCTGTGCCTTCGTGACTATCGTGCGTGTCGTCGTCGTCCTTGTTGTTATCTGCTGCTGGGGCCGTCGTCTCGCCTGGCTTCTCAATGGCAGAATCATCCGAAGTGTTAACAACGCTAGTAATGTCGTCGTCGTCTGTGATCTCCACAACGCTTGCCGAGACCCCTGCTGGGCCAGTATCTGACACGTCAGATGCAGTGCCAGCCTCGCTCAGCCGGGGTTCTGATGTTGAGGACGGTGAAAAGAGGGGAGGCGGTGGACCGCCGATTACTGATTGCTCGACGATGACGGGTACTTCGGCGACTTCAGGCTCTTCCTCCAGGAGGTCGGGTGCGGCCAGGTGCATGCCTCTCAACCTCCGCGAGACGCCGTCGGCATCTTCCTCTTCCGCCTCCATAACGGTTGTTACGGAGCTTCCGGTGGACGGGCTGCTCCTGATGTGTCTGCGAGTATTTGTGCGATTGACCGAGCCGTGAGCGCCGTCGTCCTCGAGCTCGCCTCCCCCTGGTTGGGAGTTGGCGCCAGCGGCTGAGGGCCTCAGGATCTGAGGCGGAGGCGCTCTGTTGGCCCCGGCGTCGAATTCTGGCGGAGCCTCGAGGCCTTCCGCCTCGGGAGGGAGCTTGTAGTTCTCGGCCGGCAGCAGGTCGTACAGGTCGCACACCGTCTTGAAGAAGACGTAGAGGCCCGTCTGCCCCTCGACGGCCCAGAAGACGCTGCGGTGCTGGAACCAGGCGTGCGCGAAGATGCGGTGCAGCCGGCGGAAGACGTTGACCAAGCTCTTGACCCCAACGTTCTTGCTATGGATGTCGCTGACGACGACGAAGCGGCTGGGGAAGATCTTCTGGTCCGAGACGACGTTGGCGGCCCAGTCGAGGGTGTGGCAGCAGTAGTCGATGGCGCAGCAGCTCTTGGGCGCCTCGTGCACGGCGCAGAGGAACTGCCACTCGGACGCGCGCATCTCGGGGCACGTGGTGGCGCTGCATGGCGGCGTGTCGAAGAGGAAGCCGACGATGAGGGAGTTGCACTGCGAGATGAGGAAGCGGCATAGCTCGTAGAGCCAGAGCGTGCGGTCGATGCCGGGGGGAGGTTGGGCGAGCTGGAGGGCCGATTCGCGGGTCAGCGGCTGCGTGCCGGAGGCGGTGCTGTGATAGTGCAGGGCGGCGAGATGCTCCTGGAGCTGAAATGGCGAATCTAGCTGGTTTCCCCGTCTCTCATGTTAGCCCCCCTGGAATCTTGTTCGCGGCGCGTGAGGACAGGAGAGGGGACATACCTCGCTCAGTGGCACCAATGGAGGGCCGGCGGCCATGTCTGCAGCCTTTGTCCCCGGGTGAATTCGCCGCGAAGAGCTGGCTTCCAAATGCGACTGCTCCATCTCCGTATTCGCCAGAATCGCTGCAGGGCCTCCCGAGGGCGAGTTTGGCGCTATCTGGATCTCTGCTGGCGGCGGGGGACTGGGCAGACGAGGGGAGCTCGGCGCCATCGACATGGTGAAGATCGCGGGCGTGGCGCGGCAGCTTGGTGTCGAATACAGAAGAACAAACAGTGAGGGGGCAAGAGGAAGCCCAGAAACAGGCTCGATATGCACAGTCGCGATGCTGTTGACAGCCTGGCTGTCGACCAATTGGGGTGTGTGGTTCAAGTTTGGAGCTATGCCATACGGTTTAGGTGCATACTGTTTCGACAGAGCTTCGTAGACGCATATACCCCATACAAGCAACCCCTGGGCTTGGCTTAAAGAGGTATAGCGGCATCTAGCGGGGCGGTGGCTTCCTCAGCAGGCAAGAGTACATCATCGTGCATACAGTTCTTGGTAGAGCCTTATGTAACCGAGCCCGTCTGGTCGTCAAGGGCGTTCGATCTTGATTCTAGACATATCCGGCTCTCAGTTCTGTCACGTCTTTCCAATACTTAACGTATCATTCTCTAATTCTTCTTTCTAAGTATCTCTCATTTTACACACTTGATACTAACCTCATCATCCAAGCCGGACGTCATGGATCTCGACGACGATGCCCCTCCGGAGTTGGTGGAAGTTAGTGGTGGGATGAAGGATGCAGATGAGGCCCCCAGTGTTAAAGTGCCCATCACCATTGTCACAGGTGAGGCTATAGATGGTTCCGGTAAAGGCGCTTGAATATGCTTGAATCTAACGAGCCGAACCAGGCTATCTCGGCGCTGGAAAGACGACGCTATTGAATTATATCCTTACCGCGCAGCATGGAAAGAAGATTGCCGTCATCATGAACGGTGAGTGATGCCTTGCTCTTCTCATCTGCCTCTATATATACTCTTTATACTGACTTTCCTTGACGAAATATAGAGTTCGGAGATTGTATGAAGCTTCCTCTCCAGAGATTACTCCCATTTACAGCAGGGTTCTAACCTCCTCATCTGTACAGCTGTGGATATTGAAAAGTCTCTCACGGTCAGCCAAGGCGACAACAGGGTAGAAGAGTGGCTTGAAGTTGGGAATGGCTGCCTATGCTGCTCTGTCAAGTAAATCCTCCGCCACCGAGCTCCCTTATCTCTTGTTATTGGTTTTTGCAGATGCTGACGGAGATTAGAGATACAGGCGTGAATGCCATCGAAAGTCTCATGGAGAAAAAAGGAGCGTTTGACTACATTCTGCTTGAAACAACCGGGCTAGCAGACCCTGGCAACATTGCGCCTTTGTTCTGGGTCGACGATGGCCTTGGCAGCACAATCTATCTCGATGGAGTGGTTACTCTGGTGGACGCGAAGAATATCCTGCACAGCCTCGACGACCCAAAGGGCAAGATTGAAGATCATAACGAGCATGATCATCACGGCCCTTTGATGACGACGGCCCACGTTCAAATATCGCACGCAGATGTCATTGTCCTCAACAAGGCCGATCTGGTCAGCGAGGATCATCTGAAGATGGTCAGGGAGCGGATCGAGTCTATCAATGGGGCTGCAAGAATACATGTGACGGAACGGAGTGTCGTTCCCCAGCTTGAGGGGTTCCTCCTGGATCTCCATGCATACGATCAATTCAATGTGGCCGATGCCAAAAGCAAAGGACATAGTCATCTAGATCCTGTGAGTACCATGGTTCAAAGGAGACCAGAAATTTTGCCTTTGAGAGATGACGAAACAACTGACGAGCCAAACCTGCAGACAATATCCACTGTTGCCATTCCTGTACCAGCGCTTCGCCCGGAGCAGCTGCAAGATGTCGATCGATGGCTCCGGACGGTTCTTTGGGACCACAAGCTACCAGATGCTGAGACCCCCGCGGAATTCGAGATTCACCGGTCAAAGGGGCGTCTCGTATTTGACAATGGTGACGTGAAGCTGTTGCAGGGCGTTAGGGAGATATTCGAGCTCATTGATGCCCCAGAGGGCGCGGAAGTTTCATCGACAGAGGGGAAAATCATCTTGATTGGCAGGGGAGTGAAGGAAATAGACTTTGAGGCGAATTTTAGACGATTGGTAAATTGAGATAAGGGGCAATTGATTGCGAGATTGGGGCTTCAATCAAGTTGTTTGATAGAGTGCAGGTCTCATTGCCGTGACTGGTGGCCTGCCCATGTACTTGGCTATCGATACCCCGGCTACCTCTCTGTTGGGAGGAGTTTCTTCCTTCAACGTGCATTAATTCTTGCCATAACTACGCCTATTTTTCAGTCTCTCTCTCTCTCTCTCACTGACGAGAACCTCTTTGTCCGGAACCGGTGCAAGCCTTGAACTTGTCATCGGCCAGCCTCGTACTCGTTTGGCGCAGCCTGATTGGCCGGGAAGGCAGAGTCGGCACGGACCCACTTGAATCCGGCCAGCATGCTCCGCGCCAGAGCCCAGCCTTCCAGGACGACGCCAGATAAAAAGAATTCAAGATCGACGAATATCAGTCGAGACGACCAGCAACGACGGAATTGAGCCTCGAACTACGGTCCGGACACATTCGCGACACACTATTCGCAGCCTCGTATTGGTGCCTTTGCGCAGTCTCGAGCAATCATGAATCGACCAGGTAGGAACAACCTCCAAACGACTCTCCCCCCTCGACGACTTCGGCTCGACGGCCTCTTTTCCCAAGCTCTGCTCGTGACGGGCCGCCCACGATATCCGACAAGGTCGACAAGTGATGGAGGATGTGGCGAGGCATGGATTTGATGCTGGAAGAGACGGAATTACGACGATTTGCAGCCGGCTGCTCCTCGAAGGAGAGTCGAATCTGGACTCGGTCAACGTCAATGCCCCGCCTACGAACGACGATATGGATGCAAAAGGCGGTCCTGATCCGAGGGTGGCCACTGGTTCGAGCGAGCATGGGAGCCTTGAACATCGACGCTGGACTCTTCAAAACTCAAATATAACGGACGGATGCCTGTTGACGCTCAGATGCTAATGGGTTCAATCATCACAGGAGCGGTGCCGCAGTCGCTGCGCGGAATGCCTGGCGCTTTTGGAGGCCAACAGCAACCACAGCAAGGCCGATCGGTGTCGACTCGATTACCAAATGGTAAACTAGGTACTTTACTTTTGACCCGCAGCATGCTGTATTCACGGACGGAGAGGGTTTTGGCTGGGATGTTTCGTTTGGCGAATGTGGGTTGCCAGGTGCTAACAGCTGGCTCGATGCGATCGATATAGCGAACAATACCTCAGGCTGGGCGTTCAACGCAGCTGTTCCTATGGGCAACGCTGCCTTTCAGAACCAGGCTCGCCAGCTGGGCGGCAATGTCAGCTTTGCGCAGAGCTTGAGCGGGTCACAACCTGCAACACCGCTCGACCTTTCGTACGTTTCTTCCCATTCACCCCAGCACTGAAATTCCTCCCAATCTTCTCCACCACACTTCATCTCCTCACCTCATCGAAACGACTCCCCAAACCAGCGTGCTTTCGTCATGATACGCTACACGTACAAGAAGAACAAGCATAAGCAGGTCAACAAGCCTCGGGAGTCCTCGAGTGTGGAGCCAGACTCGCAGTCCCTCTCTGGCCTGGCCTACTCGGACGTTCTCAAGCGCCCCCCAGCCCCGGGCCCTGCGAATCTGGCGACGGATTCTGCCTCATTTCTCGGGCATGTTGACGGAGATAGTCGAGGCCGCACTCTGCTGATGCAGGCACTAACAAACGCTCATAGGGAATTTCCATCTCTATCGAACAACTCCCAAATGCCCAGTACTACGCAAGGGTCGATGTGGTCTACGGCGGGTTCTTCCAGAACCATCAGCGGGCCCATCCAGCGGAATCAGCCGGCGCCAGGCACATCCCAGCAGGGCGGCCAGGATGACCTCTTTGGCCCCCCGTCCGCACGGATGCAGCAGTCAAACCAGGGCCCCTTTCGATTCGGGCCTCAGCCAACGCAGGTCCAGCCTAATAGCGTCGACGACTTCCCTCCGCTGAATCGGACATCCAACGGAGAGATAGGCTCAGAGCGTGGAGCCAACTTGATGTCTTCTCTGGGCTTCAACCCGCAGAACCCTGGCTCCTCAGGGCCTATGCAGAACAACGGGGGAAACGGCCTGCTGAACGCTCTCACGGCGAATAACCGGGCAAACGAAGCACGATCGCCACCTGCCGTCGGCGCGGCAAACGGTAAGAAAGGTTTTACTCTCATCATCCCCCCTTCTTCCCCTCCCTGTCTGAGCCGCCCGTTGACATGGCGCAGGTCCTGGTAGACAACAGCAACAACAGACGCCGCAGCCTCAGCAGCAGCCGCAGCCACCGCAGCAGCAGCAGCAGCAGCAGCAGGATAGTAAACAGAAGGCGGCAATGTTTCGGGAAGACGATTCAGCCAAGGCGTCAGAAGTAGCCTCGCCGGCCGCTGAGGGGCGAGGGTCTCTCGGTGTTATTGGCAGCGAGGGTCCAAACGGACGATCGGCCGAGCGCAAAGACAGCCAGGCTGCTGAGGTCGTAGATCCGTTAGCCGGTATGCCTGCGGTGGACAAATGGGGTATCAAGGGGTTGCGGACACTAATGAACACCTACCCCGACTACCACGCCATGATTATAGGGATGGATCCTAACACCATTGGTCTCGATCTGAGCTCCCCCGAGTAAGTGACGATTGGGAGGCGGCGCATAGACGGTGCGATGCCGTGATGAATGCGAAGCTTTTGCTAACTTAACGATGCTAGACTGATTTCAACCCAAGTCTACTCATTATTCGACGACGCTCCTCCGAAGCCGACAGTGAACCTTAACAAGTTTCGACTGCCCGAGTGCTACAGCGTGACGAATGTGCAGCCGATAGATACCAAGATTCAGAGTTTCAACGAAGAGACTCTGTTCTGGATCTTCTATAGCTGTCCTTTGGATGCGAAGCAGCAGATGGCCGCAGTAGAGCTGTGAGTTTGGCCGACTGTTTGTTCTTTTTTGGGCTCACTGCTAACACGCACAAGACACTCTCGGAACTGGCGATGGCATAAGAAACTGCAGGTCTGGTTGACAAAGGACGAGCACATGACGCCTCAAATTCTGAGTCCAAACCACGAGCGAGGATACTACATTGTGTGGGATACGGCCACATGGCGAAAGGACCGAGTAAGCTTTACGGACAATGCTTGACTGTTTTGACTTCACGAAGAAGAAGCTGACGATTTTCCCTCCTTGCTCGATATAGAGAGAGTTCACGCTGCACTATGGAGATCTGGACACGTCCCTCGGACAGCCGCCGCCAGTTCTGTCATAAGGGGTTTTTGAGAACGGACTAGGGGTGCTCCTTTGAGCCTGGAGAGGGGTTGCCTGCTGACCAGAGACACAAGAGCTTGGTCGAGCTGCTTCATCGTTTTGGCGTTCAGCCACTAGGACAAGGACTGAGGATTTTTCATCTTGCTTTTTAAAGGAATGGGTTCGGTATCATGACGGTCCTGGTTTGCAGAGTCGGTTTTCAACGGCAGGCCGATATTCTTAGCTTGCGATTCATGAATCAAATGAAGGAAGACTGGCCAGACGAAGAGCACTGCTCAGTGCTGGCGGATATTTTACCTGGTCATACCTTGCACTTGCGTGTCTACCTATCTGAGTGCATGTTTCCCCCCATTTTCTCTTTCTGCCCTGCTTTAACTCGTCTCCTCTACTTCCTTTGGTTTTCTTTGTTTAATTACTTATCACTCATTCTCCAATTCTCATCTGCTTGCCTTATTATTGATGCATTCGGATATTCTTTCCTTCATTAAACCAGCTCTACTCTCTTCTCACTGTCGCGTGAGGTCTTGAGTTGCTCTTCACGGCAACTTGCTTAGTAACACATACTAGAAGTACCAGCATGACGGGCCGCGGGCGAATTAGCCGAGGTTCCACCATGACGGACATGCGTGGCGTATCGCTCATTTGCTGGAGACACTCACTGCTCGGAGTGACTTGACGGGTGCTGTGCATGTCTGCCTTATCACAAACTCCCCCAGGAAAGACCTCCAACACCTACCCGACAGTGAGCTAAAGGTCGGCTGCTCGCAAGATTTGAGGGTACGAGCCATCTGGCGACGCACATCCGGATTGTCCATGTCTGCCCGCTGTTGAGCCTCATCTTTGCGTCATTCTGAAGCTTCGGTCTTAGCTCTGCCCCAACGCTACACCGACTGCTCGCCGTTGCTTCACAAGCCAAAAGACCACGACTTGCAAAAGAAAACTCCGACACTGGTCAATCTTTGCGATTAACCCTGGGGATTTACGCCAGATGAGCGACGCCGCAATTGCGGGCTCCAAATCAGACACCATGTCGGACGAACAGATCTCGCTGCCGTTCTTCGCCATTGTCCTGCTTGTCTCGGGGCTGATAGTGCGGTACCTCTTCTTCTCGGGCCCGCGCCCCGAACGGCCACCCGTGAGGACGGCCGAGCAGCTCATCAGGTCAAGAGAGGTGGCGGTGCAGAGGATACAGCAGATGTTTCCGCAGGTCGAGCGACGGAGCATCCTGTGGGACCTTCAGCGCAACGGCGGCAACATCCAGAGCACCACAGAGCGGATTCTGGCAGGACGTCTGGAGACGGTATGACACCTTTTTCGTTTGTGTCCCTCCTTTGTTTCACAGAACCGCATGGCACCTTTCCCTTGTGTGCATTCGCTTGCTTGGTGGACGGAGCTAACAAATGTTTCTTGATTAGCCTCCTATTACTTTCCAACCACCTCCGCTTCGAAACCAGTCCCCGCCGAGTGGCAGCTCTGGTCCTGCGGCGAAGCAGCCCGAGAAGCCTGCGCAGCCCGATCTGATTACGCGATACAACCTCAAGAGCAAGGTTAGCGAGGCAGCGGCCACGGAAGAGGCGGCAGCGCAAGGCGAGCAAGACAAGAAGGGCAAGGGCTGGAGCTCCAATCGTGAGGAGCGACAGGCTGCTCTGCAGCGACGAAGGGACGAGATGATTCTGGCGGCGAGGCGGAAGATGGAGGCCAAGATTGCGGCGGAGAAGGCTGCTCAGGGGTCGCCTTGATTGGCAAGAGAAGGGAAGGACATTGAGCAGGGTTAATTTGAGAGCAAGCTCCTCTTTCTTGTTTTACACGGCTGCATTGTTATAGTGAGGTTTGCAAGCAATGGCGTTTCTAATGGCTGTAGAAGAAAAGGCAGTGTAGGATAATCAATTGCTTGAAGATGCTCTGGGTATGATGGCTGCTGCGTTGCGAGGGGTATGAATAGGATATCTACTCATATATCCTGATGACCAAAAGTGATCGCTGCTGTACTTATCTACAATGTTAACGGAATAAGCACATGGAGGCCTCGTCGATAGAATCTTGACGGAATGTAGCACATGTCGATGGAGCCCCGCGCTTACAAGGGCCAGACAGAGGCTTGACGTCAAAGCGCCTGCTCTCCCTTGTTTCTCCCAGCATCATTGACCGCATGGACGTGTTCACTGACAATACCTGTGCATTTCACTCAATCTCTTGCAGTGAATCTTATTTGTACAGCATCTGATGCGCCGTAATGTAAGACATGTACTTCGTAAGCTCCCCAGAAACCCCCAGCTCGTGACAATCAGCGGCAAACGACAGCGCCTTTTGGCGGGGCACGAGATCCGATCAGCCACCAGGCCTCGGCCACAGGCCATGATGCGGATGCTCAGCCACAGCGGCTAGGTATCTGCTGCCTTATCCAAGGCCAGGCTGCTGCGTCACCGCGGGGACCAGGCACATATCAGGTACAAGGAAACAAAATAAGGTGCTAGGAGAGCAAAAAGGAACAACCAAGAACCACAGCTGGTGTGTCTCAGCTCTTCTTCACGCTTCTGTCTTATCGACCTCTTGTCATTTCTCATTCTCTTTGGCCTCCAGCTGTTTATTACGGTGCCTGACCTGCCTGTATCGACATCTTACCTCATTCATTCTTCGATTCCTCACGCCGCGCGACGTGTGAAACATCCCACCTTTCTTTGCGAGCAAGCGCGTGAATTGCCAGTCCGAGACATCGCATCGCATACCTGGGCTGCCTTCTTCTGTTCTATATTTTCTCCTTCTATCTTACAGGTTTAAGAAGCGCTTGAGCTATTGGATCTCGGCATTCTTCTCTCCCTTGCGCGACAGTCGTTCTTTTTGCAGAGGCCATCACAGCACTGGCGTCATCTCCAGGTGAGTTCGCATAGGTACCTAACGGTGTACGATCCGATCTCCCTTGGGCTGCACACGTTCGTCATCACCTCGCCTCGGGGATCAGCTCTGGGCGAAAACGAGCACCAGTCAAATGTCCCTATTTCTGCCCGTCTTCTTCCTTTCTTCGTTGGCCTGCCTTGCCCCGCCGCGTGACGGGCTTACAGTTTGGCGAGCTGCTGCTTTGTTGTCAGGCGCATCGGTATCATCAGGCTGGCTGACAGCTGGTGCTGATTGGCAGCCCTGCAGCCCTTGTTAAGATCCAATGAATCTTGCCCAGGTGGTCTGCTATGCACCTCTGTTTTCTGTTCTTCTGTCCTCTTCTCTTCACTTTCTTCTTTGTTCTTCTGCTACCGCAACAGTCTACCAGGTAGTCCATTTGTTTCGTTTCCTTCTCCAGCACTGCTAACAATCGAGTGCGTTTAGCATCAACTTCCGAACATTGCAGCCTCCATTCACCCAACGCCCGGCGAATTCGAACATTCAAACATTGCGCAGTTTGCGACCGCCCCGTTGTCGACTCGACACACCTTTACCTGACCACAATCACCGCCGAAGTAGTCGACGCTGCATCCAACGTTTTCCTCTCTGCACACCTTTGGCTCAATCGGCCCCACCCTGGGCAGTATTGGCGAGCCCTGTACCAAGAGCAGATTTCCTTGACGAAGCTCGAGACCGCTCTGATATGGTGATTGTGATATCAAGCCTTGATCTAGAATCATAGCCCATTCCAGAGCTGGGAGCCAGCCAAGAGCCGCATATCTAGTGCTGCGATGGCGCCCCAGCGGGACTATTACGCTGACTTGGGCCTGACCCCATCGGCAGATGTCGTGGAAATCAAGAAGCAGTTTCGAAAGCTAGGTGTGTAACAAAATCGTCCTTCTCGGATGCCCGTCCCCGAAATTGATTATTCTAACCATCGAGTACAGCTCTGAAATACCATCCCGATCGAAATCCTGGCCGAGAACAAGAAGTCAACTCGCAGTTTCAGATTATCCAGGCTGCCCACGAGATATTGAGCGACCCCGAGGCTAAAGCCAAGTACGATGCTACTCTTCTACGGTCCGCTTCCAGCCGCTATCCGGGCGCCTCGGGTGTGAGAGGAAATCCGTGGTCGAACGTTAGCCAGCAGTTCCCTGTACCACCGCGACGGAACGCACCGCGAACTACCACTTCAGGGCCCCAAAGGTGGAATGAGAGGTTCTCAGCTGGTGTGCCACCGACTGCGAAGCAACAAGCATCAGCGGCAACGGCTGCTCGAGCTTTCGAAAGCATGCGGAAAGGCGGTGCTAAGAGCCGCCCGCAAGAACGAGCTCCTCCCCCTCCACCGCCGCCTCGCAACCCTCCAACGCCTCCTCCCCGAACTGAGGCTGCCAAGAAGAGAGCCGAAGCATCATTCGGGGCTAAGAAGGCCGGCTACTATCCTCGATCAAACACTCCTGGCGACGAGCCCCCAGTCATCAACAACAACTATTCCACTCGCGCCAGCTCTGCGCGGACAGCGCCTGCGCCCAAACCCGACCCTGTGGCCGATCCCTTGGCTCAGTTCAGACAATGGAGCGGCAATGAAGAGGCCGCCAGAAACTCCGCCAAGAGCTCCCCGAACATCAATACTGCGAGCGAGAAGACCAATCCTTTTGACAGTATGCCGTCGAGTCGGGCAAAAGGCACCAGAGAGGCTTCAGAGTCAGCGGGACCATCAACAGCTCCCAAGCGTCCCAGCCCTGATGTAACGCGAAAAGAGACTGCGAATGAATCCCAGGGAAAGCCAGATGGACCCGGAGTTGAAGCAAGACCTCGAGCTGTACCTGTTCCCCCCAGCTCGCGGCCTGCTGCATCATTCAAACCCCAGACAGAGGCGGCGACGTCCACTACTGCCGCACCAAATGGCAACATGTTTACCACTAATCAGTCACCCAATCCTCCCACAACCAACGAACCGACTACACGTAAGTGATCTGCTGGATCTCGCTTACTCCAGGAGCCATGGCTGACCCTTTCACCTCAGCTTTCAACAATCGTCCGAGCACAGCCAAGGAGACAGGAGAGCCCTCAATGTACGCAACACCCGTGAAGTCCAATCCGTATGGCCCTTCATCGTGCCTCAAAAATCAATATGTCAATTCACCCCAAGCGACCACAACACCAAAACACAACAACATGGCCGAAGTCGGCCCCGAATACAGACCATGCGGCCCAAGTGGAAATCGCCATGCAGTTCACAATCTCTCCCCCTTTGAACAGGAGCAGTACAAAATCTTGAAGTTGCTCATCAAGAACCGAGATGCCCCTGTTTTGACGCCAAGAAATGAATCACTTCACAGCACCCCTAACCTTGAGAAACCTGCTGTAGAGAAATCGAGCGCTAACAGTGTCTTGCCGAATAGCTTCAGCTTTAACTTGGACGAAGAGACCTTTACCCCCAGCCCTCCAAGGACATCCCGATTCAGAAAGAGTACTAGTGCCGACGGGATCAACACGAACTTCGTCGCGGACGAGTCTTCTGCAACCTGGCAGTTCAGTGCTGGGAGTGGGGATAACAACCCTCCTCCTCCTCTGAACCGTTCTCAGTCAGACAGCAGAGCAGGTCGCCGCTCGCCTATCAAACGCCGACCGGTTCCCAGCCCAAAGGTTCCCGACCCTGGAGCTCAAGTGCCTCAGAATGGATTTGACGCGGAAAGCTGGAACTCCATGTTTGGCCCCCAAACGTTTGCCCCTCCGCCCGCCACTCCCAAAGCATCAGTGTCGCCCACACGGCAGGGTCGGTCGACCACGCGAAAGACAACGAGAACTACGAGGCCCTTGGCCGGCAATGCTGCCATTGTTGAGGAATATAGCGAAGAAGAAGAACACTATGTCTGGACTGGCCGCAAAAAGGATCCAAAGTCTGCACCGGTTGACAGCCCCCAAGCAATGGATATTGATCCACCATTGACTGCCTCTCCGGCTGCGGCTCATACTCCTACTCCGCCTCCTCCCGGAGCAGCTGCCACCGCGGCGACTCCCGCCACGACCTTTTCTGCGACTCCTCCTGCTACCCAGCCCCAATCCCAGTCTCAATCTCATCCCACGGCTGCTAGAAATATTCCCGTCGAACCATCACGGCCGGAATGGCGACCTGGAAACGTGACGGGACTGGGCCACGTGTATGAGCAGGCCGAAGAAAGGAAGCCGATGCCTGTCAACTTCCAAGGTTCTGAAGATAGCGAAGAGTTCCGAGCGACCTTTGAAGACCTCAAGAATGTGGCACCTTTTGCCCCGCCCAAGGCCGGCCTCAAGTCGTTTACTGATTTGAAGGATAGCCTGCCCTTTGAGAGCAAGGCGTCAAGCGAACTTCACCTCGATATTCCTGAGGCACATCCACTGGTATTTCCTGAGCCCCCGGCTGCACCCAGACTCCCGCCCACTGTTGCAGTGGACGGCGTGAAGCCAAACGTTGCATCATGGACCAAATATCTCGAAGAGTTCGAGGGATACCTCCGCCTCTGGGACATGTTCAACTCGCAGGTGGTCGACCACTTCGCCACCCGAAAGTCTAACATTTTGCACACGAGAGCCTCAAAGGGCTATTCATTTCTGGCTGCCAGGGGTGATGCCGATGTTGTGGAGTATCATAATTGGGTAGAGCAGGACAACGGAGTCCGCCGAAGGTGGTTGGCAGCTTGCGAAGAGCACGAGATGCGGTTCAGAGAGTTTATGGCGTTCAGGGAAAAGATGAAGTCGACGACATGAATGGAGGGGCGACCGTCTTTTTCCCGTCCTGGCTTCGATCAGGACTCTAGTCGATATTCCCCATGAGCACCACGCAGCGGCCGAATCTTTTCATGTTCACTATATATTTGCCTGGTCTGCTTTTTCTGGTAGCAAGTTCGATACCCATATCACTGGCTGAGGCATATTCATGGATTGTTAAGCACAGGGCTTCCTTCTTTCTTCAGTACACTGGTTTTCATGATTCTTTTTTTCGTCTGTTTTTGATGGGGGGAAGGGACGTGGGCGGTTCACTCGGTATTGACGATCTTTCTGGTTTTCGGAGCAGCTATGGATTTCAGCTGCCGGGGTGTCTGCCGGTTATATGTGTACAGTAGGAAGGGTTTGTTCCGCAATGTATGTTGGAGTCCGCAAATTCAGTGCAGGAGAAGTCACTTTGTGCTACGGTAAAGCGTGCTAGGATTCTACTCCTAGGCTTCCTTTGCGAAGATGTTATTTTTGAGTCACTTCGTGTCATGATAGAGCGTCCTGGCATTTGTGAACTTCTGTTCAGAAGACATCCTAAAAAATGTTATTCTTCAAATGCCCTTCACTTTCGCTTCAGAATGTGATTGGTGGCCAGATCCGACTCTAACTTGAGAGGTTGCCGAAAAGTGAATCCGTCGAAATGTGAGGATTCTCTGAGCGAAATGTCATTCACTCTGCCTCTTGTCCATGTTTACTTGGATGGCACGTTTCGCCCTTGGCCAACTCCTCACATCTACAAGAGTCATATTTTGTTTGCTTCATCCATCCACCACGTTTCATTCTCCAACCGACCGTGAACAGAGTCTTGACGACCATAGCTGTCTTCCACAGTCTCAACCCAAATCAACATCGCATCACACAAATGGATCCATCCGGCCAAGACAAAGGCACCATGGCCTGGACGGAAGAGGCAAAAGTACGCAGCATCTTGAAGCTGTCTCGATCTTACAACACAAAACGTGGAATTTACATGCTGACTGACATCTGTCACCTCTATAGTTTCAGTTCCTCCTGCGTATCGTGGCCCAACTCAAGGGCGACGGCCGCGGCACAAGCATCAAGTGGGAGAAGATTAACATCCCCGGCCGCACCGTCAAGAGTCTGCAGAATATGTGGACCAAGATAAATAAACAGATCAGCGACTTTGAAGCGCGCGAGAACAGTGCTGAAGGCTCGGCCGCGGTGTCGCCCGCTCAGCCGCGCAAGAGGGGACGCCGTAAGTGACGGTTCCTCCCCCTGATTCCTCCAAATAACTTTAGATGGATACTTGTTGGTATGGGTAGATGGCTAATGTGTTTGGATTATCTAGCTGGCAGGAAGGCCTTGAACAAGGAGGCAGGCTTGGGCGATGAGGGCGTTGATGATGAACAGCTTGATGTTAAGCCGATGATGAAGAAGCGTGGTGCCGAAGGTATGTATAAGCCATGGCCGGTTCGAGGGATACAAACATGACACTGACACCGCTTAGATGCGGATGATGAGAAACGTGGAACAGGCAAGAAGCGGTCCAAGGTCAAGACTGAAATCATGGCTGAAGACGCCGTTCGGTTCAAGAATGAGGAAGTTTGAGATTCTTGCAGAATACCTCTCAGTAGAGATGGATCAGGGATAGTGTAAGGAGACACATGGCAGAAAACTGTAGGCTATGGATGACTGGAGATGAATACGATGGATGTGGATTACGGAATACCTATTCGATGGTTTGCCCTATAGTTTCTTACAGCAATATTGGCGGCATTGTCTTTTACCAGATAACAAGTGTGAATCTGTTTATGATGAGTCAGGCACAAATCACACGATCACGTTGAGGAAGATAACTAAGAAGGGAGGTGGCTCTCTCGTCGTAGTGAATGTAACGCTGCGAGTGTGTCCCTGTAACTGTATGTAGTTAAAGTGTACTTCGTATGCATGTAGGTGAGCGATCTCCCACTTTTTCCCGCAGATCAGCTGGCCGGATTTTTGCTTGATGGGACTATCCTAAAACTTGGCGATTACGTGCATACGAGGAATTTACTAGAGGAGGACTACCGGGCCGTGGTCTAGTGGCATTGGATATACCAGTGGTAGCGGGAGGTTTTGCCCCTCCTCCTCCCCTGAGAGATATGCAGGCTTGGTGTTGTGACCCGTTTACAAGGGCGGACGGGGCGGAGAAGCTGCGGTTTCGGTGTGTGTGTAAGTGGGAGGTGTGTATGAGAGCTAGAGGGTCAAGAGGGTGTTGGATGGTATTTTGGGGAGATGGGGGTGACGACATGTGGGAGCTCGATGCAATGATCTATGGGTTCTTTTGTCCCTTTCCAAGATGGAGAGGTATGATTCGAGTAGGTATGAGATACGTACCCTGTCTGTATTATTTGTATCACCGCTGATGAAAAGGAGGCCAAGGGGCGTAGAAGGGGAAAAGGCAAGCAATGACGACGACGGCAGTGTTGCTGGTTCGAGATGGGTGGCGTTGGTAGTGATTGGGGGGGAGGGCTTGTGGGATTGACATGGGGGGAGGGGGGACTTGTCAGATGGGAGGTAGGAAAAGGTGGTGTGAATGGATGGAGGGTTGGAGCCTTGGGAGTCTTGATCGCTTTCACCTGTTCTTGGTTGGCTGCGGAATGGGAGCACAAAGATAGGATCAATAGAAGGGGGGAGAAAAGGGGGTTGATTTGGTGTTGTCTGTCATAGTTGAGCTCTTTGGGCGACTTACCCCGGACTTGGATATTTCAAAGCTGGGCGTCTATCTGAACTCGGGGCATCACTTTCTCAGTCACCTCTAGTCGTGTCTAGTATGTACAATCTGGAGTGCAGTGACAGGGGCAGGCCAAGACGAGGAACCAGGGACAAGATGCCTAGGTACTCGACAGTCCATGGCATATGTGCGTCAGAATGGATCGTGCTGGCTTCTCTAGCGGCTCCTTTACCACTGCCTGATAGGCCGAAGCAGGCGGCTACTATCCAGTTCTTGTATTCTTCACACGATAATAGGCTGGCCAGAGACCGAGTGGTGTGTGTGTACCTTGAGAGACTCGCGCAGGCCCTGGCCCGGCGAAGTTGTTAGTGCAATACTTGCGAACCCTTACTGACGTCGCTCACGATCAGGTACCGCGTACCCGCAGCAGCCTGCCTGCTGATCCACCTTTTTTTTCTCCACGACTCCAAAAAGGCTGCATAACGAGTTTTGCCCAAGACGAGCCGACATCACATGGGCTGCCCTGCTCTGCTGCCAATTGCTGCGTCCACCACCATCTTTTCCTCCGCCTCGCCGCCTCTGCTTGCGCGCTGCCTCTTGGACATCACGCGCTCCATTGACCTCTGCCGCGTCGTTGATGCGCTGCGACCCTACGCGACACGCCCGCGAGCCCTGCGAGAACGAGAGCCGCCGCGAATCGCTTCCACCCCGCGGTCGAGCGCCAGCACCAGCACAAGCGCAAGCCGTCGATGCGCGATAGGCGCTGTCTGCTGCCTTAATCAGAGAAGCACTTTGTTTATAAAGCGAGGCGCGTGCCGACCTTGAATATCCTTTGCTTCAGCCCGTCGCTTTCTTTCAGCTTCTTACTTGCGTCCAACCGCCGAAACGCGGTTTGCCCGAACAGCGGAGCCGGAAAAAAGGGCGACGATCAGAGGCAGAGAAAGGCCTTGTACGTCATATAAACAAGGGACGAGCGCCTTTTCACAGATTATACGGCAAGCTCCGTCAGAGCTTCAGGGGTGAATCAACAAACACGACCAAGAAGAACGACAAACACGATGAACAGGACAACGACTTCGGCGGGGGGCAAGAGGAAAGCTCACGAGTCGCCCCAGACGACGCCCCCAGCCAAGCGACCAGTCAACGGCAGCAGCAAGCCCGACGTAGACCTCGATATGACCGTTCCCGACATCTCCATCGACGAAGTGAGCTACGACGAGGAATCCGATGCCGGCAGCGACATCCATCCCCATGCCCACTACATCGGCACTCCCGGCAGCCTCGGTGAGTGGCAGGACACGATCCAAAAGGTCGTCCGCAACGTTGTCGCGATCCGATTCTGCCAGACGTGCGCCTTCGACACGGATCCCGCCTTGACGAGCGAGGCCACTGGCTTCGTCGTCGACTCAGAGAGAGGGTATGTGCTATGGCGTGCTGCTTAGGTGTTTGTTCTTGGGTTTTGCCCACCCAACCCCTGATTATGCCAGTCGTTCCCCGTATGAAATCTACCTCGCTGACATTCTTCTCGCGTCTAGTTACATCTTGACGAACCGTCACGTTGTCGGATCTGGTCCCTTTTGGGGACATTGCGTGTTCGACAATCACGAGGAGGTCGACTGCTACCCCGTCTATCGCGACCCTGTTCACGACTTTGGCATTCTTCGATACGACCCCAAGGCGATCAAGTACATGCATGTGGATGGTCTCACCCTGAGTCCCGACCTAGCAAAAGGTGCGTTGAGAGTATAGCGGAAAGTGGAGTGGGTATAGGGATCACGGACATGCGTTTGCTGACCTATTGATGATGTAGTGGGCACGGAGATTCGCGTCGTCGGAAACGACGCTGGTGAAAAGCTGAGTATCCTGTCGGGTGTCATCAGTCGTCTGGATCGAAACGCGCCCGAGTATGGCGATGGGTACAGCGACTTCAACACGTGTTACTATCAGGCCAACGCCGCCGCTAGCGGTGGAAGTTCCGGAAGTCCTGTCGTGAACAAGGATGGCTGCGCCGTTGCGCTCCAGGCCGGTGGTCGCTCTGACGGCGCCTCGACCGACTACTTCCTACCTCTAGATCGACCTCTGCGCGCCCTTCAGTGCATCCAGCAGGGCAAGCCCGTCGTCCGCGGCGACGTCCAGTGCCAGTTTCTGCTCAAGCCCTTTGACGAGTGCCGCAGGCTGGGGCTCAGCCCCAAGTGGGAGTCTGCAATGAGGAAAGCTTTCCCCGAGGAGACCAACATGCTGGTCGCCGAGATCGTCCTGCCTTCTGGACCCTCCGACGGTAAGATCGAGGAGGGCGATGTCCTCATCAAGGTCAACGGCGAGCTTATTACGCAATTCATCCGCCTCGACGACATCCTGGACTCCAACGTGGGCAATACCATCAAGTTCCACCTGCAGCGCGGAGGCCAGGATATCGAGGTCGACATCGAGGTCGGCGATCTTCACAAGATTACGCCCGACCGATTTGTGACTGTTGCCGGAGCAAGCTTCCACAACATCTCGTACCAGCAGGCCCGGCTCTACGGTGTGGCAGTCCAGGGAGTCTACATCTGCGAAGCTGCGGGATCTTTCCGGTTTGACAACACCGACAATGGCTTCATTGTGCAGTCTGTAGACCAGAAGAAGGTGCCCGACCTGGACACGTTCATTGAAGTGATGAAGCAGATTCCTGACAAGGCACGGGTGGTGGTCACTTACAAGCACTTGCGCGACCTGCACACGCTGATCACGACCGTCATCTACATCGACAGACACTGGTCGGCCAAGATGAAGCTGGCCGTCCGCAACGACGTCACCGGCCTGTGGGACTTTTCTGACCTCGGTGACCCCCTTCCGCCGGTGCCCCCTGTCCGTCGGTCCGCTGCCTTCATTGAGCTGGACCACATGCCGCACCCCGGCATCGCTGCCCTGATCCGCAGCTTCGTGCATATCAACTGCACCCTGCCCGTCAAGCTCGACGGCTTCCCGAAGAATCGACGATGGGGGATGGGCCTCATTATCGATGCTGACAAGGGCCTCGTCCTCATCTCTCGAGCCGTGGTGCCGTACGACTTGTGCGATATCACCGTCACCATTGCCGACTCCATCATCGTCGAGGGCAAGGTCGTCTTCCTGCACCCGCTGCAAAACTACACCATCATCAAGTACGATCCCGGCCTGGTGGACGCGCCAGTCCTCAGCGCCCGGCTTAGCGACCAGCACCTCACCCAGGGCGCCAAGACGTACTTCTTGGGCTACAACAGGATCGGACGAGTCGTGCACGGGTCTACCAACGTGACGGAAATCACGGCGGTGGCCATCCCGGCCAACTCAGGGGCGCCACGCTATCGCGCCGTCAACGTAGATGCCATTACGATTGACAGCAATCTCGGGGCGTCGTGTGGCAGTGGTGTGCTCGTCGCCGAGGACGGGACCGTGCAGGCTCTGTGGCTGCAGTATCTCGGAGAGCGTAATCCCAGCACTCAGAGGGACGAGGAGTACCACTTGGGATTGGGCACGCCCACTCTGCTGCCCGTCATCTCCGCCATTCAGCAAGGAGAGATACCGAAGCTGCATATGCTCTCGGTAGAGTTCCGATCCATCCACATGTCGCAGGCGCGCGTAATGGGCGTCTCGGACGAGTGGATCAACAAGGTTACACAAGCCAACCGTTCTCACCACCAGCTGTTCATGGTGAGCAAGCGGACATTCGAGCGGGTGAACCAGCCGGTCTCGCTGCTTGAGGGCGACGTGGTGCTGACGCTCAACGGCAAAATCTGCACCACCATTTCCGACTTTGACGTGATGTACTCCAACGAGACGCTGGACGCCGTCATTGTGCGCAACTGCGAGGAGCTGCAGCTCCAGCTGCCGACCGTCACGGCCGAGGACATGGAGACGCACCACGCTGTTTCGTTCTGCGGAGCCATCTTCCACCGCCCACACCTGGCCGTGCGCCAACAGATTAGCAAGCTGCATAGCGAGGTCTACGTTTCGAGTAGGATTCGCGGTTCGCCGGCATACCAGTATGGTGTTGCCCCGACCAACTTCATCACCCACGTCAACGGCGAGCCGACGCCGGATCTTGATTCATTCATTGCGGCGACGCGGAAGATTCCTGACAACACCTGTATGTCTTCCCTCCCCCCCTTTTGCCTGCCGTCTTACTGCAAGAGAACTTTGAGCTGACCTGCTACACAGATTTCCGCCTCAAGGCAGTCACCTTTGACTCAGTGCCCTGGGTGATCACAATGAAGAAGAACGATCATTATTTCCCCACCATGGAATGGATCAAGGACAGCAACGAGCCCTGCGGTTGGCGGCGCGTCACGTACGAGGGCAACCAGGTCTTTGAAGGAGAAGCGACTGACGGAATCCCGCCGGTTGCAGGCAACTCCGAGATGGACTAGGCTCGCTCGCACTTCGTTGACGGGGCTGCTGGCAGGTTGATGAAAGTTGTTGAAGTACGGGGCATGCATTGACGACGGATTGTAAAACAACATGGACACACTTGCACAAACTACACACACTCACACACATGGATGGGCAAACGGAACAACTGGGGCGTTTAACGGCTATGAAGGATTTCACATGGGGAGTTTTCTTGAGCTGTTTTCATCATCTTTTACTTCTCCACCTTTTATTTCTCTCTTCTTCCTCTCACCCCTTTCTCTTCATTTGCCATTTGCGGAATCCGTGGCAACCTAGACGGAGGATGGAACGGTTGGGTATGGTGGAATGAAGCCTCTCGGCACTTTGGCAGTCGACAGAACAGCAGCAGCGCCGGTCTCGGCAGCTCGACGGCGCGATTTGGCCAACTGCATCAGGTAGGTAATACTATGCTACTTAATTATTGGATCGTTGGTAGGGACATGGGGGAGGGAGAACGTCGTCGGGCTCCCTCCATGTTGGCACACAAGGCAGCCAACCGGAAAGATTTATACAGTATGATACATGTACAGAAGCTGTTTGGTACCCATAGGAATATCACCATCGCCAGTAGAAGTAGGTGTTCGTTAGCTTTGCCGGCCACTACCTACTTTGTACAGGATAGGTCTAAACCAAAAGAGCATCTCCCTACATAATAGAGGCAGCGCGATTGATGAGAGACATGGATTGCATCAGCCAACCGGCAGCATCTCAGACCACCAGACGCAGCACCAGATGCAGCGTGCCGGCTAGTCCTATCACGGGTCACCACGTACAAAGGAAGAGGTTGCGTGCTACGAGCTGCGGTGCAGACGATGGTTGATGCACGTTCCTGAAAAGTTTGATCTAATGTTACCAGGTAGAGTGTGTAAGGCGTGAGAATGTGGTCTCAGACTCACGACACGATTCACACCAGGAACAACTTGAACTTCAATGGTTGTCGTCTGAATGTCTCGGTACCTCAGCTGATGCTATCGATTGCCATCCCAATGCTGAAGCTGAGGCCCCGCATCAACCAAAAGTGGACCTGATAGGCACTAAAGCTCCCCGAGGCTTAGCAGGACCCGGAAGGGACGAAGTAGCTGTACCTCGAATTGGCAGCGGGCCATCAGTGACGTTTTTGTCTCGGGAACGCTTCACACAATCGAAGCTTCCGGGTTCGTGTCTGCCTACAACTTCCATCGTACCTCTACTGTATGCATCTTCGATCCTAAACTGCTGCCTCGTGTTTCCCAATTCAATCCTTCTGCATAAAGCATCGGCTTGCGACCAGATACTCCGCCCTACTCCTCTCTCCCCCTCCAACTCGCTCTCTAAACCGATACCGACTGTACCTGAATCCTTGCGATGCCCCCCGCAGCTACCTGGCTGGTAAGTCGACGTTCATTTCAGTCCCTCATCTGATGATGATGAACCCCGCCAGCTTCGGTGACGCAAACCGCGAGAAGCTGAGTTGAGAGCTGACCTGAACGATGTTTGTTACGGCCCACAGACCAAGCTCAAGGTCCAGCTGAAGCTCGCCATCGCGCGCCTGCGCATGGTGCAGCAGCGGGACGAGCAGCTGGGCAAGACGCAGCGCCGGGCCATGGCGCAGCTGCTCGAGGCCGGCAAGGTCGACTCGGCCACGATCCGCGTCGAGAACATCATCCGCGCCGACATCACGAGCGAGCTGCACGAGCTGCTGGAGCTCTACTGCGAGCTGCTGCTCGCGCGGGCCGGGCTGATGGAGGGCCCCGTGTGCGACCCGGGGCTGGAGGAGGCCATCAAGAGCATCCTGTACGCAGCGCCCAAGACGGAGATTAAGGAGCTCATGGCGGTGCGGACGCTGCTGGCGGAAAAGTACGGCAAGGAGTTTGTGCTGGCGGCCATGGACAATGCGGACGGCAAGGTGAACGAGAAAGTGGTCAAGAAGCTGAGCGTGGAGGCGCCGCGGAAGGAGCTGGTGCAGGGGTACCTGGAGGAGATTGCCAAGGCGTACGGCGTCGATTGGCCCAAGAGGGAGAGGGTGGTATCTTCGCCGCCACCCCCGGATTTGATAGATGGCGAGGACTTTGGAGACGAGGACGGCGGCGACGATCCATCGGGAGGACAGGCACAGAAGAACGCCTCCGGCAGAGCGCTGACGGCGGCAGAGAGGAAGCTCTCGCTGCCTGAAGAGCAGTTGGACCGGGCCACGCCGCCGAGCGCGAGGCTGGGGGAGCCCAAGAGCCCGCTGATGGTGACACCACCGCGGATGACGACGGACAATGTCCACCCCAAGGTGATGATGGGGTCTGTGGAGCTGACGAGCAAGAAGAACGAGGCGGAGGAAGCAAAGAAGAAGAGGGAGCCAGAAGGATCAATACCGGATATTGGGGATCTGGAGAGGAGATTTGCGGCGTTGAAGAAGAGGTGAGGGATGAAGAGGCGACATGCGGTACTACGTGGCGTGACGATGGTTTCGAGCAGGGAAGTACTTCGAGAGCTGTGGCGATCATTATTCTCAACCAGAAGCCGAGCGAAATTGCATTCAAGGGCACATTGTTATGCTTGTGTGCGTGTGCTTGCATGCTTTAACGCCACGAACCGGGACTCCTACTGCTACTACCTCCCGGCTTGCCGTACCTTTTGACACGGCTCCCAAGTCGCATCTTGTACTACCTCACCTTACCTCAACCATGGCACCTGATTCCGTGCCGTCCTTGTTCTGCTATGCCTCATTGGTGGCTATTTGGACGCTGCTTTTGTCCGGCAGTCCCTCTCGAAACGGGCACAGAGAAAGGGTCCCCGAATGCCAGCGGGCGTCCGGCCAAATTTCCTGCATTGATCTTTTTCAATTCTTTCTCCGTGTGTGTACGCGGGGCGTGCCAAATCCTCCTCCTTACCTACCTAGAATCAATAAAATATGCCGGGCTACTGCTCGGCCTGCCTTGTCATGCTGCTGCTCCGGCCGCGAATCCGACCAGTCACGGGAGACTGGCTGTTGTTACACAGCATAAGTAAGGTATGTGCCCTCTTTGGCTGGGCCTTGTACCTAGTAGTATTTAGAGTGCCCGGTCTTTGTCGTGCGTGCTCCCGTCCGGTTCCTTTTCCCTCTTCCCTTTTCCCTCTTTCTCTTTCTCTGTTTGTTTTTGCTGTGGTTGGTATTGTCATCTCTCGGTGTCATCGGTCTCGGTCTGTATGTGTTTCTTTCTTTGAACAAGCAGATTGATGGTATTCTCAGGGTGTTGAGCTGAGCTGGTGTTTTGTTTTGCTTCTCCTTCAATCGGTGATGCATTGATTCACTGCTGAGCTTATTGCCTCTTGGTTCCAAGTACTTCTTGCTCCTGACGTTGCTGGAGTGGTACCTCCTCCTTGCCCATCAATACGATCTGTCAGCTGTTCATCAGTTTCTCGGTCTGCCAGCTGGCTGCCTCCGTCCTCCCCTGAGAGAAAGTACACCAGCTGCAGGTTTGCTCCTGCCAGCTGCCAGCCGCCAGCCGTCGCCATGCCGCCTCACGTGCTCGTGCGAGCGGCTCATAGCAAAGAGCAGGAGCAGGAGACCCTTCCTGCTCCTCTCCTCTCCTTCTTCTTCTGCCTCGCCTTCCTCGTCTTGGTCTCACACCTCGCCAACTATCTCGAGGCCTACAAACGGAGACTCGTAAAGTTTCTTCTTCTCCCCCTAGAGACTCCGCCAGACCATCACGACGGGCCTGGAGATGACGAGCAGCTTTATTGTCATTTCTCGGAGAAAGACTTTGATCGCGTCCTCCCCGTCCATCGATTCCACTACGCTCCTCGCACGGGTGACAATCCATTTGCCGACATGTCTGCGTCGCAATACGCCCTAGACAGCGATAAACGCATCCTCTACCATGCCCAAGTCACTCTGGGATGTAACGGCCTGCGAGACCTCTTCAGCCTAGGGTTCATGCGCCAGGACACTCTAGAGAGGAGAATCAACGCCGCCGGCAAGAAGATTATCCTGAACAGCATTGTCTCTGTCAGTGCCGTCTGGCTTCGCGAGAAGATCTGCCGTGCCTACTCTGCCCCTACCATGGTGCTGCCCTCACTCAAGGAGCTCTGTCTCTTCCTCGACGGAAAAGGCTGCTCGCGAGACATGTGCTGCCAGATCTTCTACGAGGCCTTCCAGAAGGCTGACCCGAACCACGCCGACAAGATCGCGCTGCCTGTCGGCAGTATCGTCTTGACCAGTTTCCGTGCTGTCGTCGACCACCTATACGATCATTGGCAGCAGTGGCTTCTGGAAGCTGCAGGCCCAAAGCAAACTCCAGAAAAGAAGGTTCCTGCCATTGAAACCTCGGGCCATTTTCCTGCCCCGAAGGAGGTTCAGCAAAAGGCCAAGGACGGAAAGCTGCCCTATCCCGCCTACAACCACGAGCTTGTCCGGATGTCCGCGGATGAGTATAATCTTCGTCTTCAGGCAGGCCTTGAACAGCTTCACAAGGACCAGGAACCGCCCCCCAGCCATCGCAATGGCAGTGTCTTTCATGGAAACAGGGCACCGATTGGACACTGCCCCCCCTATGATATCGGACGCGCCAGCTCTTGGGGCTCTCAGCCCGACCAGTCCGAAAGATGCGTCACTCGACTCCAAGACTGCGTGTGCAAATCTTGCCACGTCAAAGGTTGGCTTTCTCGTATACCCAAAGGGGGAGCTGAAGACCAAGACTTAAATACCGGTACCCTAGGTCACCCAGTCAACGAGAATGAAAACCTGGCCATGACCGCGAAGCGAGCGGCCTTGCTGGCCAAGATTGACCGGCTCACCAAGCGTCACCGCGATCCTTTCTTCTCCGAAACCGACTCTGAGGACGAGAGAACACAGGATCCGGAGCCGCTCGTATTCGGACCCAAGCTACCGCAAGTGTCACATCCAGTGGAAAAGGAGGATAACGATGGCAACTCTGATCTAATCATATTCTCTGGCAGCTCTAGTGCTCATGAGATTGAAGCTGCTTATCCCAACGATAATGCCGGCATACTTGATGTTGACCCTGCGTTGGAAGTGGCAAGTCACGTCGAGTGTCGTCTATCAGCTTAGGAAGATGTAAGACCTCGTGCCACCTCTTTCTACTCCCCCCAAGAGAGACTTGCTAACAACTGTGGATATTTGCAATAGGAACATGACGGCAATGGAGGAAAAGAAAGTAAGGGTGCGGAGAGTGCATTTTCGTGCGATCTGATCTGTTTTGATAAGGATGGCATTGGAGTGGGCGAAGTTGATCATTTCTTGGCAGATGTTGAAGTTTCTCCTGCGGGAGGAGATCAGAGTCCGGCTACAGCACCGGAAGTCGAAGGCGGGTCTCACAATGAAGAGAGACTGGGCGAGGAGCCCGACATGGAAGTCTCTCTGCTCGACGGCTCTCCACAGAAGGGCAACATACAAAGCCTTCCATCAGGGCTCACGGCGGATATTCAGATTGGTTGCATCAAGCCGATGCGCAGGGATCCCCCGTACGGCCCTGTCGTCCATGACTTGTTTTATGCCCGGGACAACGTCTGGGTCCAGCAAGTGAAGCGCTCCACTGCTCTTGAGATGTGGGATGTCACTGAAAACTCGGACTCGAAGGATGGCGACCAGCCTTCGACATGACTACGCGCAGCGAGTCTTTCTTGCAAGCGTCGTGGGCGATAAGGACTGCTATACATGATGGCGATGAAAATGATGATGTTCTCCTTGAGTTGATGAATTGGGTCCGTGGTTCGCTTTCATTATTGATGGAATGGAGAATATTGATTTTGCAGGAATTGCTTGATCTATAAAAAGGTACTCTCTCGGATCGGGGAAAAGGAAAGTAGACCTGGATACAGATCAGCGAAGCTGAATAAGATACAGTCTACTTAACGCTGTGACGCTTTTCATGATGATGTATGCATTGATCAGTTCGCACTGAGGACGTTGATGAAAGTCGCGTACAAGCAACGTATTGAGGTAGTAAATTAGTAGTATTGCAACGATGGTAATAACTGTCTTTCCAGCGCTTCAATGCGCAATTTCCGAGACGCCCAAAACGCCAGTGCTATATGCATCCTTTCAACAAAAGCTGGTAAACGCAAATGAATGCGTGCGCTGTAGGATGGCAATATGACAATAAGAAAACAGAAGAACAATTCCAAGCAAATGTTCCCTTCACAAACTCCGGCCCAGAAAGGCGAGATATACAAGTGATGTACAATCGGCAACTGCTGCGTTCCCCCTGGGCTGGTTCTCCGTGAGAATACCAAAAGGCGCGACAAATGCGACGCCGAGGAGCCAAAAGAGCAGGGGGAAATGACGGGTCCCCCGCTTCGCCTCGTTCCGGACGATTACTCCAGCTTATCCAGATGCTCCAACCGCGTCAAGACGACCTGCTTGCTCGTCTCCTCAATCTCGCCGGCGAGAAAGACCTCGTCGAGGATGGCGTAGACCTTGTAAAAGTTGAAGACGAGGTCGAGCTCGCAGACGTTGCCGAAGAAGGCGTCGAGGACCTCGACGAAGAAGTGGATGGCCTCGAGAAACGCGAGCTCGTTGTCGTTTGTGTCGACGCAGGCGCAGAAGAAGAGGCCGGCGTAGCGGCGGTAGACGATCTTGTTGTTGCGGAACTCGACGAAGTTGGACTGGTACTTTTGGTCGCGGGGGGCGACGAGGCGGTGGACCTCGCCCTTGAGCTTGATCTTTTCGTCGTCGCTGTAGGGGGCGTACCATTTCGCGAGGCGGGTTTTGCCCCTGGAGAGCGGGTAGGAGAAGTGGTCAGCTTTGGTTACTTGATTGCTGGTCGCGATTTGGGATTTGGCGCGCTTGCGCTTTTGCGCTTGGGGGTGGGATTGGGAACTCACTGTCTGTTTTGGATGAGGATAAAGGAGAGCATGGTTGCGATTTGGGCAGAAGCGCGTGCGATTCGTTGGTGTGGGCTGCTTTGGGGAGGAGAGCTGGTTGTGGAATAAAAGGGTCAAGCTGGTGATGAATAATTGGGCTTAGGTTGGTGTTGTTGGTTGGAGGAGTGCTTTCAGGGCAGCTTAGGTAGAGCGTTACAGCGCGTCCGTTAATTAGCTGAATCGCGGGGCCGGAGGGCACGGATGGTGATGGACGGACGGGGCCGAAAGGCGGGACTTGAAAGAATGGCAGAGGATAGGAATGACGGTCTTTATTGGATTGAAATGCAGATATCTAGCGTTCTACTGAGAAAAGAATTGAAGCTGCGACTTTCTCATGACATTGAAAGGATTAACCCCTTGACAGAAAGTGAGCCCCATGCTGTTTGTACAGCCAGCTCTTGTGCTTATTGATGACAATCAGTGCCTCGGATTGCTGGGGTCTAGATGGATTGTACAGAAGGGCATCTACAGACTCCAATTGCCTCGTGAGAACCAAGGGTTGCAAATACTAGGTATATGGGCAACAACGGATTCCCTCAGCCTCAATGCCGTATATAAGGCAACATGCATGATGGATGGTTGACATCAAAACCATGGCCCTCAGGCCAAGTCCGTCAGACGACCTCGAGCCGTTGCGCTACTCTAGCGCCACAGCGCCCATTGTAGCGCTCCGACTCCACTGTATTCAACTTGAAGCCTCATTCGATCCGGCCTCCGATCCGGCCTTCGACCTCTTTCCCTTCTTGCCTGGCGAGACGTCAACTCCCTCCCTGCGTGGGAAAGAAGCATGACCTGATCTCCATCTGTGGACCTGTCTCGACTTCAACATCCCCGTCCCTCGGATCTCCATCAATTCTTCTTCAAGCTTCTCGTGAGATTCGCTATTCGGCACCATATTTTCTCTCCGCCTTTTTCTTATCTCTCCTACTCTTGCTAGAGCTCGGGATCCAATTGAAAGCCCCAGACAGACGATGCTGGAGAAGACAATCTGATCAAGACTCCGCCCTGACGACCTGTAACGGCCTTGTCAGATCAACAGGCACTCTCACACCTCTTCGTTTTCCCGAGAGACTTCCGGTCCTCTTTTCGGTCTGCCACGGGTTGGGTCTCATCGAGAGGCACCTAGCAATAGCTCAAAATCGGTCCAGAGGCCTTCACTCAAGGATAATGTGGTTACTGAAGCCTCTCTACACCTCACGGCAATGGCAAAGCTCCTACGCAGGCTCGTCACCTCGATTTGGGGCGATTGCGGCCCCAAGGACCTTTGGCAGCGCATTCTCAAAGACTTCATAGCCTGTGTCATTGCAACCACTATTGCTATCCTCCCCCAGATCCGGAGCTGGTCATCCTACCTGGCACCAATGGTCATTGCCTTCTCACACCCAGGACAACGAATGGGCGTTGTCATTGAGAACATCATACTGATCATTCTCGGCTCGGGCATAGGCCTATCGTGGAATATACTGGGTTTATATCTGGCGAGCTTGGTCTATGACACCAACAAGGCCGGTGCTTTTACGATTCGGGCCTTTTTCTATCTGGCATGTACTCTACTTCATGGTTATCTGAGGTCTTCCAGCCCTCGCTTGTTCCTGTTTGTCTTGGCCCTGATTCTGCCCGCCGTCACCGTGCTCAATGTGCCCACCGTGGCCACGCCCACCCTGTACACGACAATCTATGTGCCGATCCTCATTGGCGCCGGCGTCATTCTCTTCGTCAACGTCACCATATTCCCAGAGTTTTCGGGCAGCTACCTGGGCACTTCTACCATCAGTGCTCTATCAGAAGTGGCCGACACGCTTGAACGAGCCACCCACTGGTTTGTCACCCCCGGAGGCGATCGTGTCGAATCCAAAGACATTGGAAGCCTCCTGGGCATTCCCGTGACTCAAGATCAGGGCATCAAACGACAGCAGCCCCAGAGGAAGTACATTCAGCAGCTCATTGTTCCCTACTGGCACAAACTACGTGCTGTTCTCCCAAATCCCTTTCCCTCAGCCAAGTCTAGGGCCGGAGCAGCCAAGCCGCCGCTGCATGCGACTACACTGGCGTTTCTGACGGAGAGGAAGCCCCCTATTCGGACGAAGCTGGCCGCATGCAAAAAGGCTCAGAATGAGGTCAATTTCGAGATTTCCATCTCACCCCTTGCCCCAGCTGACATGAAGCCTATCAGTGTTGATCTCATGAGCCGTCTGTCTCAGAGCGTCATAACACTCATTGGCGCTTGTGAGAACAAGTTCATCGTCCTCGATGAAGAGGACATGGAAGACAGCGGCTTATCAACAGAAGATGACGATGGCTGGCTAACGCCCAAGTGTTTGACTGCTCTGGATATTGCCAACCCATCCTCCAGTGTCCCAGAAGCGAACATCAACCTCAACCTCAGTTCTGGTACGACGTCCAGATCCCGAGCCGAGACTCCTGTTGGCCACTCCAGCAGGGTCGATTATATCAAGCTGAATAGGCAGATTCGGCTGAGCAGCGCCAAGCTCCTAGAGTCAATTGTCACGCGAATACGAGCCCCTGTCCAACAATTCCAGGTCTCTACAAACGAAGCAGTGCTTGTGCTCATAGCTTGTTTGGCGTATTGCTACGATGTTCCCACTCTCCCCTCTGGCGCCCCTACACCTCGAGGCATCCGATTGGAGGAGATTGACCTGCGGATTGACATCTTTACCGATGCCTTAGCATCGTTTGATGATCAATGCACCGAACAACTGAAGCTGATCGCCATGCAAGAGACGGGCAAGTCACTCGACTTCATGCCGCGTATGGAATCCTTTCTCATCTCGTCGTTCCTTCTGGCCTTCCGCCAGTCTTCGACACACATCCTCAAAATGCTTCGTCATGCTCGCCAGTTGGTAGAACAGAGACAGCGTCGCCATGATAAGACACGCATTTGGATGCCTCAATACTCGAGTCTTCGCTGGTGGCTTCGCACCACTGGCGAGCTTGATTCAATGGTTCTCCCTGAAGGCGCGAGAAAAGCTGCTCGCCGTGGAGATTTGGCTGGGGACAACCCGCCGAAGCCTGAATCGAAAGATCCTGTCGGCGTTCTTGATAGTGAAGAGCAGCCGAGGGGGAGAGCATCTGATGAAGAAGCAGGCTCTGCAGCTGTCTCTCGGGCCCCGGGGGGTTTGAGAAAGAGAAATACAAGCCGCCGAAGGCAAAAGCAGGAAAAAGAGAAGCGCCTACAGTCCAGGCGAACTGACGGAGGAAGAGAGTACCCTAACAATTGGATCCTGAAGCTTCGAGGAAAAGTGGCAGATGTTTTCGAATGGGCTCAAGACTCTGACGATCTCTTCTACGCTCTGAAGCTGTCTTTTGCCGTATTCCTTGTAAGCTGGCCAGCATTTGTACCGTCGTGGAACGCTTGGTATGCGAGTGTTCACGGTAGCTGGGCGCCACTCCAGTTGATATTCATATTTGAAGTAGCTATTGGCACGTCCGTGGTGGCCTTTATTATACGGCTTGTCGGGTTAGTCCTCGGTTGCACAGCTGGATATGTCTCGTTCGTCATTGCAGGGGGCAGTAGGGCCATTACCGTCGTGGTCCTTGCCTTTACACTGTTGCCTGCTGCATATTTCCATGTTGCAACGAAATACGTCAAGGCTGGTGCGGCAGCCATTATCTCGATGAATGTCGTTGCCATAGGTACACTTCCCCTTCCCTTCAGTTCCCTATTCTATCCCACAACCAGAGATATCTGACCAGATGTGAACAGCTTCTGAGAATGTCAACACGGAACAGCCACAGCAGGTTTACTATCAGCGCCTCATAGCGTTCTTGGTTGGAGGCGTTACAGCGGCGTTCGTCGAAATCGCGATTTACCCCGTGCGTGCAAGAGATCGATTGGTGGAATCCTTGTCTGCCTGTGTGCAGCACATCCAGAGCATGCAGGGCGCCATGGCCGTGGGCGTTGATGGACCCAAAGTTCTCGATGTCCGCTCTCCAAAGCTGCACCGCAGTTTCGATCGATGGCGGGACAAAGCGCAAGCCTCACTTGCAGCAGCCGAGACCTTTTTGCCCTTTTGCGCATCTGAACCGCGGCTGAAAGGCAGCTTTCAGAAGCTCGAGCCTATATATACCGAGATCGTGTACGTACTCCATCAGATCATCGATCGGATGGACAACGTCGTGCAACTCCGAAGGGCTTATGGCTCCTCTGTACTGGAGACTCTCAACCCACAAGCTTACATGTATCGGCGGAGCATGGCGGCCAGCTGCACCCTGATGTTGTTCTCCGTCAATGAGGCCTTGACAACCCGGCTCCCACTCCCACAATTCATTCCCTCAGCTCGTGTAGCGCATCTTCGGCTTATTCATCGGGTCCGGGAGATTATCACGTCGCAAGCCTCGACCTCGGCTCCGGTAACGCCAACTGTGAGCCATGCCAGTCATTACAGCAGCACGAGCGAGTGGGATGATCAGGCGAACGAGAAGATTGCCCGCTTAATCACTAAGCACAATTTTCTCTCTTGGAATGCCAGCGCTGCTGGCCACATGGAGATCATTGAATACCTCGAAGAGCTGGTTGAGCTGGTCAAAATGCTCGTGGGAGTCAATGCATTCCGTTCAGGCATGCTGGAGAAGCCCAACTATACGCGCTATGTGCAGATGAAAGACCCTCGACCAGAATCCTTGACCACGGCTTACTCACATGCATCTGGCAGCTCATCGACGGCGCACCAAAGCAGTGTTGCCATACAGGAAGAGCCGGAAGAGATGCAAGAGTCTGCGCTGGGCCGATTCGATTCGACTGCTGTTCCCCCAGAGCTTTCGTACCAGAGATCGCGGAGATATACGGACACTCGACCCAGTCGTAGAAAACCGAGTATATATGAAGGCGATGCCGAGGAAGTGCCCATCAGCTTGCGGAGAGTCAACTCTCGACTTTGGCAAGGCAATGAGGCTGCCCGAAGGGGTTCGCAGTCGATTCCCGGCATGCGATGATTTCTTGCTTATAAGAATGCTGGGCATCTGTACATAAAAGATCAGATATGATGTGATTTGACAGTTACAAACACCTCGAATTTTGGGACTCCGATTTTGACACAAGTCTGAAAACGTGATACTACAATTAATCAAGCGTCTGCTGGTCCAATAAGGTGGATGGGAGCAGCACCATGCGAGCTATAAAATAGAGACCCTATAGAAAAACGAACCAAAGCATGAAACATAAAATTTGAGAAAAAATGGTGACAAAGGAAGCTGGTAAGACAAGACAAGTTCAGATGATGTTGAGACTCGTGTGTTGCGCCAGCCTCGTGCCGTTGAGCATAGCGCGCGTCTTCTTGGGCCTCTGCTGAAACCGTCGAAAGGCCTCCTGGACGTGTCTCGGCTCGATTGGCGAACGGCCTTCGCTGGGCGGGTCGAAGAGGCCCTGCTGGTGCTTGCGCTTCTTGCTCGTTCCATTGTCGCCCGTGGAGGCACCCGTCTGGGCGCGCCAGATGTCCTCCTGCTCCTTGACCTTGAGGGCGACCTCGGTCAGTGTCTGGACCATCTCGAAGGTGAGAAAGCCGAGGATGTCGACAATATCGTCCGACGGCTTGCTGTCCGTCACGACGCCGAAGCCGGCCCACTCGCGGAAGCGCTTGCCCTTGCGCCAGGTGAAGGACGCCTGGCGGTATTCGGACCACGTCACGTACTCCTCTCTGGTCATGGCCTTTGTGCGCTCGTCGGCCTTGCGCAGACGCTGGAGCGTGATGTAGTTCATCTCCTCCTCTTCTTCGTCCTCCTCGTCGTCGCGCTCGGGGACCTCGACGGAGTAGAAGGACGAGGGGTCCCAGGGGAGGCCGACCTTGGCCTTTTTGTTCTTCTTGGCGGCTTCATCTACGGGGCCTCCTGGGACGACGCCGCCGACGGCGTCATCGCCAGCAGCGATGTCTGCGTCTGCGCCCTTGTCGTCTGAGTCCTTGACGTTCTTTCGTACGTCCTTCCAGGAGAGGAATGTGCGAAGGCGAGAGACTTTGGCGTGATCATGGCGGATCTGGAAGATGAGGTCGTTTGTGCTGATAGATTTTGAGCCGCGCCGGGCGGCAAGTTCAGTGCAGTTGCGCAGCTGTTGGAGGGAGACAGAAGTGTCAGAAATTCTATTCTAAGGGTTGACCATTGAAAGGCGCAATGATGGTAGTGAGAAGGCGAAACTTACCAGTTCGATGACCTGCTGGCGGACGATGTCCTCTATAATACCGGTGGTTTCGACGGATGGCTCAGCGGTTTCGCCAGAGACGTACATCATCTGTCGGAAAGAGTCAATGGTTATGGCGCGTCGGGAGAGGCGAGACATGTATCCGGCTTTCATTCGATATCTTTGGCCACACAGGAAGACGTGTTGATCCGAGTTCATGACTGGGGAAGGGCAAGGCCAAGGCGCCCTGGGTAGGACGTTGGAAGCGAAAATAGGTGAAGGATCAGGTGAAGGATTATGAGGTGTGTAGAATACATGAAGGGCAAAATCTCAATTGAGTTGTGAAGCTCATAGACAAATCCCAGATTGCCTGAATGCCTTGCCACTTGGCAGCAGTGCGATGAAGCTGGGGGCTGGCGATGCCAGGTGTTGGGGGGTGGGGAACTCTCCATGAGGATCGTGATGTAAGTGTAGGATCTGGGGCTGGTAGAAGACGTGAAAGAGCCGAGATATCAATTGAGCGCTGTGTATAAGAGGAGAACAATGGGGATGTTCGAACCTCGAGATCAGTCATCAGGCTCACTGAGCTGCAGACTCATGAGAGGAGGAAGTGTAAGACGATGTATTGTAAAGTCCTCGTGAACAGTAGATCAGGAAGTACCCTCGGGCTTCTGAGAAATCCATCGCTTTCTCGGGATGGACGAATCGGCCAAGGTAGAAAATGAAACCGGCAGTATCTTACCTGGCTAATCTCCTGCCGATATTTATACGTCTTGACGGTACTTGAGTCGGCCATCTTTGCGGCGTCTTATGTCCCACACGACCCAAGAAACAGATATCCTCCTCTTTCTTCAATAACCGGGCTTTCAGAGCCCTGGATGCCACAGCGGCGCGCGCGTCCAAGCCGCTTCCCGGTCTCCCTTTGACTTGCGACAAAGCCGTAGCCCCCCGCGAAAACCCCCTTCAAGCTGCTCCCCAAGGATGGCCGTTATATCGAGTAACGCAAGCGATTGAGTGTGCAAAATACGGATGTTCGAACGTAGTATATGGTGCAGTCTCGCGGGCGTATGGCGATACAAAAAGGACACCGAAAGCGTCCGCTTACAAGGGGGGTTTCCTTTGACTCCTTTGAACTCTCCCAGCACGAAACGTATACAAGCGAAGCGGAGAAGAAGCGATAATCACTGCAGTGATAAGTTCGAGCAAAAAATGATTCCAAGAAAACAGTATTATAGAGAATTTGAGCGAGCCGGGAGAAGAATGAAGAAATGATGAGAAGCGATTTTGATGGAGGAGGAGGAGGAAACAAAAGTTGGTGAGGCTTGAACGCGACACAGAAAGTCAGATGTCGTTAGCCGGACAGTAAAGTATGCTAAGCGCACCCCCTGAGGGAGCGCTGTCGGGTCGCTAGATGCACGCCTGCTTATCCGGAATCACGTGAGTCGTTCTATACAGCTTCAGAGACAGGACAGTAAGTTACAGTGTGTCACTGTTGAAGACATCAATGTTGCTTCGGATCGTGTCTTTTTACCATGTAAGCCATCATGCACTCTATGTCGATGCAGATCTGCTTCACTAAGCGTGGTGTTGTGGAAACGGAGGCTCTGATTGTATGCATGCAAACAAGTGTGGCTGCAGGCCGTACTAAAAAGCAAACATGGGTCAGACTCCGGGCATCCAGTCATGAGTGAAGGCAAAGAAGCTCCCTGACATATGCACAAATTTTCTCAGACATTTTACTTGTGTTGTATGCAGTTGGTTTATCCAAGGCCCCTCCATCCCTCGAATCCGTTCCCCCTGAAACTCCAGACAACCGCGTAGTGTCCAGCAAGCAGCTGCCACTCCTCAACCTCATCGAGTCCTTCAAGCCTATCAACCCTTTCTTTCTCATCCTCGTGGACCCATTTGCTCCATAAGCGGTCAATGGTCAACTGACGGGTGTTCTCATACCCTAACCGCTTCAACCGAGCTGCTTCCTCTCCTTCGTCTCTGCGTCGGTCGAGGCTAGGCATATGGATGTTCCTTGCCGCCAGGTTCGATATCATTGTCTCACTGAAGGGATCTCCCAGATGGATCGGCTCGTAGATGACAACAGCTACATTGGGTATCCGGGAAGAGAAATACTGCAGCACGCCATCCGACTCTTCTTGGGAGAGGTAGCAGAGGCAGCACTCTGATAAGACGAGAGTGGGAACGTCGGTACGGAGACTAGGCAAATTTTCGGTAGCCGTGGGCGACAAGCGGCGAATATCCAGTCCGTGGCAGAAGTACTGACCGTTGGAAGGCTGGCTCGACCAATCAATACCGCTATCTCCTGTTGAGCGGTTGGTCAAGATGCCGGCCAAGGGTGGCACTGCTTCGACCGTCTTGAGCTTCTTGGCGCTTGTTACCGGGAAGTCAATCTCATGGTAGATGAGCTGTGGATAGCCCTGTTGGCTAAAGAGCCGAAAAGGCCGAGTGTCGGTGCCGGCACCTAAGGACACGATCTGCTTCGTTTGCTCTTCACCTTGAGATCCCGCAAGAAACGAGTGCACCAGAGTATCTATGGCTGTTGTACGTGTGTATGTTCCTATAGTAGATGTGAGCCGTCATATCATCTCTGAGGACAGCGGTTGAGTAGAGAAGAGAGAGCACAAGTATCCTAAGCCACCTATACTTTCAAGAGGCTTTCAGGAGTAACAGGCGGGAGTAGACATCAGATACCCTCTGTTCAGTAAGACACGAACCTCGGTTAATGATGGGAAATCGTCTTGCTGGCGGGCCATCGAGAGCAGAGACAAAATACCGCGCATATGGGTCGCTCAGATAGCCCAAATCGACGGCGCTCAGCCTGGACACGGCGGCATCGGTATCTGTTCCCTGGATGATGGAATCGTGAGAAGCAGCGGCTTTGGAGCCGGGTTCAGAGCCTCCGCGTCCCCGGCCTCGGCCTCGGCCCCGACCGCCTCTGCCCCGGAGAGAGAGGAGATTGGGGATGGACGGTGCTGACATTGCTTGGATCGGTGCTTTACCGCATCTGGAGGCGGATCAGAGTGTGCCTTTGAAGGTTGGAGTTCTGTGATGATGATGATGCAATATCAACAAAGGGAAACAGAGATCTGGATATAAAGCGACGATAAATGGAATTGGGCATGTCAAGGGCACAAGTATCTCATCATGCTGAATTCCGTGCAAGGTACAAGCCGTCCGAAAGACCTGAGGGCTGGCGAACGACGCCCCACCTTCCGCTATGTCAAGAACTTGAAGCCGCGGGGCATCTGGCCAGCGCCTGCCGCGTGCTTAGCATTCAGGTACCAAAGGAAGGAAGGAGTCACGCAACGACATGTCGACAACGCCCTCTTTTGCTTTTTCTCAGTCTCTCATCTTCTCTTCCTCTCTCTCTCTCTTTTCTTTCCTCATCTTCTATCGATCCTCGCTTTCGACCAGTTACTGACTCTATATGACAGTCTGTCTACTGGTATCGTTGATGGTTTTTTTGTCCTTCTCGGATCTTGACGGGATATCCACTTACACAGGCAGCGCTTGCCCGAATCCCGAAACACGATAGACGCTGACTCGCGAAAGCTTCAATCGTCGAGACAGAAACTTCACATAGATACGAATCGTGGATCGATGCTGTACTGCTGGGGCGATGCAGCAGATGCTGGGCAAACAATGGTTCCAAGAAATGTCCACGAGAACAGCAATGGAACAGCACTGTGCCACATCCACACCACACTTGTTGCAAATGCACTCCTTATGCAAGCTACACGCAAGCATCGTCGTGGGCAAGTAATGTGATTCGCGTGCGTTGAAGAGAATCAACCCAGCCGCGCTACTTCGGGAAAGGGCTCTTCAAACGAGTTCCAGCTTGCTATCCCAAAGCAGAAATGGCCGAGAAGAGCAGCGAGAGCTTTTTGCCGCCTCTACTAATCGTTCGGGCTGACAAAGTGCAAACTAGACGGGTTTCCGCCCGGAGGAGGGCAGTGCTGCCTAGGCCGTTTGAGCTGGGGTGGCCCCTTCGCCTTCGACAACCCACCGAGAATCCTGCGCGTGTTTGCCTTATAAGCGTCTCGCCCTCCCACCATTTCATCCGCGCGGCTTGATGTTTCTTTAGCCTCGCTCAACTTGTATACACTCTTATCACATCTTTCTGCCTTTGGCACTCTGCAAAGCAATCAAAAGCTGGCCCTCGGGACACGCTTCTTTCATCGCAACCGCCACCTGCTTGGAAACTTCAGCTTCGCACGTAGCCCGAGCGATCCGTCGGGTCATCCGTCACCATGACTTGGACCGTCTTCCAAGATGGCGAACCTGCCGAGTTCCATATGCCCGCATGGGGCTGGCCTCTCGTGCTTCTCAACGCCATCATCCTGCTCCCCGTTTCTCTTCTTGTAAGGCTTCGCTTCTGCTAATGAGGTCGGTTACAATCTCGCTAATGCCAATTTATAGGTCAACTACACCCTGTTCCACATTTACCCTGTCTTCGCCATCATCGAGGATGAGAACCCTCCTGCCTACGAGCCCCTCGCCAATCCCGCCCATGATGAGGAGGCGACCGCTGGTTCTACCACCAAGCCTACTGATGGTGCCCCTCGGACAGTGACATCGTCCCTTCGCTCCATCAACCGTCTTCTCACCTCCTACGGTGGATTCCGAGCCAACTTCCGTGGATTCATGTGCGCTCTCACCCAGTCTGTGCTCATCAGCATCGTCGCCTCCATCTTCTCCTGGGGACCCGTCCGCCCCTTTGCCGAGCTGCTGGCCTCGCTGGTCATGGTTCAATTTGGAGCTGCCTGGGTTCACATTGTCATTTCGCAGCCCTCTCCTCGGAGGTTTTGGCGCCGCCTGCCTCCTTTCAAGCGCGCCTTTGATGCCACCTGGAAGGCCATCGTGCTCTACTGGGCTGCGACCCAAGTGCACCAGTGGGTTCCCCTCCTGCTTGCTGGCCTTATCGGCTTTGATGCCCCGACCATGGCCAACTTGGCGTCGGGCGGCGCCTCGGACTCCATTCGCGAGGGCGACATCTCTTATCTGATCAAGGCTACGGTCTACGTTCTCCTCAGCACACTGCTGTGGGTCGTCGTCATCGTTCCCGCCCGCGTTGTCGTCATCCGCATTCAGGCTTCGCTCCTCCCTGAGGACGAGGACCCCATCATTCCCTTTGACCGATCTTTCACTGGTAAGGTTGAGCCCGCAATTGTCGGCGGACTTGGCTACGCAACCATCAGCGACGCTTGGTCCACCTTCTCAAAGGCCGCTTGGCGACGAGTGGTCATCCTCTACGCCAAGGTCCTGGCCATCTTTGTGGCCGTGTCTATCCTGTCATGGGCCATTCTGCTTCCCACTTGCTTTGCCATTATTAAGGCTGGCACCAAGAGCAACTGATTGCTCGCTCATCGGCAAACCCATCTTTGAGCATAACGAATAATGCCCCACTGACGACTACTGCTGTTGATCCTACAGCTGAAGCCTCGTCGCCCGCCAGACTGGGAGATTGTATGAATAGCTCACAGAGTATCGATCCTCGTCATAAACAAGATTTTGTTTTATTGTATCTCATATATCTTAAAAGTCTTAAGTCTTTACTCTTTCATGCGTGACGTCTTTATATCATATATATCCCTCCCCGACCGCGTAACTCCGACTAGAATAATCCCTCCACCTGCACACGGCCCAATCTCTTTGCTCGCTCTTGTTCATTCCACCTCTGTCTTTTGTTTGCTCTTTCATCGCATTTCTGTGTTTAGGCTTTCCCTGTCCCCTTCCCCCCTTTTTCCATTCGACTACACAAGCCATCAAAGTCGTTAAAAAATCAGCATCCAACGATCATCATTCATCGCTCTTGAGCTCGCCACAATTCATGTGGCGCGCGAGACGCACATACTTCTCCTCCGTCTCCTCATCCCCCTCATCTTTCTCTCCTCCCCCCCTCCTCCTCTTTCTTTTTTCCTATTTTTCTTGTTTCCTTTTCTCTTTTTGTTTCTTTCCTTTCAGAATGCAGACAGGGGAGAGGATGATGCCGTAAGAGCAAAACATATGAAAAGATACAAGGCAAAGGAGGAAACCAAGAACGGATAGAGCCTTAACCAGCAAGTCAGCAGGGCATATGCATGGGCAAGAAGAGAAACATGAAAAAAAGAAGAAGAGGAAAAGGGAGGTATTCTGTAGAAAAGCGAGAGAGAGAGAGAGACGAGGAGGGAGCGGGGAGGGTATGGTGGTTCCAAAAAGTGTTGTAAAACCGCGTCTAGTGTACTCAAAACGCCGCCCAGAGAAAGCAAAAGCGCGCAGCAAATCTACGACTTATTGAAGAACCAACTACCGCGCTTGCTGCTGGTCGGAGTCCCGTCACCGCCTTGGATCGTGGGAGTCGCAGGAGCGTCGCCGCCGCCGCCACGGAGAGGCTTGGCAATTCGGCTGCCAGCATTGGTGAAACTGAAGCCGCCGCCGGCTCCGCCCAGGCCGCGGGTGCTGCCAGCTTTGGCAGCCTCCAGGCGCTCCTTGACGGAAGCAAGCTGGACCTCGAACCTAGGGAGAAGGAGTCTAGGTCAGCACCAAGCTTATTTGCTTTCACGTTTGTGTTATGTGTAGTATCGCGCCGACGACGGCTGAAGCCACGTCGTTGATGTACATCCATGGGCAGTGAAAGGGGTGAGGATTGGGGGGATACATACTTGTGATTGGCGGTAGCCATCTTCTCCTGGCTGTCTTGCAGCAGACTTTCGAGGCTCTGGATGCGCTCGTTTCTCGCAATCAGCTTGCGCTCTGCAATGGCAACCTCCTTCTTCAGGGAGGAGTTCTGCTCCACCAGCTGGCGCTGGACCTGGGTGAGCTGCTCCAGGTTGCGCTCCAAGAAGGCCATCTTCTTCTGCTGAGCGCGGTTGTTGGACGACCGCAGCACGTTGTTATACTGCTCGCGGGTCTCGTCGAGCGAAATCTCCAGCTCGACGACGCGCTCGCAGCGGTTCTGCAGGTCTCGCATGAGGCTCTTCTTCATCACGTCGAACTCGGCAATCTGCTGCTGAACAGTCTTGCCGTTGGCCATGGCACCGGCGCCGCCGGCCTTGACGCGCTGCTGAAGCTCCTCGATCAGAGTCTTCATCCTCGCGTTCTCCGAGGCCTTCTGGGCCAGATCGGCCTTGAGCTCTTCGACGAGTTGCACCTCGGACTTCTCGCGCTTGGCGTAGACGGCCTCCAGTCGTGCCTTGACTTCCTCGACGTCGGCTTCGCTCAGGTTGCGGGTCAGCACCTCTTCGTACTCTTGCTGCAGCGCCTCCAGCCTGGCTTCGAGCTCCTGTCTCCGCCGGGCATCCAAGTCGTTGGATGGCCCGCTGTACATGGACAGCTCTGCCTGCCTCACGATGCCCTGGGTCTCGACCATCTTTGCGCGGAGCGCCTTGAACTCGTCGGGTGCAATGTGGTCGCCAATTGTGCTCTGCTCGAGCAGGGCATCAATGTGCTTGATGGTCTCGGCAATAGACCTCTCGTTATCGCTGAACACATCGGTTCCAAGCTCGAAGCCGGCCATCATCTTGGCCATCTTCTCTGCCTTCTTCCTCTCCTTCTCATCGAGAGCTGCGCCCGTCTCCTTAGCGCTCATCTTGGCGTCAAGCAGCTGCTGCTTCATGTCGTCCAGCTCGGCAGTGAGCTCTGCGTTGGCCTCCTTGAGGGCATCCATGGTGATTTGGGCCTCCTTGCCCTCAAAGTTTAGCCTCTCTAGCTGCATCTTGAATTCGTTAACTTCAGTCGTAAGTCTCTCATTTTCTTTGCCCATCTTGGCGTCGTGCTCTTTCAAGTACGAAAGCTCCTCCTTGGTCTCGCGCAACAGCTTCTCGGCCGCCGAAGCCTGAGACTCCTTTTCCGCAATCTGATCCTGGAGCTCATTTTCGCGGCGGAGGAACTCTTCCCGCTCGTCCTTCTCCAGCGTTATGCTGGGAGTTCCGGCACGGTCAGAAGCAATGGGTGTCTCTGAGCGAGACTCTGTGAGCCGTGAAGGGGTCGACGGCCGCGGCGCTCTTGCTTCGGCCTTGGCGGCGGCAACCCCATCCCCGACGGGCTGAACCCACTTCTCCTTGGGCACAGACTCTCCAGATCGCCACAGCTGCACCTCGCCCTCGAGGTTCGAGATGTAACTTTCGAAGTTGGTGACCTGGCCCTGGACCTTCTTGAGCAGTGCCTTGAGCTCTGCAGGGCTGAGCTCGGCGTTGACCTTCGCCTTGTTCTTGATGGACTTCGCTCTGGTGCCGAACCTCAGAGTTCCCAGTGTCTCAGCGTCGTTGTAGCTACTTGGCGAGCAGTTGATGATGAGAGTGGTTCGACTGTTACCACCGAGCGATTCTTGAAGGATACGGGTCAACTTGGAGTCTCGGTAAGGAACGTAGTGTGATTTGCCGTCGGTCAGGGCGTTGATGACCATGCCCAAGGCGCTCAAACTTTTGTTGATCTTCTTGGCTTCCTCAAGCGTCTGGCCGCTGGCGCCAGTCTTGCCAACCTTTTCACTACCGGCCAAATCGACCAAGAACAGCTGACCGCTCTTGGCCGAACCGGACTCGATGTTCTTCTGGGTGATGGTGACGACGAAGATGGAGTGGGACCGCGACGACTCTGCGTTCATGTTGGTGGCAGAGACCATTCGGGCACTTCCTCCCCTCCTCATGACCTCGTACACCTCCTGGACGCTGGAGACGTAGATTTCCAAGAGACCCTTGACGTAGATTCCGCGGTTCTTCTCCTCGTGGATGGGGAGATTGTCATTCTGCGGAGCCAACAGATCACGAATCTTCTCCATGTAAATTTCCATGTAACTGACGCGGACGGTGTACTCGATGGTGCTGGGGCTTGACATGATGCTAGCAAAGATCTGCTCGACGATGCGGGGGATAACACCCCTCTGCTCGGGATCGTCAATGTTGCTTCCCATCATGGTGTATGATTTACCAGCACCAGTCTGGCCATAGGCAAAGACCGTGCCGTTGTAGCCATTGAGGATATCGTCGACGGTTGGGCGGATGGAGTAGTCGAAGATGTCTTGTTGTTTACATGACATGTCAAAGATTCGGTCAAACGTGAAGGTGCCCTGCGCCTCTTTGGACTATAAGAAAAACACGGCAACGGTCAGTAACAGATTCTCGCATTCTCCATGAGCTCAGCAAGCACGGGGGAGGGCGGAGGAAGAGGTCTATACATCAAGAGTACAAGTGTCTTCTGAGTCGAAGCGGACGATGGGCTTGCCGCCCGACTCGATTTCGACCCGGTTCTGAGGCCGGAACCGGGCGACGACCTTGATGCTGTTGTTGGACATGGCGGGCAGACGGTGTTGAAAATCCGAAGAGAAGCAGACGTTTGGTTGAGTCTCTGTTGAGACACGATATCTCGAAGGGAGGTTCCTCTCTCTTCACCCAAAAGGCGGGCTCCGATATCTCGCCCTACCGAGAGGAGGGCAAAACAAGAGAGAGGGGCGGAAGAGGAGAAACAAAGCCAAACAGACGGTCGATCCTAACCGAAGCTGCGAGAGATGAAGAAAGAAGACGAAACCCCACCGCAGGAACGGTTGCAAGGAGAAAGGGGGGAAACGGAAGGAAAGGAAACAGAAGAGAAGGAAAAGAAGATCCAAGAACGAAGCCGAGTGAGGTTCTAGGGATGCAAAAGGAACGGCGGTCTGGCAAGGGCTGGCGGGGGAGGGACCCCAAAAAGTTGAATCCAATGTTTTGGAGGTGACAAGCGCGCTAAAAGCAGCCGCCGCGTGGGTGGTGGGAAGGGCCCTGGAGGCTAGAGGCTAGAGGCCACCTTGAGGGGGAGGGGGGCTGGAGATCAGGCGCCTCTACCCGCTGAAGGAGGGGGGTTACAGCGCACTGGACACGCTGGACGTGCGCAGGTGGCACCCCCAAACAACTCCGAGTCCTGACTAGAGGGTTGAACTGGAGCTCGGGCTACTACTAAGTATTAGAGCTCTTCTGCTAGGTCAGCCACGAAAGCAGGCAGGCAGTTGTTGCACAACTGGGATAAAGGTAGTGATTCTAGTACAGCGTGCTGCATGAGTTTATTTTGGTCTGTGCTCTTCTGTTGTGTTTGGTTTCACTTGTCGAGTCTGTTCCGCTCTTCTGCTTGTCAAATGGCTTCCAGTCTCAGTGGAAGCAAAAATATCGCCGAGTCTCGCCACGCCAGGGGTAGGACTGGATTACTGCATATAGAGTACCCCGTACTATTCCATATTCTACCTATGTGCATATGCCTATGGAGGACTCCAACTTGCTTTCTAGAGTTGGCTCTCTTTTTTCGTCTTAGCGTGCCATGACAACAAGGTAGGATTCAATGCCATGAGGTGGTATTGTAGCGTCTCCTTGCTATGCTGGTTGTGGCGCAAGAATTGCAAATCCCCCGGCATCGGTAGATGGGATGCTGACGCCGGCAGTGGACTGGATGTTGGCTCAACAAACTCACCCCTCTAGGCCTGTGAGGGATAGACACTCACAGAGAGTTATTCAGTGCCCTCACTCATAGAGCACTCCTACAGTGACTGAATCATGTACAGGCGGCATCAGTTGTTACAAGTCGTTGGAAGTGGGCGAATTGCGATGCTGCTGACCCGATGGCAACGGCGGTGTATTAGTTGCCACCGAAGGCGGGACCGTGAACTGCATCATCATCAAATCAAGCATATAGCAAAGCCCAAAGTAGATAAGCCAAAACATCAAATCGATTCGCAGCTACTAAAATGCTACCTATCTGTTCGTCAGTCGGAGCCGTCTTCGTTCAGTGTGGTGGTGAAACCAAAGAACCGCCGCTGGTAATCCTACTGTAGGGAGAAGAAAAAAAGAGGAACAAGACGAAGAAGAAAAAGAAGAAAACAATATATAGACTCCTGTCCCTGGTATAGCCAGTTCAATCTCGTGCACCAAAACGCCTGCAATGATTCCATTCCGACGGTCTGCCGGATCCCTTTTTCGTGGACAGGGCACCAAGATGTTGCTGGCAATGTCCTGATTCCGCCTCAGTATCCTGAAGGGAAGAAGCGGCTCCTAAATGTCGCCTAAACACCTGCCTTCTCCAGATCTGCAGTTAACGTGGGTTCTTGTCTGTTTTTAGTCTTCCCAGCTCCTCTCAACGGTCTCTCGCACGCGCTTCGTATACTCCTTGCGGTTGTCCTTGTAGAGGTTCGAGGCTTCCACGTTGGCCGGCGAGCCGGTGTTGGGGTCGTTAAGTAGACTGCAGTAGAGTAGACGTCGTCAGCGAATGCACCATGTCGGTAAAGCATTGTCATCCAACCGCAAGGGCTCCATACCTCTGAATGCTAGTTAACACAGCAGCGACATCGTACGTAGGGCTCCATCGGTTCTGAAGAATGTCCAAGCACAGCTCGCCGGTGGCGTAGACGTTGGGGTGGAACATCTGGCTGATGAACTTGACCTGCGGCGGCTTGTTGGGATATTGCTCTTCGAATTGCATGACGAGTCGAAATGTTCCATCTTCAAACGGCGTGTCGGCTGGTCCTATGATGACGGCATTCCTGTGAAGCGAGGATGACGAGACATGGTCAGCATGCGAGGTCGCTCGAGTGGAGGCGTACGGGTGAGGGGCAAAACCAACCAGGTCATAACATTGTCGGGGATGGGAGAGGCTGAGACTCCGGCTGGAGGATCGGTCTGCATGCGCTGGAATATGGGTTAGGCACTGCAAGATAGAGAGAAGGGCGAAGATGTAGACAAACCTTGAAGTCGCGCATCAAACGACGTCGGGCAGCTGTTGACATGGTGATGGTCGAGCAACGGCCTTGGTGGGAATCGTACGAGGACCGACTTGGACGCGGCAGCAAGTTGTACGGGTCTCGGAGGTCTGGTATTTGTTGATCCGGAGTGATCGGTTGGCCGAATGTAGTTTGAACGTAGGAAGAGGTTCCAAGCTGGCAAAATAGGAGCAAAACAGGTCTTTTCTGGTGATCTTTGTCAAAGGTGCTGTGAAAGAAGTCGAGAGATCAAGTCGGAATCTGCTCACGAGCCAAGAAGAGTGATGGCCGCACTAGCAGCCAAACAGCAGCGTCTGATAGCCAGCCGGTACAGGCGAATCGGCGCCGGGGCACAGGCCAATAATGGGGCGAGAATTGGACAATTAGTCATGGTCATGTGATACCGCACCGGCATCGCGCGAAGGCGTGGCGGATAAGACATGTGGCGGCCATCAGGTGGAGCGACGCCACACGCTGGACGCGTTTGGGGTGATATGATTTGCCTAACAGAATCCCGTCTCAGTCTGTGCCGTAGCCTCGGCATGATGACGTGAGTCGTGATTAGGAAGCACAGAGAGAGAACTGAGATGTGCCTTGGATAGTCTATGTGAGGAAGATCTGGTCAAGACGACAGATACCAGAATCAAAACATTTACTCCAATATGCCATATGTAGTGCTCTAGTATTACTCTTGGGTAAATACTTTGTCACACAGCCTTCCCCGGCTCCTTCAACATCCCCGCAAAAAGCATCACAGGCCGCAATATCGGCTTAAACGGCTCGGCTGATTCTCCTCCCGCATCAAGCCGAAGCGTACCGAAACGGCCCAGACGCTCCTCTCCATTGCGCCTCTCCTGCCGGCAGTCTTTATAAAATACAATTACAGTCCATATGTTGCTTCTACTCTGAGCATCTCCTGCTTTGTTCCAGTGATACCCCTGACTGCAGATATTCTTCTTTCCTTTCTTTCTTCCGTCCGCCTCCTTCTCGTCACAATGCCCGAGGCTCAGCTCAGAACCGCCAGGCGGCTCGGCCAGTTGGCCAGCCATGTGAGAACGGCTCGCCACTTCTCGACCAGCGCCGCGATGAGGAAGGAGATTCAGGACGCTTACATTCTCAGTGCCGCCCGAACACCTACAGCAAAGGTATGTTATTCTGAACCGACTGGAACTCGTCACTCTTTTGAATTCGTTGCTAACACCGCTTTTCTGTCCAGTTCAACGGCTCCTTCACCACCGTTCCCGCTCCTCAGCTCGGCGCTACCGCCATCAAAGCTGCCCTCGAAAGATCAAAAGTCCCGGTAGAGAAGATCTCCGATGTGTACATGGGCAATGTTCTCGGAGGATCCATCGGTCAGGCTCCGGCCCGCCAGGCTGCCATCTTTGCCGGTCTTCCCACATCCGTCGAGGCCATCACCATTAACAAGGTGTGCGCTTCTGGTCTCAAGGCCGTCGCTTTTGCGGCGCAAAACATCCAGCTGGGTCTGGCCGAGGCTCAGATTGCCGGTGGCATGGAGAGCATGACCCGAGTACCTTACTATCTTCCCCGTGCGAGCGGTCTGCCTGCTTTCGGCAACGTGACCTTCGAGGACGGCTTGATAAAGGATGGTTTGACCGATGTTTACAACAAATTCCACATGGGCAACTGCGCCGAGAACACAGCCAAGGTCCACAACATCACGCGAGAGCAGCAGGATGAGTTCGCCATCCAGTCATATAAGAACGCGCAAAAGGCCTGGGCTGAGAAGGCATTTGCCGACGAGATCACCCCCGTGACCGTCAAGACCAAGAAGGGCGAGGTTGTCATCGAAACGGACGAGGGGTACCTCGACATCAAGGTCGAGAAGGTGCCTACCTTGAAGCCTGCGTTTGTCCGCGACGGAACGGGAACTGTGACCGCTGCCAACTCCTCCACGCTGAACGACGGTGCTAGCGCTCTGGTCTTGGGCAACAAGGCCATCGCACAGCAGTACGGATCCAGCTCTCGAGTCCTAGCTCGGATCGTCTCTCACGCCGACGCTGCTGTGGACCCCGTCGACTTCCCCGTTGCTCCCGCCAAGGCCATCCCCATTGCCCTGGAGCGCGCCGGCATCACCAAGGATCAGGTCGCCATTTGGGAAATCAACGAGGCTTTTGCGGGCGTTGTCCTGGCTAACAAGAAGATTCTCGGCATTGAGAACGCCCGCGTCAACCCTCTGGGAGGCGGTATTTCTCTCGGTCACGCCCTGGGCAGCTCCGGATCTCGAATCCTGACCACGCTGCTGCACCAGCTGAAGCCTGGTGAGTATGGTGTTGCGGCCATCTGCAACGGCGGCGGTGCTGCCACAGCCATGGTTGTGCAGCGCATCGAATCCGTATAATTCAAAAGGACGTGAAGGTGGAATGAAAGAAAGGCCCGTCAAGCCAGACCTGTATATATAGCGATTGGAGCAATATGTAGCTGCTTTAGAGTAGCTTTGCCATGTATTTTAGAGTAACGAAAATTGAAATGTCTGGAATATACTCACATGCTATGATGCCTAGTTTTCTTTCTGGTGATACGATCAACGAACAGTCTTTCTATGAAAGAATGAATCCAATCTTGGTTTACATAAATGAGGTAGGCAGAGTCGACAGTAAGAGGATCGAGTCGCCAGTCTGATAGCAGGCACGCGCCACACAATGCACCGCCACATCCAAGCTTACGCCACACCCGTCTTCAACACCAGCCTCACTCATCCAAACGCGACTTCTCATTCACTTCTCATTTTCTCCTGTCTCACTTCTCAGCTCTGCCTCAAAGGCTCAATTCGCCGCCAAACGGTGAATCTTTTCTTGGCCTTCTTTTCCTTTTCTCACTCATTATAAAACATGTCTCTCGTCGCCCAATTCCTCTCCCAGATACAGCAGCAAGTCCGCAATCAGCAAGGCGATCTCCTCCGGTCATGGCTCCAAGTAGAGCCGGAATCACCAAAGCAGTATCACGACCTGGCCGCCGAGCTGCGCGCCAGATACAGCCGCCAGGACGCCATTGACAAAGTCGTGGAAGATGCACTTCCACAGCTGGACGATCTGCCAGAGGGCCAGGCAACTGCTTGGCCAGGCCTGTTGGCCTTTTTGAAGGATTACTTGACGTATTGGCGAGATGTCGATTTTACCGACTTGCTGGGGGCACACCAGCTTCTCAGTGGGCTTGTCAAGTGAGTTTTGTCTGATGGATGTTGAGACACAGTAAAGAGAGATGTAGTCAACAACAGTCTACAATCTGGGTCCAACGATTCTTCACGATTCCCATGTTAAACCATCGCGTCTATAGCTCTTGTTCTACTGCATTCGCCCATCCCACCTACGGCTCCATGCTCCTCCAAGTCAGCATGTCTCTATCCGAGACTCTCGCCCGCCTCACCATGAATCTCAACCGCCGGCCCGACCTGACCCGGCGGCTGCGCGTCGTCGACGACGACAACCGCAAGTCTGTTGCCGAGTCTTCGGCCGAGATCATCCAAAAGATCTTCACGACGTGCCTGACCGACCGGACAGGCACCCGGACGAGCAAGCCGGAGGGAAAGCGGGTTGGCGTATATATGTTTGCCAACCTCGTGCTGAAACTCCTCTTTGCAGTATGTCTCTCTCTCACCTTGCTTCAACTTGGTGTCTGCTTTCTCATTCCTTGGAAGCAAGAGCTTGTCGATCATGTCACAACTTATACCATGGCCACGCCTCTAACCACAACTTTTTCACTCTCTCCGTAGTGCCGAAGAACTCAGCTTGCAAAGATGATATTCGTCAACATCGAGTCTATATCGCCTCCGCTTTCACTCTATCCCGCCGCCCAGCGCGTCACCTTTCTCTACTACCTCGGCCGCTTCAACTTCTCAAACCATCACTATAACCGCGCCGCCCTCTGTCTCCAAGAGGCATACCTGCAGACCCCTCCTCAACTCGTCTCTCATCGCAGCAACATCCTCACCTACCTCATCCCCGCAAACCTTCTCCTCGGCAAATTCCCCTCAACCACACTCCTGTCGCGGCCCGAGGCTCAATCGCTCAAACCCATCTTCCTTCCCATGTGCATGGCCATCCGCTCTGGCAACTTCATGCAGTTTCAGGCCCACCTCGCCGCACACGAAACCTGGCTCTTCGAAAAGGGCCTCCTCCTATCACTCTCCAACCGCCTCCGGCCGCTCCTCTGGAGGAGCCTCACCCGCAAGACGTTCCTCCTCACATACGTGCCGCCGCAAGACGCCTCCTCCCGCAAAGCAGCAACGCTCGACCTCTCCCACCTCCTCACCGTGGCAACCTACATCCAGCGCCGCCTCGAAGGCTGGCTGCCCGGCAACCCGACCGCCCCCCACCACCGGCCGTCGCAGGCCAACCCCCTCCTCATGCAGGCCCTCCGCAACAACGTCCAGCCCTCTGCCGAAACGACTCTGGCCCCTCCCCCAGGTGGCCCCCGGAAGCTCCGCCCCAACGAGGGGCTCATATGGGGTAACGCCCTGGTCAGCTACGAAGACATCGAGATGACCGTTGCCACTCTCATCCAGCAGGGCTTCATGCATGGATTCATCGCCCACAGCCAGGGCCGGTTCGCCATTATCGGAGCAAAGGCGAAGGGCAGCCCCGTACTAGCAGGCTGGCCGAACGTCTGGCAGACAATCAGGGAGAGGAGGCACGAAGATGACTTTGATATAGACGCCGTTCCTGGCTGGGTGACTTTATGAGAAAGACAAAGGAACAGAGAGATAGCAAGAGGGGGGAAGACTGGGGTTTGTTGGTACATACAGAAACGCATGATATTGGTTAATTACAAGGGCAAATGCAACGTTGGATAAGAAGATTGAGGGCAAAGACATCCTGGAGGCAATACTAGGTGGTTTGAACTACCGGCGCTAATCAACTCCATGGCCTGGCGTTCGTCTAAATCGTTCAAATCAGGAAAGCTATGCAATTACTCTCTGGGAAACGAAATGATGGGCCCCCTGAGACACCAAATATCGCTAACCGCGGTAACACGCATGTTTGAGATTTGGTGTATATATAGACAGACTCTACATTTGTTTTCCAGGATTACATTCAAGAACGTAGAATTCATAAGTCGCGCTAATGTGGCTTTATCCAATTCCTCCATCTCTCTCTCACTCTCTCTCTCCGCTATTTTTTGCTATTACTTTTGTTGATGGGCGCGGTAATGGTAAGTATAACACACATCGGCTTCAGTAGTAGACGAACTTGAAAATCAGACAAAGCAAAAAGATCAGAATTCGACACAAGCAGCCCACTGCAAAAATCCATTCCATTCCCACCCCCTTTGCTGGACATACATCGTTAAAAAGGTTTGTTAAGTAAGGGTTGTAGACCCAAGAAGAAACTCTCTCGCTCTTTTTCCCTTCCGCTCCCTCCCCTTTGTTTTGTTTTGAGTCCCGACTCGCTCTTTTCCGTAAAAGGCTTTCTCTTTACCGCTGTAGGGGGGTATCGACGACAAAGAAAGGCAAAAAATAGGACAAATAAGGTATAAGACAACAAATAATAAAGTCGTAATAGATGATGAAAAGAAATGCCACCCGTATTCCGGCATTATGATAGTCCAAGAAGAAAAAGCAGAAGAATAAAGGGGAAGAGGGGATGTTGAAGCCGGAAGGGCGTCCCGTATCCAAGCCACACACACACACCAACTCCAGAAACCTCGAAAGACAATAAACACTATCGCCGACAGGGCATATTGGCTGATATGTAAAGCATATGATAAGCGTTATGTAAATAAAAATAGAGCCATATACAGATACGGCAGCATAAAATATCAGGTCGAAGAAAAGAGTGTGCGGCGAGGCGAGGCGAGGGAGGCGGTGGGTTTAGACAGCCCGGGTGCGAAGCGAAAAGAGCGAGAGCGAGAGGGATAGTGAACCGCGTCAAGTGATATAGAGTCTAGAGCAGCATATAAACAAGAATATGTAAACTGCAGCTGACAAAGGGTGACATAGACACTGAAGTAGACGTGAGTATACAAGGTCTGTCAAAGATACAATCAACGGGGCTGCTCGCCATCGTCCTCATCTTCTTCAAAGGAAACAAGCTGCAGCAACAAAGGCAACAATAAGGCCGGCAAAGGCGGTGCTGCCTTGTTGGCGACCAGCCTCACCCTTCTTCGTAGTCGTGGTGACGGGGGCAGAATCGGCCTGGGTGGCAGTGGGCCCCGAGGGGGCTGCGGTGGTCTGGTGAGGCGTCGTGCCGTTCTCATGGAACATGCCGGGGTTCACGGACGGGTGAGCGCGGTTCAGAGCCGTTGATGAAGCCTTGCCGCTGGTGGTGGAGTGGGCAGTCTTGGTAGTGGCCGCTGTCGAAGCCTCGGTTGTCTCGGCGGTTGTTGACTCAGCGGAGGTAGTGGTTGAAGCAGCAACAGTGGTCGACGTGACTTCCGTCGTAGAAGCAGCGGCAGTAGTGGACACCACGGTAGATGATGGCGCGGCCGTGGTCGTGGTCGAAGTAGCCTTCTCGACCTGGGCAGCAAAGCCACCGGCCTTGAGTCCGTGGGCAGTGGAGCTGGGCAGGGCTGACGAGGAAGATCCGGAGTCGGAGTCGGAGTCAGAGCTGCCAGAGCCAGAGCTGCCATCCACGTTGTACGCGACAATGTTGGCAACACCGCCCTTGGGAACCGTGACAACGCAGAAGGCAGCATTGCCAGCGCCAACCGACGACTCGTTGCTATCGACGCTCCCGCTAGAGTTGGGCGAGATCTCGCAGGGCAAGCCGTTGCAGCCACCGTCGGGGCACTCGATTTTGACACCAAATGTGGGAAGGGTGCTCTTCAGAGCGGAATCCTCCCAGATGGGGTTCCAGCCCAGCTTGACGAATGTGTTGCCGTTGCCATCGGTGTTGGCGCCGGCAACATAGGGGGCCCAGTTGCCGACGGGCTTAGTTGAGACACCCCAAACACAATCGGCGACGGAGCTTCCAGGAGGGTTGATGTAGTAGCTACACAAACCAGGTTAGCAGTGTAAGTGACGGGTCAGTCGCTTGGGGTTTCCTACTGAGCTGCTGTTTCACACCAGTAGCTGGTGTCCGGTACAGCAATCGTGGCCTGGTCTGTGACAAGAGTCGGGATGAGCATTGCCTCGTTACCAGGCAGCACTGTCTGGCACCACGACATTGGGTCACCACAGTTGTTGACAGCTACGACAGCGCCGGTGCCTTCAACACAGTAGGGCTTGTTAGGAAATGGCTTGTGGACCTCGCCGTCCTCATCGCAGTACAATCCTCCGTCCTAACCTCGTTAGCAGCTGAAACTTGGAGAGAGGCTGCATCTGCCTTCTCCATAACTACACCATGTTACTTACCATGGAAGACGGGTAAGAGTATGAAGAGTCGGGACTCCATTGCGCCATCACCATACCGGGCTTGCAGGCAATCGGGCAGTAGTGGCCCGGCTTGCAAGGCTGATCAGGGCTCATAGCCCAACCCGCATTCTCAGCATCGGGCGTGACAGCAACCAGGTTGGGATCGTCCGTCGGGAACGCGCATGTTCCTCGCTTGACAATGGAGTTGGAGCTCTCGACAGTGTGTGAGCGCAGGTGAGTGTGCTTCTTGTTGGGAAGCTGGTGAAACCTCTTGTGCGACGAGGCGACTGAGCCGGCGGGCAGAGAGAGAAGCACAACCGCCGACGCGAGGGCGGCCTGGACGTCTGTAACCTTCATGGCGTCGCGTGAAAACGAGAGTGTGAGGCGTATTAGTGGTACTTGCGATAGAGCGAGCGAGTGAGTGAGTGAGAGGTCGCTCGATGAGGACGAGTACGACACTCGTGTTTCGAGATTCAAACAAAAAAGGACAAAGTGAGGGTCGTGTCACGGCGAACAAGCAACCAAAGAGCGACAGGAGCGACGAAAAGCTCGTCTACACAACACGGACACGACACGAAACGACACAGCGCAAAACAGAGAAGAAAGGGAAAAGAGAGAGACGGCGGTGACGGTCGAGGTTCTATGAAAAGAGTGAGATGGACCCGCGGCGAGCAGGGCGACAATAGGCTAGTAAAGGAAGGGATTGACTGAAGTTAGTCCAAAATGCTACTCGCAAGGGACGAAGCGCAAATGCTTGCTACAACACTGCACCGCACGCTCATGACCAGGTAGTAATAATGCCTCGACCGCTCTGCTGAAGATGGGCTGTGATGCTTGCCTCGCTTTGTGGAGCTCGTGGGATGAGCGCGTCGAAATTAATAAGACGTGAACCAATCAAGTGTCGGCCTTGTTCCCCCCTGGGAAACCGTTGTCCAATCCAGCCACTCAAGCAGGGCCAAAGGAAATTAAGGCCCTCCTAGTGTGAGCGACGCATCGAAGACCGCATTAACTGCAAAGAGAACAAGTCCCAGATCCACCTCGACGGCCAGACGGGGGCTCGATGTCGAGGCACTGTCGGTGCTGTGCTTTGTTGTAGACAAGGCAGATCATGGCCAGCCGAGGAACCAACTGGTCGTATTGTGGTGGTAACTGCCAACAGTACAAGTACGGAGCAAGTCCTCGAAGCGGTCGTGGTGGCAGTAGCGTCAATCTCAACTACTTCTTTGTTGGCAGCGCGGCGTGTTCCAAGAGCCACGAGAGAAGGCCATCGGTGCCCCCCTGATATCAACATGTTTGCCGCCTGCCGCACCACAAGGGGGCCGTTGCAATAATCCTAACATCTTGTGTGAGATGGAAAGTCCACGGACATAGTGCTCCTACAAGCACATCACCGCCTCCGAATGACAACGTTGAGAGCGAGGAAAAGAAGAAATTGATCGACGACGCCAAAAGACGAGATTTGGCGGAACGCTCCGAATCGCTGCGTCTTGCTGATCCCCCCAATCAGCTTCACCGTTTAGCACAGCTGAGGCTGAGCTGTCACCCCGCGAACATTAATAGAACTGGAATTAGCAGTGAGGGGTTCAACGTTCGCCTTGCCACGAACACCATCCAATATGCCGGCCGTCGCCTGTTCCTTGAGCAGTGTTAGTCATTCTCGCCGGCCCGCCATCTTGCGACTCTCGAAGCGAATCTGATGAGACAGGTCTTGCTCCTAAGCATCTCTCCGTTTTGTCGTTGCCATAGAAGATGTGGCGGTCGAGCTGTTCTCCCTGGAAACGAGGCTAGTCGGGATTAGACATGGGGGACCCCTTTTTGTCCGCACGGGGGTGCAGGGAGAGAAATTTTGTGTAACCGACATGCTCCACTCAACACGAGCATGAACGCCCACGAGCTTGCCATTCACCGGCTGAAAAAGGTCTCTGTTCCTGCATTGCGTACGGAGAAGGCCAGGCATGAGAAGGCTAAGCCCAATCCAACCTTGAACAGCAGTGTGTTGCCTGGCGCCGACCCTGGAGAAGACGTCTGTGCTTTTACACACAACAAGGAGTGTTTGTTGAGCAAGGTGGTATTTGCTTGTAATGCTCCCAGCAAGAACCTTGCGAATTCTGGAAGAGAATGCCGTCTTACCTCCACCTTTTCCATCTCAATGCCCTGTGCTCCGTTAAATCTTCAAATCTCGCCCATCATCGCGATATCACGAGCTCCGCCAGCGCTGCCGCTGAAGGCCATGTTCAGACAGGGAACAGTGATGGAGATGTGATTTCTTCTTTTGTCTTCCATAATTGCGTATCCTCATCTCGACTGATAAGGTGGCATCATGCGATACTTCATCTGATCTTGCCCCGTGGCTAATCAACTTGCTTGCCGTCTTGGCGAATGAGGTGATCCGTCAATTCAAGGAAAGATCTCGATCCGTCTTGCATCCTGGAGCATTTTGCCTGGCTTTTTATGCCACTGACGGGCAACATCTTCTCTGTGAGCCGTGCCTCAGTGATCTTCCACGACATACTGCATGCGCGAGTCCGGAGTCTTCGATCAACGATTAGTACAACCAATATGGTGTAGTATTAGATTGCATATCATAAGGCGGGAGCTGCCTTCACGCTTGCCGCAATGGCTTGCTTGCTTCAAGTGCATTCAGATATCCTTTTCCCGATGGCCGACCACTCTTGCGAACGAGTCGAATGACATTGTCATGGAATGGCGGCCTGCAGTTTTGCTTCGTAGATGCTCATCATAGTTCAGCATCTCTTTATAAGGAACCTTTGCAATGATCTCAACCATCCGAGCAGTGGACCTTTTACCTCTCAGGGAGGTGATGGAGTCATAAGGATCAGGTGGGGCATAAATCTTGGAGACATCAATCAGCTCCTCGCTTGCAGACTCTGCAGAACGGTCGTTGACCTCGAGCACGTGGCCGCCTGCACCGGCTGTTATGTCGTGCTGAACTGTTCCGGCGGCTGCCTCGGGGCAGACGATGTGTGTCAACATGATGGGCTCTAGAATACCAATCTGGCTCTTGTCGAATGCCTCCCGAAGAGCCGCTTGGACGGCGGTCTTGGCCGCACCACTGAAATGGCCTCCCGTTGGTGTTTCTAGCGCATCGCGAGATGTATCAAGTGTAATGTGGACATGGCAACCGTGAACTGGCGACGCACGACGAGGCCCTCTCGCTAACCCAGCTATAGCTCCATTGAAGAGCTGTTGACGCGCCTCATCCGCATCGACCAGCACGGCGCTGGCTTCGCCGTGCATGGGAATGTCGATCTGAACAATGTTGCCATCCTTCTCGAGGCCGGTCTCTATCAAGCTGCCATGTTCCCCTTCCTCTATCGGCTTGAGGTTGACTGTGCAGGTAACTTTGCCAGATTTGCCAGCCACTGGGCGGTCAAAAACCGTATGTTGAGGAGAAGTCTCAGCAGTAACACACTCCTTGTAGTCAACTTCGATGGGACCGAATTCGGCATCTATCTTGTGCTTCTGCCTCATGTTGTAAAGCGATACATCCAGGTGAAGCTTTCCCATGCCCTGGATTGTGAACTGGTCGGTCTTTGGGTTTCTACTCCATCGAAGACTTGGATCTTCTCGCGAGGCGCTCTCTAAAGCGGCCGCTAACTGCTGGGCTGCTACGTTGCCATACGGATCAACCTGCAGGAAGGCAACCGGTGGTGGGATTTCCGGAGGTCTGATCTGTATATGCCGTAAATGCTCGGGGACCGCTTTGCCGCTCGCCATGGTGATCAGGGTATCTCCGGTGCGTGCTTTCTTGAGTCCTCTCAAAGCTCCAATTTGGCCAACCGAAAGCTCCTGAATGTCTTCAGTCTTGGATGCTGATATCTGCAAAATGCCCATCGGTCGTTCCTGGATGAGCATATGGGTGTTGAAGCTCGGCGCATTGCGGGTCAAGGTGCCATGGTAGACTCTCACAAAGCTGATGACGCCCTCTTTTGGATGGTCAAATACTTTGAAGACAGATGCCACCGAAGTGACGTTGGGGTCAACAGCCTTTTTGCCTTTTCCTTTGAGAGCCTCACGAAGCTCGGTCTTGGTGCTCCCGACCCTGACCTCCGGGTCAGGCCGCTCGGCCGGATTGGGAAGATAGTCGGCGATGGCATCCATGAGCGGCTCAACCCCAATGTGACGAAAGCTTGAGCCCGCGAATACAGGTATGACGCGGCCATCGCCACTTTGTATGCTTCTCCTGATGGCCTGTTTGAGTAGAGAGGCAGGAATATTTTCGTTTTCAGCCAAGTATTCGTCCATCACGGCCTCGTCAAAATCCGCCAGGCCCTCAACCAAGCGTTGCCGCGCCACTTGCATCTCCGTCAGTAACGACTGGTTTGAGGTTGACAGTAATTCTTTGAGCTCAGCCGGCTCGTACCGAGCCTTTTGCCTTTCGCTCTTCCATCGGTACCCTACTCCATCAACAACGTCGATTACACCAACAAAGTCCTCTTTCTCCCACCATGGGATCTGACAGACTAACGGCCATCCCTTGAGTCGAGAGCCAATCTCCAAGACGGATTTCCTGAAAGATGCGCCCTCACGGTCCAGCTTGTTGCAGTAGACAATCCGCGGGATCTTGAAGTCCTGGGCAGAGGCCCAGACTCGTTCTGTGTGCGCTTCCACGCCCTTGACAGAGTCGATGATGCAGACAGCTCCATCGAGGATTGGTAGGCATCTATCGACCTCAAACCTGAAGTCCTGGTGCCCGGGAGTATCTATGAGATTGATGGTCTTTGGCGATGTTCCAGGCGGGCAGTCCTGTTGCAGTGGCCAGTGGAATGTGATGGCCGCCGACTGAATGGTGATTCCACGCTCCCGCTCAAGCTCCAAGAAGTCGGTAACGGTGTTGCCAGAATCCACATCTATGACTGTCAGCTGGGTCTCGGACGCGAGTGTTGTTACTGCAAACCTCCTACTCGTTGCGTCACGCCACTGTAGTAGAGCATGCGTTCAGTTGTTGTTGTTTTGCCCTACACAACGGGTAAGCATCAAGGTCAGGATGGCTGAGGTACATGTAGGTGCAAACCTTACAGCGTCGACGTGAGCAATGATACCGATGTTGCGAGTGTTCTCAAGCAATGAGCTCACATATCTCGTACCATTTGCATTGCCGTACAGAGGCCTCTTGGGGGGGAACAGATCTGTCACGGCCCTGTTGACCGACCGTCTGAGGAAGCTGCATTGTCTCCTCGCTGAGGCTCGGCGAAGAAGAGCCACAGCAATCATGGCGACTCGATCTGGAGACGACGCCCTGCGAGAGATGGCACTAATGGCGGCTGCACCACGAAATCATCAAGACCGTGCCCTTGACTCTCAATCGTGAAGGGATTGGAGCAAAATGCAAGATGTTTTGAACAGTAATTTTGAGTTTGGGAAAGCTTGAGGCTCGGCTTGGAATGCTATCAGTGATACCTGAGGTATCGAACAGTTCTTTCCATCTTAGCGGGGCCTGCAGCTCTACAGGCATGAACTTATCCCGGAATATGTCTATATCCAATATTATGCTACAACGGAGCTTCGGCATGTGAAAGGACACTTGACAATTGACTGCCTTACAGTGAATGGTAACAGCTTCATCAGTCGTAGAGAAAAAAGAAAAAAGACTAAAGGTGTCCATATATAAGTATGTATTCGATGGAATGACCAGCTAAAAATGAGTCCCTCCTTGACAGGTGGGCAGCTGTAGGTTAAGGAGGATTATCCCGCTCAACCTTGCGGCTGCAATGGAATTATAAAGTTAAATTTGAATGAGGATGTCGTAAAAAAACTCCATAGGCTATGATATGCCAGTCTATATCGCAGATTTTACACAATTGCTCATTGTAGTCTGAAAGAGATTGAGCTGATGGTCATCTCTTAACCTTATATGAGATCAGTGGTCAAATCGAAAATATCAGGGTAACTATCAGGCAAGCATGCCTCCTTCGGAGAGAAATGTCCCTACCTCTGAAAAGGCCAAAGCGTCAACCTATGCAATCCAATTACCAATTAGCGAGAAAAGATACTACTCCAGGCATCATATAGACCCAAGGACTCATGGGGGATGTTGACTGTGGACCTGGCGCTTGTAGGGTGGTAGAAGGTACGTATACTGTGCACATTGCACTAAACACTTCCAGATTCTGACGTTACGGTTGAGTCTCTAAGGCCAAACTCAACCTCAGAATTACAACCGTCCACAATCCAGAGCTCAAGCAGCCATGGCAAGAAAATTGCCCTGGAAAAGACAGACCGGGGACTCGGAGCCCTCGCCAAGCAGCAGCATAAGAAACGCAGCAGCTCAAAGTCCTGCATCATCTGCTTCGAGACCAGCGGCGCAACACGAGCGTCGGCATGTCGTGCGAACGCCTGTATCGCGCAGACACGTTCAGCGCGTTCTGGACTCCGGTATGAATGACCGCGAATCTGCCTTTCAGGACACCGCAAAGCAATGAGAATTGAAACTTTGTCACAAATGACTGACAAAATCTGATAGATCCTATCAGAAGTCCGTCTACTTCGCCTCCACCGGAGAGGCCTCAGGAAGAGTACATACGCACCATCTGATATCCTGACGTTGATGACAATGCTCAATTCAACATGCAGCTGCCTCTCACCAGCTCACAACTAACTGTCTTGTTTCTTAGGTTCATGATCCCAGGGGTGCTGAACGATGACAAATACAGAATGGTCGAAGACGAGTTTCTGCACGTCGCCCAGCGCTTCACAGCGCATCTCCACCGCGCAGAATACGATCGCCTCAAAGCCCTCGCCAAGGCGCAAAACGCAGACACCATCCGCGAGATTGAGCGTCCAATCGTGCCAGATCTGCTGCCGACTGCCAGTACGCGACAGAGAAGGGCGTCGCGCCAGCGGGTTCTGAAGCAGCGTAAGGCGCTGGCCGCGGATGGCCGTGGCGACGAGGACCGCAAAGCCAAAGGCGATGGGGCAAAGTCGCCGTTGGCGGCAACGGGTTTACGAGGCTTGATGGAGGCGCCGAGGCGTGAGGGTAGGACCATCATGCCTGCTGTGAGCGCTTCGTCTGCTTCGTCTAGGACGAGAGCGGCGGCGGGATATTCAAGCAAGTCGTTGCCACAGCAGGATTCTCGAAGCCGAGAGCCGTCGCCCTCACTGCCACCATTACCGTCATCAGTAAAGAGGATCAAACACGAACCACTCGCCAATTCACGAACAACTTCTGCGCCAAGCGGAAGCACGTCACAGCCTTCTCGCGGTTCACACTCAGATGTCCAAGCCACGTCTTCACCCGCCACAAGGAATCTGAAGGAAACGCCTCGAGAAGAGCGTAAGGCCCCCGAGCAACGACCTAACGTCCACGTTTTGGACGACGACGACGATGATCTCTTCGGCTTGCACGAGCGTATGATGAGCAGGAAGAAATCCCGAGAGCAATTTAAACGGTCGGGCGCCAAGAGTGCCATTAAAGATGACTCGAACACAATCGACCTTACCTCTATCCCTTCATTCTTATAGACATCTGTCCGGAGTACGACCCCTCACAGGAAGATAAAGGAACCATGGCTTATCACGATAATTATTTTGATGCTTCAAGGCAAATATAGAGCTCTGGTGGAAGCCAAACATGACGTCGTTATTCACATTGATGTGAGTATTATGAATCCCTGTACTACTAATCCTCCATAGTGAGCTCATCAAAGTCATCTAGCAGCTCATCCATATTCACTCCAGGAATGCCCTCGTCTCCATCCTCCTCGGTCTCGGCTATGCTCATCTCCTCATCATTTGCCTTCTTGGGGTTCTTGTACAGCGCCAAAGCCGCACGAAGTTCCTCATCCTCCTCGACGTCACGCAAGAACATCTCGTACTCCTTATCCAAACGCTCTTGGTCTGCCTTCTTTGGCAGAAGGTCGCCCTCGTCCTTGTTCATACGCTTGAGCTTCCAGTTGCGGCGACGGTTCCTCCTGCGGTTGGGGTAGTGTTTCTTCACCAGCACCACATCCGGAACAGTTGATGAATATGTGTTGGATTCCTCTATGGCATCAAATTCGGGGTTGTTGAAGTTGGTGCCGCTCAGCATGTAACCCATGGCTGAGTCACCCGGCTGCAGCAGGTTTCCTAGATGTGTTCTGGTAAAGTATGTCTTGTCGTTGACACCAAGATCAGAAGCACGAGCAACGGTCGCCTCGGCGAGCACCCACTTGCCCTTTCGAACAGGAGTGGGCTCAATGTCCATGACGATGAACTCGACCAACTCCATCGCGTCGGCGAGGGCTGTGAAGGGGGCACGCCAGTAGATGGACGAGCTGACTTCCGCCGTTTGGAGAGTCTGCGGGTCCATGAGGTAGACTGCTGTGCCAATCTTGTGGCAGAGGACGAGGGGCGAGATGTTGCCGCTCTGTTTCGCAAGCTTTATCGGCAGCGCAACCAGGTCATCTCTGCATACGGGGACGAGCTCGGCGGAGAAGGTGAATTTGTATGATTTCTTCGAGGTGTGGGTATCCATAGAGATCAGTTCTTGTGAGGACTTGACTTTGACGGGAACGACTGAGTTGAGGAAGTCGACAAACTTCTCGGCCTGATTTCGCACGGAGAAGAAGAAGTCGATGCCGTCCTTGGCTTCCTTAATGTTGAGCGTCTCCCTGTGCGCGCCATGTTTCAGGACGAGCTGCTCCAGGAAGTGGAACGTCCTCTTGTGCAAGACCTTCTGTCGGACTTGGACGCAGGCCCTCCAGTGGTTAGGGGTGAAACTCTTGGCGCACTCGGGGCACTGCTGATGCGCCACGACATATACGACCTCAAAGGTCTGCTGCAGCAGGACACCCTGCTGGACGGCGTCTTGGACGGTCAACTTGACCTTTACTCTCCGCGAGTGAGGCTCAGTCCAGATGAAGCTCGCATCGACGATTCGCACTTTGTTCAGGCCCCTCAACTTCTTGAGGCAGAGCGCTAGCAGTTCGCGGGATTCGGGCATGGCGGAGATCCAACTTGAGGGTGGCAACAGCCATCTTTCGCAGTCTCTGCATTGCTGGATGGTGGCCTCTCGCTGGATGCCCTGGGAGATGTCGTTGGTCAACTTGATGCAGTCGTAGCAGGCGGCGCCCGTGGCTGTTGTTCCGTCGATGGGAGCACCGCAGTTGTGGCAGAGAATACTGTGGATGACGAGTCTCAGCATTTATCTTCACCGGATATCATGGAGGGGCTGTCGCAAAAGACGACGAAGCGAAGATGTTCGTCCGCAGACAAGCCGTGGGAAAGCGTTAAGATTTACTTACGTTGCTGCCGTGTGCACCTGCTGCCCCACGGGCGCAATAGAAATGGCATCATCCAGGTCCATAGACATCTTGTTTGATGAGGCCGATGGTTGATGTGGTGGGTGGTCTGGTATGGAGATGGGAATTATCAGACGGAGTCGCCTCTGATACCATATGGACGAAGAAAGTTCAAAAATTATTTTGCCCCGCTGCTTGATAAGCGACCTGGCATGGGCTTATCGCGGGCAATTCTGCCTGTAACGCTTGTTGCCGGATCTGTCATAGTGCGTTCGCAGCAGTGAGTCATGTCGGGTTCCATAGGTAGGCATTTCTACGGTTTGATGGAGGAGCAATGGCAAGAAGCGGACATCAGCATTGCTTTTGTATGGCAAATGGTTTAATTCGGCTGGTATTGAGAATTATTACGCTCGGCCTGATACAAACAAAACCTTTCTATATATACATACAACAGATGCAACGAGCAACAGCAGAAATGGTGAACACGAACAGCTCCAACAGCTAAAAGATCTTGCTCAGCACTCTGCTCACCCGCTCCGGTTCCTCGGTGGTATCTTTGTCCTTGCTGATCTTGGGAATCTGTTTGAAGGTCCGCACGGCTCCCTTTGGCTCCTCGGCCTCCGCCGCATCGCTCGCCTTCCTCTTCTTCGCCTTTGCCTTTGCCTCTATGCCGTCCAGCATCTTGGCTTTCTCGACGTTGCGGACGAACAGCTTGTTCTCGCGTGTTGACTTGCTGATTTCAGCCCTCATGCGACTTGATCTCTCGGCATCCTCGGCGGCAATCTGCTCCGTCAGGTTGTGCCATTTGAAGCCCTTGAGATAGAGCAGATTCCATATATCGTCGTGGTAGTAGCTCCCCTTCTTGCCACCGATTGGTCGCGCATTCAGAAGCTCACACACAGCCTTTGCGTCCTTCTTCTTGACAAACTCCACCCAGCCCTCGGTAAACGTCTTCTTCTTGTTGCCGCCTCCTTTGATACGCCGCGCTCGTGCGATTGGGTCTTCGGGGGCGAGGAATATTCTGTTGATGGTTCCATATGGAGAGAGGAGAGACCGTAGCTTGTTCGGCTTCATGAATGGCGGCACGCGCGAGATGTATACGACGCCGGATTTTCTGATTGCTTCGTCTGTCGCGACAAGGTTCTTCTTCGTCAACGGCCGGGCAACGCCAGGCAAGTCTTTGGCCCTCAGCTTCTTTGCTTTCTTCTTGCCGCTGTCCTTGTCGCCTTTTTCGGCCTCTCCATCTTCTTTCGTCTCTTCTGAACTCTTCTTTTCTCCATCACTGCCGTCTTGTTCCTTGTCGCTCAATTCAGCATCGTCGTCATCCTCGTCGTCGCTGCTAATCTTCCGTCGCTTGGGGCCGCGTCCGCCCTTTTTCACTTCGTCATCCGAGTCGTAAGCGTTCACGCGCTCATCTTCACTGTCGGACACGTCCAAGAAATCGGTGGCCTTTGTGGCAGCCATGGTGTGTGGTTTGTGTAGGGAATTGCTCCAAACTTGGTGCCGTAGGCGCAACTCGGCTCAGAGCTCAGCAAATGGCTGCAGCGAGGAAGAAAAAAGTTCCTTATCGATAGAGCATCGACGTATTGCATTTATCGGGGCGCATCGCTTTAAGCGGACTATTCAAGCCTGTGGTGGATCCAGTCAACCAAGTTGGGCATGAACCACAAGCCATGCCACGAGGATATGGCTGAACCGTCCCGGTGGGAAGGAAGCGCTAATAGAGCTGAGTCTCTTCCAAAGGACGCGCATACATATAATCGAATGAATTCATGTATAATCGGGCTTTACTCAACATTTGCCTCATCTGACATACCGAGTCGATTCTCTAGTAACGCGGACTCTCTTACGTACAATTACCGGGTAGTTTCAGGGACGGCTTGTTCGTAGGCGGTTATCCAGTAATACTTCTCAGGTGGACTGAGATGGATATGGCGGGGCAACGATATCGGTGACGTGGGGCAAATGATGAACGGGCAAGAGCGGCCTTGAGACCGGTATCACACTTCCCCTCTCCCTCTCCTCTCCTTTCAGGTTTCACATCGTCCATTATTCACTCTTCGTTATTCGAACCCTCGAGATACTGTTCCGTCAAATCCCCGGTCACATCAGGAATCACACGCAAACATGTCTGTCGAGGTGATCAAGACCATCTCCCCAAACACCAACGAGGTGGTCATCACTCGCAATGGCGCCTCGGCTGCCGATCTGGAGCTGCTACCCAAGGTCGCCACCGAAGCCTTTCTGGAATTCCGTAAAACGACGCTCAAGGACAGGCAAGACATTGTCCGCAAGTTTCTCGACGCATTGGACAAGAACAAGGACGACCTTGCCCTGGAACTGACCACTCAGATGGGCCGGCCCATCGCTTATACGGCGAAAGAAGTCACAACGGCTATCAAAAGGGCGGAGTACCTCCTTAAGCTCAGCAACGAGGTCTTACAGGACGTCGAGGGTGAGCCCGAGAAAGGGTTCAAGCGTTTCATCCGGAGAGCACCCGTCGGCCCTGTTCTCATCATCTTTGCCTGGAATGTAAGCAGAATCAATCTCCTGTGCCAGCCACTGCTACACGCGCTGTTTCTCACTCTCTCAATTCTCTTATTAACTCATCATTGTCTCAAAGTATCCTTATTTGATCCTCGTCAATGCACTGATTCCAGCAATCTTGGCCGGAAACAGCGTGATTTTGAAGCCGTCGCCGCAGACGCCGACTATTGTAGAACAAGTGGCGAAGCTCTTCTCAGAGGCCGGCCTACCCAACGGCGTTCTGCAATATTTCCACTGCGGATCTCCTAGTCTCATGGAACCTATTGTTCGAGACCCAAGGATTTCGCTGATCTGTTTCACGGGATCCGTTGCTGGCGGCCTTGCCGTGCAACAAGCTGCCGCGGACAGAATCGTCAATGTGACCCTCGAGCTGGGCGGCAAGGATCCTGCATACATCAGAGACGATGTAGACATCGATTGGGCCGCCGAAGAGATTGTCGATGGCGCCATCTTCAACTCTGGCCAAAGCTGCTGCTCCATTGAACGGGTCTATGTGCATGAAAAGGTGCACGATGACTTTGTGGCGGCCGTTCAGAAGGTGCTCAAGGGATACAAGCTCGGAGACCCCTTTGACAAATCGACCCATATTGGACCAGTCGTCTCCAAGCGCTCCAAGGAAACAATAGAGTCGCACATCCAGGACGCCTTGAAGAAGGGAGCCAAGGATGTTACGCCGGAAAACGAAAGCTTCCAAAACCCTCCGCCCAAGGGCAACTTTGTGAAACCCACCCTATTGACTGGTGTGGATCACACAATGACGGTCATGACGGAAGAGACATTTGGGCCTGTGATTCCGGTGATGAAGGTCAAGGGCGACGACGAGGCCGTGAAGCTGATGAACGATAGCGAGTTTGGACTCACGGCTAGCATCTGGACCAAGGATACTGATCGAGGCTACGAGCTCTGTGAGCAGGTTGACGCCGGCACTGTCTTTGTCAACCGCTGCGATTACCCCAGTCCGGTAAGTCTCCGACGCGCCCTCATAATCGCATTGCATCCCTCCCCTCGTCCCCTCCCTTAGTTGGCCCGTGGTCATATTTGCACCCGCCCGGGCAGCAACTCTAGCAGGCAATCACCCCGTCAGGCAAATCAATAGTCAATGAATTGATCGTGAACGACCCGTTGCTGACTGTATTACCAACAAATAGGACCTCGCCTGGACGGGATGGAAGAACTCGGGCAGAGGTCAGACTCTTGGCAGATTTGGCTTCGACGCTTTCGTCAAGTCTAAGAGCTTTCACATCAAGGACCATCCCAAATAAGCGGCGGACGAGCGCCCTGTGGCTCTGATTTTAATTTCACTCAGGTACATAAAGAAAGAACCTTGAAAGCAAAGACCGTTGCCATCACCCGAATTGAATCTAGTGCCAGCCGTGCCTCCGCACCAGCCCCAAAGATTAGCGAGAGATCTCCCTTTGGGCTGCATTGAGCGTCGAAGCGTCAACCCTGTGATTGGCTCGCCCGCGCGACGAATAACGCGAGGATATTAAACTCTACTGTATCTGACAAGGGTTTCCCATGTTTCATGGTTTCAAGGTTCGACTTCGATTCCTGGCGAGGGAACACGGCAGCATCTCACGTTGTCTGCATGCAGAAGCGGGCGTTTTCCCCACCGCGGCCTGCAAAACGCGAAGCCTAAATCCTGACCAGAGACGAACGGGAAGCCGTGTTGACATGAAACGAAAATCGTCGCCAAGCAAGGAGGCTGTGATGATAGCGAATCGGCCAAGCCGCCGGTTGACCCCATTCGTTCTGTGCAGGAAAAGGAAGCAAACAAAGGCCGTGCACGTCCACTCGCAGCTCCGCCCGTTGCTCCGCCCGTGACAGGACGGCCTCATGTCGTTGTCGCCGCGCTCGCCTACCGACAGCTCAATATCCTGGAGAATGCTACGGCATACGGGATACTGCGGCAGGGTGCCGGCATCTGGAATGCCAATTCAGGCCTCACGCATTCCACCTGAAGCCGTGAGCGAATGCACAGGGCTTGCCTCCAGACGGCATGTGAGACAGCAAATCTGCAGGCAGGCATCTGTTGCTCTCCTGCTCCCCTAGTGTTGTTGCACTCTTCGCGGCCGCGTGTGAGTGTGTGTGAGTGTGTCTAATGAGACCCCGTTTCGACAGAGGCCCAGGAGCGGCACCGACCGAAGGGCTGTCGAATCATGGTGCTCAGACACGCATAGATGCCGATGCGAGGTGATGGATATATATTTGGCCAGCGCCGCATCCGTCGGCAACGTGCTGGGTTTGTGTTGTGAATCTCAAGCCCGTCACCTCCATTCATTCTGCACCCAGGAAGCTCGGAGCCTCATCAGCACCAGCCCACACACTCTTTCCCACCCCTGTCATTCCTTTCTCTCTTCTTTTCCCTCCCCTTGTCTTTCCTTCGGCAGTGTGCAGCAGCAGCCGCATTTAATCGTTTGTCCGTTTTTGTGTGTCTTGCTCGTATTCTCATTCTTTCTTTCTGGCTTCTCTCTCTTTTCTGGTTTAATTGAAAAAGCCCACATCGTCTCAACCCAATCGCTCGGATCTTCATCGAATTGGTTCCATCTTGCACCAACAACAGCTCTCGGCCAACAACATCCGGTAGAGCAAGTGAGAGGAATTAAGAGCCACCGCAGACGCTATCTTTTCCCTCTCTTTCCTTTTACTATTTTTATCATTGTAATTACGGCGACTAGTTGTGAAGCAAACTTGTGCCGGTTCAATCACACAAACAGCCACTCTCGTGGACGTCTATTGTCTTTTTATTCTCTGCAATTCTTTCTCTTGTCCTTCATCGTCGTTTACGAAAAGCACTCTTCAATCATTCTAGCGTTCTTCTTTGGGTTTCATTTTTTCTCCTCTCCGTCATCTCGATTTCAGTCAATCAACAACTTTGCTCTACCCTCAACCAATGGCGCAGTTGCCGAGAAGTATTTCGCTGGTCAACTTGGAAACCGATAGCATTGGTGGCTGTTCCAACACGACATACGCAACCTCCGAGATGCGTCTCAAGAACAACGTCAGGAATCTTTATGAGCGCATGCAGCAGGCTTTGCGTCATGGCAGGCGGAAGCAGAGGCGCGGATTGGAAATTGTACGTCACATACCTATGCTCTGCGTGTATTTCTGCGAATGAGCTTCTGACTAACAGTCGTCTCTTAGTCTTCTCCGTTTGGTCTCAAGAAAGAACCTGTTCTTCTTCCTGGCATCTCTCAAGAAGAGTGAGGCAACCCGGGAGATCTCTCACTAGTTTTGCACTGCGTGCTAACCTACTATCCAACCAGACTGAGCATACTGCGAGAGAAGGCCGCCGCTAGTCAAATCGGTGTCGCCGAGGACTCCATGTACCCCGACCCAACCTCCAGCCTGCCTCGGTCAATCCGTTCTCGCTCCCCTTACCGAAGCCCCTCGCCTTTCTCTATTGCCTCTGCCAAAGAGCAGCAGGCCAACTGATCGAATGACCGAATGCATACCTCATGAACGAAACCACAATATCACCATATCCATGACTGAGGACTGAACGGATACTACTATCGTTATCTTTTATCTTTACTGCGTTGAATACTGACGCCTTTCCTTTCATTGCTTATCACTTTTACTATTCTCTTTCGTTTTCTCGGCTTGCTTTTTCGGCGCGGTGAATAGGGGGACAAAACAGACTGGCTAGATGGTATGGACAGGTTTGGGACTCGGATCGGAACGCTTAATATGGATTATCACAGGATAGATTGGACAGGACCGGCCGGCGAGCAATTAACGGGGCAACATAGACATTTACTATTACAATGGCGATCCCGAATACTCGCGACGAGGAAAAACAAAAGGGAAACAAACAGACTTAATTCGGTAATGACGCACGCAAAGGGGGGGTTCGGGCGGCGCGAAGGGGGGATACAGCGGGAGTCAAGGCGGCATTTGCTTTTACCACACAGCACCACTAGGTAGCTAGATCTAATGCAAATTGATACAGGAGAAGAATCGCACTTCGAAGCATTCTCTACCTACTAAAATAATGGGATGTCCAGTTTTTGAGTCAATTTGAGTGTTGTTTTTATGCATTATTGTTTACTTTGTGGTTTTTGTAATACGTTGTGTAACCGAGAATGTCACTACTTAGCTCCCGTTTGTGCGAGCGTTTCATTTCGCTGTGGTTTTTGGTGTCTTGTAGTGGCATGACGACTTTCTTTGCTTTTGTCTGTAGTTTGGCGTAATGAGATGCTTCGCTTGTGTTCAATGTGACGCAAGCCGAATTCAGTCGCTTAATGTGAAATACTGGGTAGTGACTTAAATCCAACTGAAATTGTATGATTCGATATGATATACCAGTGTTTCTATATATTAATTGCTGTATTATTTTGTGTAAGAATAATTTTCTTCTCTTTCTTCAATAACTTGGTCACGGACGAATCGGCGTGCAGTCCTCGCCAAGGGGAATAACCCGCGGATGAAATGAACAGAAGGCCGCGGAAGAGGAAAATAGAAGGCAAGAGAAGAAGCTACAGCCACCCATCGTACACGTCCAAGCTTTCCTGGCGAACCCCTTCCATCTCCCCCCTGACCCCCAAGAGCTTCACCTTTGCGTCCTTCTCGCGGCTCCAGGCGGCGAGGAAGTCCTGCACGCGGGCCAGCGTCTCGTCGTCGTCGCGCATGAGCAGGGCCAGCGCGTCGTAGCCGCCGGCGCCGGGCACCACGCCGCCGTAGACGCCGTCGAGGGCGCTGATGGCGTCGAGGAGCTCCATCTGCGAGTCGGGCTCGATGGGCACGTCGCTCTCGCGGCCCATCTGGCGCTCGCGGACCTGGCGGAGCTTGTCGGGGAGCTGGTCGGCGGCGCCGGCCTTGAGGGCGGCGGCCAGGGCCTCGTTGCGCGCCTGGAGGTCGTTCCAGAGGGCTGTCGAGTGCTGCTCGTCCTGGGCGCGCCAGGAGAGGACCTTCACCATGCCGACGGTCTGGCTGCCGCAGTCGACGTCGCACATGCGCAGGACGACGCCCGGGGGAAGGCTGACGCCGTCGTCTTGCACTTCCACATCCCACTGCTCGCCGTCGACGACTGCGAGGAGCTTGTCGCTGAAGCCGGGGGCGCCGGGCTCGGGCAGCACGTTCAGGATGCTGGGGGAAAACCTGCGGTAGGTGCAGGACCCGTACACGGCGGCCGCGACATCGAAGCCCGAGCCGACCTTGCCCTGGGCGGCGCAGTGCGCCGCCTGGGCGAGGTTGTGAAGCGTCTTCTTGCCCTGCTTAGAGGAGAGGTCAAAGACGGTGGAGGGCAGGTAGTGGGTGAGCAAGGAGGCGGTTAGGGAGGTGACGAGAGCGGCCGAGGAGCCGAGGCCCGTCTTGTTGGCGCCCTGAAGGGTGACGGGGAACTTGGCGAAGCGGCCAGACGAGGACGCGTGAGAGTGGGAATAGTAGTCATTGTCGGCAAGGATGATGAGGCGTGAAGACTTGATGACGCTGTGGGAGCGCGTGGAGGACACGAGGGCGTCGATGTAGGTCAGGGCGTAGCTCAGCGTGGTCTCGACGAAAGGGTTGGCCGAGATGGTGGGACCGCTGAGATGAGGAACCAAGACACGGCAAGTGTCAGCAAAAGCACGCTGTTTTGTCTCAAAGAGGAGGGAAACAAGGAAAGCATTTCGAAGAATGCGTGCCTTGAGGGAAGAGGCAAGAAAACTCGCGTAGATTGAATTGAGAGACCTTGTCTCATTGCGGGGGAAGGGAAAATCAACGCAGTGGAATTTCAAGGGTCTCTCTCTTTTTTCCCTCTCAGCTTGTCTCTTGTCCTCCCTAGACAAGTAGTATTCGGCTTGCAGGGACAAAGGGTTTCATTCTTTCAGAGCAGAAACAAACAGGGTCTTCGGTGCTTCCATCTGCGCCCCGTCTCCCACCCTCTCAAACGCGGTGAAGCCAGACCAGCGATATAAATAGCAAAAAAAAGTTCCAAAACAACAAAATCAACAATAACAAACGCCGACAACTCTTTGGAAGACAAAAAGTACAACGAAGAAAGCTTCAACTTACACCTGCAGCTGAGTGACCTTGATCCCCCCCTTCTCCGGCGCAAGATGGTACCCGTACCGCCACTGCGCGTCCAGGAACTGCGGGCTGTCGACGACAATCTCCCTGAGCTCGACGCCCTCGGCGGCGGACTGGATCTCGCCCGCGACCACGTTGATGCGCGCGCTCAGGCCCAGCACGAGGCCCGTGTAGGCGCGGTCCAGGACGAGGTAGCCGCCGGCCAGGAGGACCTTGCCGGGGGCGGAGACGGCGACGGAGGCGTTTGCGGTGGGCATTTTTCTGTGTGAAGGATACCGATGTTGACTTGAGAGTAAAATAGAGATGCGTATGTGATAGTGGGAGTGCAATTGGCGAAGAATTGATGTACCTTATGGTATGGTATGTTGGTATAAGATATAAGATGAGGAGGCTCCAACGACTGAAGAGAGAGGTTGAAGCAAGGCTGACAAGCTGACAACAGGCAAAAGGAGAGCGCTCAATTGAACAGCACCAGAGGGTAAGAATTTTATAACCAAGTGGACGTAAGAGTTCAGATATGAAATAACAGTGGAAGAAGGTAGCTTGAGAGCCACTGTCCAGCCTCGTCTCTTGTTCGTCTTCGCAAAAGTCGAGTGTTGAGGCCAGTTGAGTGACCAACTTGCATCTTGGACGTCGGAAAGTGGAGCGGGGGGAGCTCGGTATGCGGGAAGGCTTCACAGTATAGCGTGCTACGAATGTACAGTGCACACACTGTCTTTATATCGGAGCAGTAGTCGTGATATGCTTCATTGCTACAACATCATCAAGATCACCATGGCACAATCGCTCTGTCTTCAGTAGGCATATACTTTCATAGATTTGCTGCCTTAATGCTTCCTCCTTTATGCCCGTCCCAGCTTCCTGATATAATACACGGTAGCAGAAAATCCAGACCAGTCCAGATGTGATGAAGGCACAATTCCCTCCTATCCTCTATGTACCTGACCGTCAAAACAATCCCAAATGAACACCCAAAATTCTGCTGCTACCGTTTTGGCCGTGGCTGTTGGCCTATGCCGAGTGGAGATTTGTCTATCAGCGGCTCTCAAGAGTCCGCAACCCATCCGTCCTTTCTTCCACCTCCCCCTAATCCAGTAACCAAAATGACTTCTTCTTTTGTATGTGCGAAATGCATTCATAGATCCATTGCCGCCCCCGTGAACGCCATGCCATCCTGTAGCCGCAGACAAAAGCCGTGTGCCGAACAGGATATAACAGATTGTAAAGAGACGAAGAAACACCACGCAGAGCCTCGAATATTAGGACGACACCCCGATAGAAACACCGTCCAACCTGCATGCCAAAGGGGTATCAAAACACGTCGAGGCTTGAAAAACACAACGAATATGGACAAGAAAAGAAAAATGAACAAATGAGAATAGAGCAAGAACAAATCGAGAAGATATCGCTTCGCAAGATGCCGGGAAAGAAAAGAAAAAAGCAGGGCGGGCGTAGAGGTTGGAACCAACCAATCACTCCAGGCTGGCCTCTTGACCTCCGCCGAGAAGCTCGAGAACCTTGTTAACCACGGCACTGGGATAGCCGCGAGTGAGCATCTCTCCCACCACTGCCTTTGCTTCGCCCCTCATCTCAACGGCGAGGAACGCCCGTGTCATGGCCTCGTACGTGCTGGGCTCGCGCTTCTCACGAGCCACGGCATCGTAAATCGCCCGAGCGTTCTCAATCTTCTTCTCCGCAGCCCAGCCATGGATCAGCGTGTTGGCAATGTAAGGCGTAAGTTCCACATGCCTGCTTCGCATTTCCGCCAGGATTGGCTGTGTCTCGGCAACTCGGTGGTTGGCCACCATGGCCTCAAACAGGGCCTGGTAGATGCTAGCGTTGACAGGAACCAGAGACTCTTCCACAACGGAGTCAAAGACCTTTCGCGCGCCCTCCATATCGTGCAGAACGCAGCCTCGAGCGTGGATGAGCGAAGCGTAGTGAACCGACTCGGGTCGCTGACCAGCCGCGCGCATCTCCTCCAGGACCTTCTCGGCAGCTTCAAGATCGACCACCTCCAAAGTAGCGTGAGTGTCGATCAGGAGCTTGTAAGTGTGAGAGGTCGGGGCGATGCCCTTGGACATCATGCGGTCGTAATAGGCAAGAACCTTGGACTTGTCTCGCTTTGTCGTCAGGAAGAACTGCATCATGCTGTTGTACGGCGCCGGCCTGGCCTTGTAGTTGGGCATGGACTCCATCTCGTCAAAGAGCTCTTCCGCAAACTTCTCGTCACTGACACGGCACAGCGCGTTGACAATGGTGCCGTATGTCACTGAAGTCGGCTTGATGCCCAGCGCTCTCATCTCGGCAAAGTAGAAGAGACAGTCGTCGATGCGGCGAGCCTTGCCCAGCTTACCAATCAGCGCATTGTACAAGAAAGAGCTGGGCTCGACACCCTCAGCCTTGGCGCGGAGGAAAATGCGAAC